ATCATAAAAAATTACAAATTCTTCATTTGTGAAAAAATATAAAAAATTGCATACAAAAAATTACAGAAACAATTACAGAAAAATATAATCAGAGAGTGTTCTCTCCATCCAAGGTGTCCACATCAGCATAATTTTAATTTTAAAATGGGCTTTTAAATATTTTGGGTTTTGTTTTTAAGTTTTTATATTTTGGGTATTTATTTTTGGGCTTTTAATGTGATTAGTTTGAAATTAAAAAACAAATACTTATTTTGAAAATAATAAAAAATAAAAAATTCTTCAGTTGTGAAAAAGAGTTTGGAAGACAACCACATACAAACAGAAAATAATTATCAAACTTTATAAAAATACTTTAGAAAAATTTATATATAAAACTGAAGTAAAATCATTCATATAAAATAAATTCTTATTTTACAAACTATAAAACTACAAATTCTCTTTGAAAAAAAAATTCAAAAATGTTATTTCAAATATAAACAAACAGAATTTGAAAAAAAAGTTGGAAAGTGAACAATTACGAAAGATGACAGAAGAATTTGTTCAAAATACTTATCAAACTTATTTAAAAAAGTTCAGAAATATTAATGCGTAAAACTAAAGTAAAATCATTCATATCCACTTTACTGTGTAAAACAAATACTTATTTTGGAAATCATAAAAATTACTAATTCTTCATTTGTGAAAAATTATAAAAAATTGCATACAAAAAAATACAGAAAAAATATAATTAGAGAGTGTTCTCTCCATCCAAGGTGTCCACATCAGCACAATTTTATTTTTATAATGAGCTTTTAAATATTTTAGGTTTTTTTTAAGTTTTTATATTTTGGGTATTTATTTTTGGCTTTTAATGTGATTAGTTTGAAATTAAAAACAAATACTTATTTTGGAAATAATAAAAAATTACAAATTCTTCATTTGTGAAAAAGAGTTTGGAAGGCAACCACATACAAACAGAAAATAATTATCAAACTTTATAAAAAAACTTTAGACAAATTTATATATAAAACTAAAGTAAAATCATTCATATAAAACAAATTCTTATTTTACAAACTATAAAAACTACAAATTCTCTTTGAAAAAAAATTCAAAATGTTATTTTGAATATAAACAAACAGAATTTGAAAAAAAGTTGGAAAGTGAACAATTACGAAAGATGACAGAAGAACTTGCTCAGAATACTTATCAAAATTATTTAAAAAATTTCAGAAATATTAATGCGTAAAACTAAAGTAAAATCATTCATATACACTTTACTGTGTAAAATGAATGAAAGTTTTTCATAAATAAAGAAAAATAAAGTATTTAATTATATAGCATAGAAAAGAATTTGATTTATACGAAGGAGGAAAAAAATGACAAATACTTATCAACCATTTTTTTCTCAATGATGGTAATATAAAATTGATATTCAATTACTTTACTTATCAACCAGATAATATATGAGTTTTAATATAAAATGTATAAATAAACTAAAATACGATTATTGACTATACTTTTTAGCATATTCATATTGTTTACATTCACAAGATTTGAAAATAGACAAAAATATTCTCACACACATTCATAAATATAGTCAGGCAGTTCATCATTGAAAAAAAAAACGCCTCAAATCAATTAAAATCAACCATTTTAGTGAGTAAGCATAATTTTTTGATATAACAACCCATCAAACATATGTAATATTTGAATAGATCTCTTGCTCTATCTAGCCAACTCTAAGTAAAACTCTCCTTATTTAGAGTTATAACTGATCACAGAACTGAATGAGATGGAAGCTTGCATGAAATAAGAGAAAAAAAACAAGTAGATTGCAATCAGAATAGTGAGAGTAAAAGCTATAAAAAAAGAAAAATTAAAAGATTAATTATGCATGAAAATGAGTTAGATTTTTTTAAAAAATTGATAAAAATTTTAAAAAATATTTAGTTTAGAGTAGAGACGGATCGGTGATGGTTTCATTTTGTTGATCTATGAAAATAAGATGTAGAAAGAGATGATAAATTAATTGAATACAAATAAACAGTAAGAACACTTATAATACTTATTGCAGTTTATAAATATATGAAATACTTTTTTAACAATTAATATATCATAATATATATTAGAAAAATAATTTTACAATATAAATATATATATATATATTAGAACAAAAAAATATAAAAAATAAAAGAAAAAATTAATACACAATAATATTAATTTAATAAATATATATAATAATATAAAATTATAAAAATTTAATTAAATAAATAAATAAGTCCGCGCAACGCGCAAATAAAAATATAGTTTGATAAACAGTAAAGAGTGTTATTCACTTTAAATGTACTTCACATATATATTACATGTGAAGGCAATTAGTTATATGTAATAGTAGTCTCTGTAATATTTTGTATTCATAAAAGTAGAAAATTTAAAACAGAAATGGTGAATCAAGTAAATACAATCAGCAAATCTCGGAATGAATTCAAATTCATAAATATCTATTTATATCTTTTCCTAAACTATTAAAATCCCAATGGTAAATTCCCAAAACAAAAAAAAGTGATATTCGTTTAAAATGTACTTCACATATAGGCAATTAGTTAGATGTAAATATATTCTGTTTATATTTACTTTCAGTATCATCAATATAACTGCAAAAGTCTCTAAAACGAACATTCTAAATATATATGAGAATATGTGATTCTTATAATTCCTCATATATATATATATATATATATATAGACTCACTATTTAATCAATATTCTCTAAAAAAATACTCGCATTATGAGTTTTCTCACTAACCTGGCCGATGTCAAGCTGTATAAATCATCTTGGCGAATCCGTGTGAAAGTCTTTCACTCATGGAAGCACTACACTGTCCAGTCTGGTCAAACATTGGAGCTGATCCTTGGTGAAGAAAATGTGAGTGTATTAATATATAAGATTTTTCTATATAGACATAATATAGTGCTTACGGAAATGAAATATGATTTAATATTTAATCTTTATCTTTGTAGGGTACTTATTCTACCGATATCCTCTTCTAATCTTTTGCATCTGTAATTCTAACTGAGATTACATTAGTTTAGCAGTCAGAGGCAAATATTTAACCAAAATATGCGTTAAAAAGAAAGTTTAACTTATGAATGCATTATATGATTGAAATCGTAGTATTTGATCGACTTCACATTGGACCAATATCTTCTTATGCCGGATATATTATACTTCTGCAAAAGAGAAATGACATGTTAAGAAAATATTACTGATCAGATTACTATATTTTATCAATTATGAAAAAAAATTATCTTTATATATGTAGTCGTTGAATATCAGATCATATGGTTCCTCAGATAACCATTATCATTGTGATATTTAGATGAAAACAAAAAATAGAAAAATTCAGAATCATTTTCAAAAACGTAAAGAGGATTAAAGTTTTTAACTATATGCTGGAAAAAATACTATCATATTACCTAATTAGTGTTGTTATCTCTTCTGCTTGAATCCATGAAATTAATTATCTGATTCATTGGAAAAAAAAAAATTTAGGTCAGATTGGATCTAACATTCTTTTCAAGATATAAACATAATTGTGTAATTCGATCAAATACGGTAATGAGTCAAACTGATACAGAAGAACTACACTAAAACTTACCAAATTTCTAAGATTTTCCCCAAATCGCTGACTCTTTGCAATGCACCTTCATCATTCTCTCAAATCATTCAAGAAATTCATACTTTGTGACAAACTTCTTTTGATAACTAAGAATCGATGATGTACGGTTCATGAAGATCATGAAAGGAAAAGAAATTTATCCAGATTTGTTGTTTGATCGATATTTTAGGGTTCACTTGAGTGAAACTTTTCCAAATCCGGACAATGAATATTTTGTCTTTTCGTTATCTACGGATTGTCATATACTCATTTGGGCCATTTGATAAAAAAATCTGTTTCGTTCTTTTTAAATTCCAATGGCCCAACACATTATAATAAATGATGACTCAACTAGATTTCGGATGAAGATCATATTGGATGAGGTTAAATTGTTAAAGCTTATGGGTGTGTTTGGGCAACACTTATATTTCACAATCTGTTGTCCGAGACATTCTTAAAGCCCAAAAATAATTTCGTTGAAAGAAAACCTGCGCATAGCGCGGGTCCAAGATCTAGTTTATTAATAATTTTAATGAAAATGAAATTTATTGTGTTTGATATATAGTATAATAAAAGTAAGTTAATTTATGGCGCATACACTAATCTAATTTAGATATAAGTAATATATTAATTCAAATTTATTTTATTAATTTAAATATTATATTCAAAAATTTTTAGTAGAAACGATAATGACATTTTTGTCTAATAAATCATCAATGTTTAAAACTTATTTGGAGTAAAAATAATATATAAGATGGATAAACATCAATATTCTTATAGAAACTAATTATAATAAATTTTATTTGTCACATTATTTTTTATATAATCAATCATAGCAAAAACGCATCAAAACTCTAATCATATTATATCTTAAATTTAATATTCTGCATTATTATGTATATACTATACTTTCAATTTACTATTTATCATATATTCAAATATGCTTTATTATTGTATTTTAGATAATATTTTTTGATTAAAGGTTTTTGGAGTCAATAACTATTCTTTTCTTTTATAAAGAAATAATTTATGGATATAATTATTGTTTTTTAATTTATAAAGAAATAGTATTTAATATTTAATATAATATAATTATGAGTTAATTGAAACTTTATTAATAATTTTAATAAAAATAAAATTTATTGTGTTTGATATATATTATAATATAAGTAATTTAAATTATGGCGCATTCACTAATCTAATTTAGATATAAGTAATATATTAATTCAAATTTTTTTATTAATTTAAATATATATATATATATATTCAAAGGTTTTGAGTAGAAACGATAGTGACATTTTTATTTAATAAGTCATCAATGTTTAAAACTTATTTGGAGTAAAAATAATGTTTAAAACTTATTTGGAGTAAAATAATATATGAGATGTGTAAACAACAATATTACCTAGTTTATTGATAATCATCATGACATAACTTAGAACATAACTTAGCTTTGAGAAAAGAACATAAACTTAACAAGCATTAAGCACCAGCTAATCACTGATCACATAACCATGAAATAAACAAAAATAAAACGTTTTAAAACAACCAAAACCATAAGAAGTTTCAGATTTGCAAAGCAAAAGAATGATCATGACGACTCTCCAGCTTTCTGCCTACTTCTTATCTTCATTTCTGGCAACAATCTTGTACTTGCCACTTTCCTGTTGCTGACAAACAAAACCCATCATCAAAACTGAGCTCTACACATAAATTACACAACTAACATAAAAACTGGAGATAAGATAAGTATATGAAGCAAATCTTACCCTTTCCCATAGCTTGGTATGATCCCTGCAGAAACCAACAACAATACCACAACTCTTCTTGCCTTCACGATACTCGATGCAATGATCTTCCTTCAAACCGCAAGTAACGTGGAAAGCCAACTGACATTTCATCTCTGAACACTCGATAACACAACCGCGTCTAATCTTGCACAAGTAACACCTATCTCTCCATCTCTTACTCGGTATCTCGCTGCAACAGATCCCTTCCCTTCCTTCAGGATCCTCAAAGTAGACTTCCGGGACAAGCAACGAGCAAGTGATGTGAGCCCATCGACCATCCTTTGTCGGTTTCATTGCTCCACCTTTGCTTGTACACAAGCAGCAAGAGAAGAGCTTTTCTCGGTTCTTCGATGAACGAGATGCGATACACTGCCTGCAGAACCAATCGCCTTCTGGGATAGCCTTAACAAGAGGGTTCCCATAACATGAAGCATGAACCATTAAATCACAACCATCACAGAACACGATTGGATTTGATGGTTCACCATCTGTGCTTTGACATACAGCACACATAATGCCATCTTCTTCTACTTCTTCAAGCTCACAGTGATCACTACCACTAACACAGTCTTCTTCTTCTTCTTCTTCCTTCTCTACTTCTCTATCAGACAGATCCAAACAAAGTTCTTTCCCTAGAGGATCAATATTCTCTTTATTATCATCTTCTGCTTCTAAACCCGATTCAACCGTTACAGATCCCTTTTTCTTAGTTCCGTTCTCCTCAACAGAAGGCTTATACTCAACATTCAGATCAAAAGGCGAAAAGGGGTTACCGGAGAGCAGATCCGGATCAATCGCCCATATCCTTTTCTTCGCCGGCAGACAACGGTAAGTGGGGTTAGAGTTCTCGCCATCGTCATCGTAGTCAACGCGAGTATGCTTCCTCTTCTTCGCCGGCAACTGCATCGACTTCACCTCCGGTTGACTCGCTAGCTTCGGCTGCGCAAGTTCCAGATCTCGCTGCATCAATCGTAATCTCTTGAGAGGAGGCAAGTTTTGATATTGAGCATCCATGGCGGCTTCTACTTCAGATCTCTGGGTTTACTGAGAAAATTTGAGACTATGTGAAAAGTCCTTAGATCTCACCGAAATTAAAAGGGCAGACGAAATCATTAGTTTGCCGCTGAACTTTTTCAGAAACGGTGTTTTAGTGAAACAGTGGGTGGGAAAGGATACCCGCCAAAAATTATTCACTTTGAAAATTTCGTTAATTTCTTCATTTTTTCTCCGTCAACCGAAATAACATTCAGATTTCACCCGCCATTTTTTTTTGTTATATGGCGGGGGAGGTGATTTTCGATGGGTCTAAATTAAAGCCCATTCCAGATATTAATGGGCTTATTTTTAAAAATGTGGGCTTATCCTTTTTTATCTTAATGAACGACACTTTAATATGTTTGTTCACAAATCAAAATCCTATGCATACCAAAAATCAGAGGAAACGTTACAAAAGGGAGGCTTCTTCGCTTTGATTTCATGAGTTGTTGTCTGTCAAAGGGACGACTTTAACATTTTCATCGATGTCCTTGTCCTTGTGGCTGCTGCTCGTATCCACCAGCCCACGTAGCCGGTTGTCCATACGGAGGTGGATAATAGCCTTCAACGCCTGCCTGTGCCTGTGCCTGAACCAGCACGTCATCATATTAGCACATTACTTTAGAAGATGTATAATATGTATGCACCTAAAACTACAAGAAGAGGAGATATGTGGAGATAGTTGATGTTCAGTTAGATATTCTGTAAGTTGTCCTGTCACAAATTTCATCGACCACATCTCCATTGTTGGTATAATAAGTCCATTCAGCCAGTTCTTGTAACATCAGATGGACTTGTTTGAACCTTAGGCTCTATCTACTATTTTGGCTAATGTAGTTTTGATTCATAATTTCATATCCAAGATTCAAAATTCAAACCAAGTGTGAAACCATCTAAGACATAAATGGTGAATTCAGGCATATATTTTTCTCAAGTATACCATAGCACACGCAAAATGCTCTTCTTGAGTAAAAACTAAGATATAGAATCCCACCAGAAGTGAAGAAAAGTTTCAAGTTACTGGATTCATGCCATAGTTTGGTTCAAATCCAAAATTCAAAATTCAAAATTCAAAATTCAAAGCAAGTGTGAAACTGTCTAAGACAAAATTGGTGAATTCAGGCATATATCTTGCTTAAGTTTACCACAGCACACGCAAAATGATCCCACGAGAACTGAATAAAAATTATAAACTTATAACTTACTGGATTCATGCCATAGTTAGGCTGATAAGGATTCACAGGATACCCAGCCTCATGATTACCATAGCCACCACCATAACCAACTCCACCTGATCAAAAACAAGTTTTTTTTTTGCTAATCAACACTGGTGCATTCAACTATAGATTGCTAGTAAATATTTGTCCTTCCAACATGTGATTTTAAATGACATTGTGGTGATTCATAGTTGTTTAAGTAGACCATACCAGGATTCCCAACAGGACCAGCTGCATAAGCTCTATTTTCTGAGTTAGCAATCTCTGCTCGAAGCTTCTCTAGTTCCCGAGCCATTGCAACTAATTTTTGCTCCATAACTTTGCCGTGCTCGTAGTTTTCCGCATACCCTTTCTTCTCATAATCAATAGCCGCTCTACAGAGCACAAATCACAGCTTAAAAATACACAGTAACACCAAGATGTACAAAAGGAAAATCTAAAAAAAAGAGACTGGTCAAACCTTGCACGTTGCAGCTCTTGCTTTGTGTTCTCAATTTCTGCAGTTAGTGTCGGTATCTGCTGCAAATCTGCCGTGACTCTAGCCAGATCTTGAGTCATCAGATGAACCTGGCTCGTTAGGTCCTGCCTACTCGAAGTAAACTCTTTGATATCTGCACGGACCTTCTGAATCTCAGCTCGCAAAGCATCGACTTCACGCAGTTCCATTTCGGACCGCAAGGATTTGTCATACATCTCCCTCATCATTATATCTTCCTCGGCTCTCAAGGAATCAATGTAATGCATCATTCTCTGCAACTCATGCTGAGCAACTTCTAGCTCCTGTTTAAGCGCAACGTGAGTCGCAGCGAGCCTCTGGTTATCACCAAGCAAGCCCTGCACATCTTGGTTCTGAGCAGCGATACGATCCTCCATGATTGAAAGATGTTGAGGAAGACCTCTTGGATCCACTCTGAATTGGGTTTCCCTACTATCATCTATCATTGAAGGACGAGGAGGAAGCACTGGTCCTCCCAAGCCTCTGACGAAAGGCTGTTGGTTAACCGGAGCTTGCAAGCCACCGTAAGATCCACCTTTCATCGAAGGAGGAGGTCCACGATTTCTTCCAGACATTACTGAATTGCTGAAATCTCGTGTAAATCTGCTAAACGAAAAGAAAATTTCTTCTCTAGGATCAAATCTGCAGACGTCAAAAAAACTCCCTATGCTCAACAGCTCAAGCAAACGCGAAAGAGGAGTTCTCTAACACTAAGCAGAAGCTGAATTATAATCTCAGTTCCTGGCAAGCTTTTCTCAAGAGAGAATCACACATGGTGTTCGTTTACAGCGAAAACAGAGGGAAACGAAAAGGTCTAGAGAGACTCAAAATTCACGCGGCTGACCTTTGACGATTGCAAACCCTTAACGAGCAACAAAAAGCCTTCTTATCACCGGAGAAAAAGTAAACTACGGTCCCTGAGAAAGCCCCTTGTTCATCAAATTGGAGATCGATCAACTCAAAACTCTTCGAAGAATGTTTTGCTCGCAGAGTTCTAGAAATTCCGATTGCTCCAGAGAAATCAAAACTTCTCCGGTAGTGGGAAGATCGGAGGTCCCTTAACAATAGTAATGTTACGAATTACTCCCTTTTATGTTACGTATTTACAGAATATCCCAACTATTACGTCATATTTTCTCATTCGCACCCACTTACTTCGGTATTTTCAATTTACTCCTTCATCTTTAATTCGTTGCTTCAGAGGTCCACCAAAGAAGAACATTAAACAGACCTTGTGTGGCTCGTGATCTCATATAAACCTTTTGTCCCTACAAGCTACCGCGATATATATTAGTTCATAAGCTATAACAAACGAAAACAAACCATTCAAGTGCTATATGTATTTATTATATAGTCAAGTGAACGTGAGATGATGGATTTATTTGAGGGGAAAAGAAAACAATAGGTATATATATCATAATGATGAACAATAATAAATTTATAACGGTGGAGTTCACATGAAGCTCATCATTTTCAACTATATTCTTTTCTCACTACCCTTACTCTCCAATCTCACTAATAGACCCTCTAAAAAAGACCAAAGACAAAAAAAACAATGGAAGCATTGTGGAAGTTGGAGGACAAACTGAAGCTAACGACGAAAGAAGCGGTCGTGATCTTGGTCGGAACAGCGGCTGCAGTAACGCTCCTCTGCACAGCCGCAGCGTTTCTCAACCGCAACTCTCGAGGAAAGCAAGTAGCAGACGCGGAGTGGGCGTCCGAGACAGCGGTTACGTCAAGAACAATGGAGGAAAAAAGGAGCTGTAAGTGGAGCAAAGTGAAGAGAAGACTGATGGGTTCGTTTTGTTGGAGCTCTGCAGCAAAGTGGATGGAGATGGAATCGCGGAGGCCGCGGCCTTTGCTTGCGGTTAAAGAAAGGAGTCTTAATGCGGTTGATCCGGTTTGGCAGCGACCGATTCTGATGGGTGAGAAATGTAAATTGCCACGGTTTAGCGGTTTAATCTTGTATGATGAACGCGGCCATCCGGTTCATCATACTCAACCTCAAGAACAAGTCAACGTAAAGTTACTCTTCTAATTTTTTTTTTTCTTCTATAGTAATTAAACAACAACAATAAAAAAAAAGATGTGTTATTATAGTCAGAGATTTGACATAAGTTCTTGTTGTTGCTTTGTAGGTACACCAAAGCTCTCTGGTACGAACAACTCTGAGAGATTTGCTTTGACGGTGGAAGTCTCTTGTAGTTTCGTGTACTACAAGTTAATGAAAGGTAATATCCAACATGTTTGGGTAAACAATGTATTAATGTGATGTAGAAGCGAATCTTCTTCCTTTTCTTTTTGTGTGTTATTGTTTATTTAGAGAGACAGAGAAATCAAACGACTTATGAACAAACACTTTGCTACAAATAGATGCAAATTATCTTTCTATTTTTTTTACTGCTTGGAGGGACAAAGAAAGCACAAAATCTTATGAACAAACAAATAGAATAAATCTTCAATAACAAACAATATATGGACAATGTTCTTCAAATCAACCCACCAGATAATTCCATCACCAAAAACCCAAACACACAGCAGATAATCTGTCATGTGCGTGTCTTGTCCTGATCATCTTCACCAAGTGAGCCATCAAAATCGAAAGAAACAAAAAAAAAAATCTCCATCTTTCGATCATGACAGAAGCAGGGAGGATCACACGAAGCTATACAAAATAGACAACAGCAACAAATAATCTTGATGTAACCACAATTTTGTTTTCTTTTACGACACTGTATATATGCTTCTTTCGGCGGATCATCTCACACATAGGAAACAATCAAAGGCTCTTTTGTTTCTTCCGCTACAGAATTCCTGTGGTAGTAACAGTACAAAGACAGCTGCACAATACCAAGAATCGTTCCTATTCCATTTGGTGTCTGAGTTTTCAAAAAAACATAAAACTTTTGTTAATACTCTAAAGGAAACAACACAAATTTGCAAAAGCAGATGTTCAAGAGAAACAACTTACATACACAAAGGCGTCGCTGTTAAATAATCCGTAAAGGAAGAAGGAACCGCTCATCAAGAATGTCGATAGAGAGAGATAAAACGGCATAAACTCAACGCTTTTAGTCCGAATCACTAGGTTCTGCAACAAGACCAGACACAAGTCAGGCAATCAAGAAAGCTTGCACACATGAAAAATATTTGGTCGACTTTTGTGGGGAACTTACGATAACAAACAAAGGCGAGGCAAACATCGAGACAAGAGAACCGCAGCTCAAGAACCCGACAAAGTACCATCTTGTGAGCTTTTCAGGTATCTGCAAACTTGCAGCTACAATCAATCCAACCACAGCAAACACAACAAGAAGCAAAACAAGCATCCTCATCTGCCATGATCATGATCTTGATTAGAACAGAATTTAGTGAACTTTTCTCTGTTAATAGAAGTAAAATTAAATCAAGAAACCTTGGTCTTTTTGTCTGTATGCATGATGAATAGGATAATGTAACAGAGCTGAAAAGTGGCTCCAACGGAATTCACAGTCATGAGCATGAAATTGCTGTGGGATATGAAAGGTGCACCGTACCAAAGGCAGATCAGGCAGTTTAAGAGAGCATAAATGTATGGCAAACCCGAGAATTGCTCCGTCGATTTGTTCCTCATGATTCTCCTAAACGTTGGCCTAGAGACACACAATTGAGAAAGAAATCAGTGAAGTCCATAAATTAGAAGAAAACTCTGTTTAATACAAGGAAGGAACAAATTTAGTAATTGATGAAGAAAAGGAAGAACTCACATTGGTGAAACGAATAGACCAAATGCAAATATGTTGCCTGAAACATAACAAATGATGCAACAGTTCAGTTTCTACAGAAGCAGATTTCTTGTTTTCTCAGAGGAAACATTTGAATCTTACTAAGACTGTTTCAGTGCCAAAGAAGAGAAATGCAGACCAAAAATGTCCAAACATATATCTTGATTTGGGGATATTCATGGCAACTAAGCTAGATCCCGCATATATTTATTTAAATTAAAAAAATAATCTAAATTTTGGGTTTTTATCCGCAAATTAGCTTAAAGACTTACCCAAAAAATCCAGTGAATAGATTCAAAAGCAGATTAAAGTTTTTATTACCTGCGATTCCGGCAACATCTTTCCACATGGAGAAAGAACCATTGAAAGCAACGAAATCCATGAGAAGCTTCTCTATCGTAAAAAAAAAAAGTCTCTTTCTCTCTTTTATGCTCTTTGAACAACAAAGCTTCAGCTTTTCTTCTTTGCTCTGTTTTCTTCTTATGGAGGCAGAATTTTGCAAAAAAAGAAGAAGAGAGAACTAATAGAGATTAGAGACTAGTAAATGGGAATTGTAATAGAAGACTTTCTTTAAAGAGCAAGGAGCAAAAGATTGAATGCGTACGACTATATATATGCGGTCCAGATTTGGCTGTGTCTTCTGCCTACGATCTTGCAAAAGTTAAATGCAAAACAAAAAATGTCGTAAAAGTTTACAGATTTGTTGACTAATTCCGAGATAATATATAAAATGCGCAACAGCATCTATACAAATCGTAACTTTCGTTAAAATTTAATCTTTGACTAGTAGACCTGCCTGACTTCATTGATTATGCTCTAAATATAATTTTGTCAGTATTATAAATAGAATGTAAACTATGTGATTTTGAACTGGAATAAAGGTTTAAATCTAAGGCTATCTTCAAAATTCCATCACAAATTTATCGACTCAACCATCAGCATAGAATTGAACGAAAACTAAAAACTGCATGTTAATTAGTTTATAAAATATAGAAATTTTGTTTCAGTCAGACAGAATAATTATGTAATTAAATGATGTGTACGACTTGTAGGTCACTGTTATGGATTGCTTTTACTTTGGCACGTGTAAAAAATCTTCATTGAATATTTCAGTTTCACGAATATTTTGAAATTATATATTGCAAAATGTGAAAAGTATATGCCCAATGGAGACGATTAAAATGTCATCTTGATTTAGCCTGAGCTCCAACGTTGCTCTCAGTCGACATTTGGTCTCCACTTGATTATCTAAAGACAATTGCTGACCAACCAATTTTTTTTTCCCGTTTTTTTGGGATTGAGCTTTTATAGCTTTTGTGTGGTGTACATGTGACATTCACCTACACAAGATTTTCAAAACGATAAAGGAATATAAATAGTAACATTTGGTCGTCGTGTGATCCATTTCAACAAGCTGTCGTGAGTCGTGGCCCCAATGCATGTGTCTCCAGCTGAATCACATGCTAAAATCCCAAGAATGACAAATCCAATGGGATGCGTAAATTAGTTCATTAGGAGAGCGTAAATGTATGGTAATTATGTAAGACATGAATCATATATATTTCACCGCGTTTCATAATTACTAATGTCTCAAGTTTAAAGCTAGACAATATTTCGAGGTATAACTCCTTTTCTTTGGCGTTAATATCATAATACTGACATACTGTTGTTTTTTTAACATCATACTACTATTGTTTATTATAAAGTTTGTAACCTTGAATATCAATTTAGAAAGTGTATTTTAGCAGCCAAAAAAAATTTGAATCTGTATACCCCAAAAAAGTTTGAAAATGTATTTCATATTTACTGTGCGTAGAAAAGTCTAAAATCTATTTTTTTATGAAACAGAGAAAATGCTTTGATATTTTACATTAGGAGGCAATTTAAGACAGGAATAACATGGTCTAGATAGTGTTGTATGATTAGCATTCAATTAACAATCTAGAACATGTAACTTTATATTTTGGTTAAAAGAACACATTATTTTTAAAAGATTAAAATTAGTTATAATTTTGTTTGACAAATTTACACCATTTAGTTCTGTTATATTATTTAGTGTCTCTGTACATTTTTGATATAGATTAGATTATTCTGCATAAGTTTCATGGATTTTTTTTTTTATTGATTGTTTTGTTTATGATTTGAAAGTATATATGTGCGTTAAAAACGTCTAGTCCAAATAATTCTATTGATAGACTTTCGCGGCGAGAGTTGATGAATGAATATAAAAATTGGACGTTGAATTTTGAATATAAAACCAGGAAGATGATAGAAAAGCTTGTACTAAATTTTTGTTTACAGCGAAATCATGTACTCAAACACGTTTCTTAATTCATATGTAATATTTTTGTATTAAATACCAATGCTCTCAACCTTATCTCTTTTAGTCTTTTTTTGTTGTACAAGTATTTAATTTTTTTACTTTAATAATCATACAGCCGTGGCCCATGCATCGACACAGATTAATGTGCAACTAGGACATATAGATATAAATAGAGTTTTAAAATTTTGACCTAACAAAAATATACTTTAAAGTTTAAACACGAAATATAAGATATAATTTTGAAAGTGTAAGTATTCAGATTTAATTTTAGTTATAATTAATTGGTGTTAATTGAGCTATAATTTAATTTTCCAGACGTTTAATGATATTAGTGAATAGTGATGGTGATCTATTTGAGTTCATTTTTCCTTCTGTGCAACATTTTATGTTCATGGCCATAGGATAGATTTTCAGAGTAATGGTTGAGATTTACACATGTATTTTAGAATATGAATTTGACCAGTCGAATAAAAATATCATAAGTATATAATTTCTAATTAGTTAGACGTGTGGCAAAAGGCGTTTAAATGTATTTATGTTTTTAAAAGTAATCAAGCTAGAAGGCTACACATGTCTAATGAAACATTGTTTTGTGGTTAACCCAGTAATTTTATTGATTAAAACTCGTTTCTTGTCTCTAATTTGATGAACATTTACGAGTCAGACAGGAATTAATATCATGAAAACTCTGCTCCATCGAAGCGATCAAAGCGGCGGACATATTTAAGGCTTTACATTTCTGGCTTCCAATATTATTTCAACGGTTGAATATTTCCAGATATGTTTAAATTTAATTAAAGAATAACTCGATTAGATGCAAGTTAAAAAAAGAAACAAAACTTAGTTCAGATCTCTTAGATTTTATAGACTTTTTACATGCATGCTCGTAGTCATAGTTATACGTATTTAACCCACTCAAAACGTGATTATATGGTTTTAAACGTTTCGTCCGGTCTCTGATTCAAATACGGACAATTAGTAGTTTAGAAACACCCACTTGTGAAGAAATTCATTTTGCATGTATCTGAACGTTGCAGACTTGCAATTTTTCTTTCCGATACAACTGTGTAAAGCCAGATTCTAGACTTCTAGCTAGTCCTTATCCAATGAAACAATAATATATATTATTTGTCTTAGTCAACAAATATAATTTTTCTTTAATTCTAATCAACTAATCCTAAAAGCAAAGTACGCGATCTATATACAAAGCGTGAGACAACTAATCTTTTCCTTTTACTTCTAAGTTTCTAACGTTACGCAAATATCACGAGTACTTTTTTATTAATCAAATATATGTCTTTTGCTAGTTGCTATTGTGTTAAATAAGTGATTTAAACGACGAAAACCATGATCCAATTAGTATAGTTGAAGAATATATCTTTAACTGAAAATCAAATATCACCGTCTTTCCAAAAATATAAAATCTTATGGGTGACATGTTGATTCTTCATTAAGCGAAGTGGGTTTAGATCCTTGATCCTTTCGTTTGCATTTTTGTGTTACGGTGTGATATCTGGTGAGGATGTACATATGTGGTAAAGTGGCAATAATAGTAGCTATTTATAAAATTTTATCATAAATATTATTTTTTACATGAAACTATATATAATACAAAATTTTTAGGCAAACAAAAATTATTAGTCAAAAAGTATAATTCAAAACTCACTTGATTCAAATATCGGAATCAGCGCGCTAGATGGGGTGATAAGATTTACCATCTCAACTAAATGACCATATATATGACTCCATATAAATATAATCAAATAGTTTTGATTTAATAAAACGTTTACTATTATATACGTTTAATAAAAAAGTACTTTACCAGCTTTTACGTGAGTTATGGAAAAATTATGAAATCCAAGATGTAATCAAGGGTTGCTGTCCAAAAAAATAAAAAAAAAACATTAGTTAAGGGTTGATAAGACGTAGAAATAAATAGATCGTTACGTAAAACATCTGCAGGAAGTGTATTGATTTGTAAACGTTAAAATACTTCTCTCTGACCATTTATTATATGTCAGTCGTTATAAGAGAAAACAAAACGCACATGTTATATTGACATGTGGACGATAATGTATATTGACATGTGAAGAAGCCAACTCCGTACGTAAAGCGCCATTTGCGCTGCAAATACTGATCCTCAACTACAGTGGATTCTTTTCTCACAAAAACATAGACCGTTTCAAATATATGTTCCCAAACACTTGTGAGACATTCTATACAAAGTTTATCATGCACCCTTCCTTTTTTTTTAACGTCAAAATGATCATGTACTTCTGTCACATTATTTTTGTACATTATGAATATATAGACATTTGTATTCTCTCTTTCGCCGAATACACACATCTATATATTTGTAAATGTAGCAGGTTTAAATTTTGGAGTAAAAGAATAGTTGATTTTGACCACATAGAGAACTAATGGATCAATTCTCACTAATACAAATATTTGGTGAAAGCCTTAGAGGTGAGAAAGTCCAAGGCCCATAAAGGCCTATTACGGCCACCCCCGGTCACGTAAAACCAAGCCTCGTTCTCGTTGATGAGGCCGAATATAAAAGGCATCATCAAATCAAACATGTGCGTAACGTGATATTTAATTTAGCATTTGCAAGTAATGATCACTTCTGTTTTTTCTTTTAGTATTTAGTTCTTCACTTAAGTTTTCCACGTTATTTATTAATATACAGGAACTGCTTTTTCTTATTTTATTGGAAAAATCATGTTTTATGTTTGTTCAATTAAAATTTCAGCACAATTTCTTTTTCATTTTTTTATATGAAAACTTTAAGGTAGAAATGGGAAATTGCGAAACCGAATCATGCGGACAAAACGAAATTTCTGCGTTGCCTATATTTTTTGTTGGTAATTTTTAAAACAATAAACAATTAATTTGACGTGATAAAAACAAAGGGACATGAAAAAACTCTAAAAGCGTAGTAATGGTAATTTGGTAATTTCAAAGTCCGCTGGTTCTCCGTAACTGTCTCAAATTAAAAAGAGGGCTTACTGTTTTCTGACGCTCGTTAGATTCCCTCTCTTTCTTCTTCATTTTCTCCTCTTCGTCTTCACTGCTAATTCCCTTGATCTCTCTCCCTGTCCTCCAATTTTCCCTCTCTACAAATATCGACTCCTTCTTCAATATTAGATTGATCCTGATCCGATTCGAGCCGGTACGTACCTGAACTGTTTCTGTTTCTCTGAGCTAATTCGTGAATGTACGAGGTTCTGCTGCGTTTTATTTTTTTTGATGGTATAGTTGACATGTTTTCAGGATTTTTTGTTGTATACTCTGATCTTTGATGCTTGTTTATCGTTTTGCCATTGGATCTGCTGCTCGATCTGGGCAATTTCTCGCATTTGATTGCTACATTTGTCATAACTTCGGGATCTGGATCTACCTTTTTTTTCTGATCATTTAGAATTTCGCTAACAGCTTTAGATTTTCGTACTTATCGCGTGGATTTGGCTTCCCGCTACTTGTTCAGCTGTATCTGTTAAAATCTCACAAATTTTTATTGAACTGAATCATGGGGTTTTCAATAGGATAGATCTGGTTGAGTTGTTCTCCTCAGTAGCTGTTTCCTTCCACATTTGAGCTTAATCGATTTCATGGAGTAATACGGGTGATCGTGATTTCGTTAATCACATCTGATCCGATGACGTTCATGATATATATACTAGCCATTATTTACCTGTTTGCTGGATCTTTTGTCCTTCGATTAAATCTGGCTGTTTCGTCATTGACGAGTGTACTGAAAGCTTTTCCGAATGCAAATATAATGTTTTGTGTTGTTGCAGATTATATATTTATCATCACATGGCTACATATAAGCCCAAGAACATCCTCATCACTGGGGCTGCTGGATTCATAGCGTCCCATGTCGCCAACAGGCTTGTTCGAAGCTACCCTGACTACAAAATCGTTGTGCTTGACAAGCTTGATTACTGCTCAAACCTGAAAAACCTCAATCCTTCGAAATCCTCTCCAAACTTCAAGTTTGTCAAGGGAGACATCGCCAGTGCTGACCTCGTCAACTACCTTCTCATCACTGAAAACATCGACACGATTATGCACTTTGCTGCTCAGACCCATGTCGACAATTCCTTCGGTAACAGCTTCGAGTTTACCAAGAACAATATTTACGGCACCCATGTCCTTCTGGAAGCTTGCAAAGTCACTGGGCAGATCAGGAGGTTCATCCATGTGAGTACCGATGAGGTCTATGGAGAGACTGATGAGGATGCTTCAGTGGGAAACCATGAGGCTTCTCAGTTGCTCCCTACAAACCCTTACTCTGCCACTAAAGCTGGAGCTGAGATGCTTGTGATGGCATACGGTAGATCATACGGGTTGCCAGTTATAACGACTCGCGGGAACAATGTCTATGGTCCGAATCAGTTTCCTGAAAAGTTGATCCCTAAGTTCATTCTGTTGGCTATGAGTGGGAAGCCACTGCCGATCCACGGAGATGGATCTAACGTGAGGAGTTACCTCTACTGCGAAGATGTTGCTGAGGCGTTTGAGGTTGTTCTACACAAAGGGGAAGTCAACCATGTCTACAATATAGGGACAACGAGAGAAAGGAGAGTGATTGATGTTGCCAACGACATCTCAAAACTCTTTGGAATAGACCCTGACTCCACCATTCAGTTTGTTGAGAACCGGCCTTTTAATGACCAGAGGTACTTCCTCGATGACCAGAAGCTGAAGAAGTTGGGATGGTCTGAACGAACCACTTGGGAAGAAGGACTGAAAAAGACAATGGATTGGTACACTGCGAACCCTGAGTGGTGGGGAGATGTCTCCGGAGCTCTGCTGCCTCATCCACGGATGTTGATGATGCCTGGTGATAGACTCTCTGATGGCTCTGACGAGCGCAAGGATGCAGACGGTAATCAGACATTCACGGTGGTTACTCCCACCAAGGCCGGTGGTTCCGCAGACAAAACATCCTTAAAGTTCCTCATCTATGGCAAAACTGGGTGGCTCGGTGGTCTCCTAGGAAAGATATGTGAGAAGCAAGGGATTCCGTACGAGTATGGAAAAGGGAGACTAGAAGACAGAGCTTCAATCATGGCGGATATTCGCAGCGTCAAACCTACCCATGTCTTCAATGCCGCGGGCTTAACAGGCAGGCCTAATGTTGACTGGTGTGAGTCTCACAAAACCGAGACTATCCGAGTCAACGTCGCTGGTACTTTGACTCTGGCAGATGTTTGCAGAGAGAATGATCTGTTGATGATGAACTTTGCCACCGGTTGTATATTTGAGTATGACGCTGCACATCCAGAAGGTTCAGGGATTGGCTTCAAGGAAGAAGACAAACCGAATTTCACCGGTTCCTTCTACTCAAAGACAAAGGCAATGGTAATATACTACTACATCACATAACCAAATCACATGTGATCCTCAAACTGTGCAACTCTGTTCATAAATCCTCTGTTTCTATTTTCGCCAGGTCGAAGAGCTTCTAAGAGAGTTTGACAACGTATGCACCTTGAGAGTGAGGATGCCAATCTCATCCGACTTGAACAACCCGCGAAACTTCATCACAAAGATCTCGCGTTACAACAAAGTGGTGAACATCCCAAACAGCATGACCATACTCGACGAGCTCTTACCAATCTCAATCGAGATGGCGAAGAGGAACCTACGGGGGATTTGGAATTTCACCAACCCAGGAGTGGTGAGTCACAACGAGATACTAGAGATGTACAAGAGCTACATCGAGCCAGGTTTCAAATGGTCCAACTTCACTTTAGAGGAACAGGCTAAGGTCATTGTCGCACCACGGAGCAACAACGAGATGGATGGTTTTAAGCTCAGCAAGGAGTTTCCAGAGATGCTTTCCATCAAAGATTCGTTGATCAAATACGTCTTCGAACCCAACAAGAGAACGTAATACCCTCAGTAACACATACACACACACACACTTCCTCTTTATCTGTTCATTGTTATATTATTATCTTGCAGGTAGTTTCACCACTATAATGATTCTACTATAATTTTATTTTGTCATATGATTCATTTACTCTTTTTTTGGCTTTCTACGTCGAACATGTAGCTCTCTTGACGCATTCTACGTCACAACACATTTTGTTTTCATTAATATTATTTATTAAACGATAAAATTGCTTGAAGTTTATTACTTTCACTATTGATTCCTCCTTTTAGTTTTCATCTCAAAAGAGCAGAGGACAGAGATTAAGAACGAAACAGCATTGACTGATAACTTATTTCCCTATGCTTTTAAACTTGAGGTTTCTATTTGTTACAAAACAATGTCTTTCATAAAGTTAAATCTTTCTATTGCATAAATCGAAACTGCAAACTCAAAATGTAATATAAATTAAACCTTCTGTACTTCCTGTCCCCAAATCTTCACCATACGACCATCTAAAAGCAGAATTTTTCACACTACGAACAACATTCCATAATCTGATCATCCTTGCAACAAAGCATACCGATTCGTAAGCCTTCAATTTGAATGAAGACGTAAAATGATGAATAAAAGGTAAGAGAGAGGAACAGAAAAAGCTCAGCACCTTGAAATTTGTTGTTCTCTTCACATAGCTTGAGCGTATTGTTGTCTAGACAATGGTGGAATTTCTTGTCCCGTCATAAAATTTAAAGTCAAAAGTCAGTAGTAGTTGGTGATTGATTGGCTCCTGAGTTCTTACAAAGGAGGAGAACACTTAAAAAACAGAGTATGAGAATATACCTTCTGCCTCTGTAGACAACCAATCATGTGCACAGAACAGAGCCTGTCTAATATCAGGGCTCAAGGAACTCTGGCTATCATCGATCACCGGTCTCCCGGAGTTGAACGTTGAATCAGGCGCAAGGATCGACATCGGCGTCCCCAAGATATCGCGTGCCATCATAGAGAGGATAGGGTATCTCGGCGTATGGACCTTCCAGTAATTCAGAATGTTGAACTCGCCACTACGAGGAAAGATTGGTTCAGACAAGTACTTGTCCAAGTCCGATGTTGTGTTCTGGCTCTGAGATGTCTCGTGGAGAAACTTGTCGAATCCTTTCAACCTGTCTCTAGTGTCCATACCTGCTCTACCTAAGCCAGAGCCAGAGTAGGAAGAGTCGTCCCCAACAATGGCTGAGCATATCGAATACGCATCAAGAAGCTCCTTGACACCATTCGACACTTCCTTGATACGATCCAGAGCTGTGCTTCCATAGATTTTCGAGTAGTAATACTCTACCAACTTCATCTTGAACCGTGGATCCAAGATAGCAGCGATTGCTAAAACAAGGCTGCATTTGTTCCAGTACTCATCGAATTTAGCCTTCATCTTCGCTGCGAGAGAGCTCAAGAAAGTGTCCTGGTTCTTGCACCACTCGATCAACTGGATGTGGATATCACACATCTCAGCGAAGTATACATTCGCTGTCGGACACTTGTTTCCTGAAAAATCAGCGGCGATCTCGAACACAAGTTTGAGATAACCGGTAACGGATCTTGTCCACTCCCACTCCTCGTCTGTCAGAGATGAATCAAACCCGTGGTCGTGGTCACGCAGGTGGCAAAACGCGCCCTTGTACTCCAGTACGGTTTCAAGCATCGCGTAAGTAGAGTTCCAGGTAAGAAGAGAATCAAGAACTAGGATCTTCTCGGAGTTGATCCCTGCGAGTTGAGCGATTTCGTTGAACCTCGCTTGTGTTGACTGCGAGCTCTTGACATATCTCACGCTTCCTCGAATCTTTTGGATCACGTCACTCATTGCCTCCAAGCAATCTTGGACAACAGAATTCAGAAGATGAGCGGCGGATTTCAACTCATATAGCTGCCCGTTGATTAAGATCTGGCTGCTCTGAGACATGTGGTCTTTGATCCTCAGGACAATCTCATCATTCACAGAGAAACTGTCAAAGGTAACGGCGAAAAGCTTGCTCTCAAGACTCCATTCCATCAAACACCTGATGATTACTTCAGAGAGCATATCTTCCGTATGAGAAGGATCCAAGGTGATAAAGTTGAGAACTTTCCTCTGTAGCCTCCAATCCTCGTCGATGTAATGAGAGGCCAAACAAACATAGTTAGCATTATCCCGAGAAGACCACATCTCCACCGAGAGATTGATCTTACCGTACAAATGATTCAAAGTGTGTTGCACTCTCTGCTTCTCTCTAATGTAAATCTCCATACACGATTCCTCGATCGCGCTACTAGGCACAGCTTCAAACAACGGCTGAAGATTCCTAGCAAACACTTTGAACCCGACATGTTCGACCATGGCTAACGGATAACGGTGCAATATAATCATACGTGCAAGATCAGCCTGGCTCCTTTCTTGACTGAACCTTCCTCCTCCTCCTCCTCCTCCTCCACTTCCTCTGCTTAGAACCATCTCGTCCCTGCGTTGCTCCTGATCAAACTTAGGCCTGAGGTAATCGTCTTTCGCTTGACCTTCATCGAAACTGATAGTAGCAACGGTTACAGCGTTCTCTTTTTTCCTTCTTTTGGGAGTCAGCAGCTGAGACATGTCGTGGTTGGTTCTTTTCAGACAACGCATGAGATGGTTCCGGAGATGAGTCGTGCCGCTGTTGCTCGAACCGCTGAGTTTCTTGTTACACTGAATGCAAACAGCGTAGCACACATCGGCTTTTCTCACCCTCTCAAAGTAATTCCACACAACAGATGTCAACCTCTTTGATTTCTGCAGGATGATCTCATTTGATTCATCCATCATACAATCCCCTGCACCAGAAAAATCCAATATTTCATTGATTAAAAGAACAAACTTTAGACTGAAAAACACAAACTTTTTTGTACAGAATTACAATGGCATGAGAGAGTTTACTTATATCACAATCAAAATAACAAAAATCCTCATAAATCAAAGCTAAGAGATCATCACATCACATCACGCCACATTCTGCAACAATACCATAACCACACAAATCGGATTCACAAAAGTAATAAAAAAGGTATCTGCTAAATGAAAACAAGCACAGCTAGAAAAATTATGATGAAATTAGTTATTATACACTAAAATTTGAGAAGAACGCAGAGTTTTTTTCATATGAAGAAATTAGCCGAGAGAGTGAAAGACAAACAGAGAGAAAAAGCAAAGAGGTTTGAAATTAAGGCACCTTTGTTTATAAAAGAAAAGCCGTCAGAATCTGTGGAGACTCAGACTACAATCGGAGGATCCGAGGAGTTGTTTTAAGGGTTACGGGTGGAAGAAGCTGGATCGAAGAATATCAGATCCGATGGATGATTTGGGTTATAACCGAAACTCGGGTGGGTTAAACCGGAAGTTACATAAGGAAAAACCGATCCGGTTCTGGATCCGACTCTGTCCCGGTTTCGTTATATATATCATCATAACGGGCCCCTTTGCGCGGCTAGATAGATCTGATTCCGCCATCCAATCCACTAAATTAATTATTATTCATTTTGTAAACCACATTAACCCCAAATTATGACGGCCAAACAGAAATTCGTAGGTTACATTTTAATTTTTTTTTTATAGCATCCAATAAAATTAAAAAAAAATTCTAATCTCAATACTTTTTTGTTTGGTAAAGTTTAATCTTAAATTCTTAATACTTGAGCTTATCATTCCTGACCAACTAAAATATTTCTTTCGTTTATTTGGACGAATATTCTACGTTTACGAGAACCATTCCAATAATTTTATTTCAATTCAAATTACTGTCACACTAATATCTTTTTATCTTTATTTAGTTTATACAATGGTAGACACATTGCATATGAAAATTATTTTTATTATTTTGTAGGACTTATTTTCATATTTCATTAGAAATTTTTATGTCTTAGCGATTTGTCGTTCATGATGTGGTTAAAGGCTTAAAGCTACATCAAGAAGACTTATGAGTGAAGTATTTCGGATATTATTTTCGCTACTTGAGATTCAATCTTTTTGTTACTTGCTCATCTTCAACATCTTTTATACAGTTGAACTTTTTCATTTAAAATTTTAAGCTTTTTTACTTGTAATTGTGTCTTCATTTCCATTTACTTTAAAGCAATATCAAAAATGTCTGAGAGCCTATTACAGTGACTATATAGTTATTCTCAAATGACAAATTACTACTTCAAGAAAAGAAAAAACAAACTCATGCTTACCAAAAACACTCATACATATATATACACAAAAATCATTTTCTGCTTACGCATAATGCAATGAAAAATCCATTTCTGTCTCTCGCTCAAACAATCTTTACAAATTCAGGCACCGCGTTGATGCAACCAGGCAGGAGGAAGACGGTCTGAAGTCCCCGGAGTAATCGGAGGAGGAAGACTACGAATATGAATGCTTTGAGGATATAAACGATACTCGATATCGAGATCTCTACAAGCTTTTCCAACTTCTTCAAGTAATAGACCTCTCCTTATATACCTCTCTCCCATGTCTTGAAAATTTATTCTATGCGTCAACCACACTGCGATCTTTATACTTTTTATGTCATCCATGTTTAGGAACACTATCATAGGTGCAGGATACCAATGATCCTTCTTGTTGTCTATGTAGCTGCGTTAAAAAAACATAAGAATATGAGTATGGTTAGGAATCTTTGCTTCCAAGGTACTTAACCTAGGGAATTAGGGTTTAACTAACCTGAGTATTCTCTGTTTAATGGCAGCTATCTTTTCTGGAGGAGTTGCTATGTGAACACAGAATTCAACCGCATCTCCCATATCGGGACTTCGGAAATAGTTCGCTATAGGTTTTGTGCCGAGAACACTATTCGGGTATACGATCTTTTGATTATCATATCTCAAGAAAACAGTCGTCAATATGTTCATTTCCTCCACAACCAACTGGTAATATAAAAGATACAAACAAGATCAGAACAAGGTCATCATAATATTATAAGATCAACAGCAATTTGTTGTATTACTATTAGGAGGGGAACAAACCTGAACACCGTCGATTTCGCAGCGGTCACCAACATCAAATGGGTGCATAACGAAAAGGAAAATGATGGCTTCGAAGATTGTTTTGCACGAGTTTCCGAATACAAATGCTACTAGAAGGAGCTGAGAGCTTAAGACTAGCAAGAATCTGCTTGTGGCGATTCCGAGTATAAGAAGCCAGATGATTGTGATTATGATCCCAATCAACACATTGATTATACGGTGAAGCCTGTTTACTGCTGTTTTTGTATCGTTTAAGGTCAAAGCCAGAGCCCTCCGTTCTCTAAACGCCTTAACCTGTGAACAAAATCTTCGCCGTCAAGATAACTCTGTTCTGTATATGAATTATTTCTTGACATATATAAAAGTTGAGACGTACCACCCAATTCTTGAGGCAAGACTTGCTGATCTTATGGGTCTCTGAAGCTCCTTCAAAGAGAGCCATGGCTCTTTCGGACTCCTCTTCGGATAGAAAACGCAAGAAGTCTTCCAAATATATGTACCTAAAACCCCGGAAAAAAAAAACACTCTCAAGATTTGAGCATAAACCAAATGAAACTAAATCAAGAACTTTGAGAAATATGATCAAAACTCTCAAGCTACATATATAATTACCTGGAACCAGGCTCAGTGACATTGTGGAAAATCTTCTTAGCTGCAAATTTGGCTTCACACTCGCTTCTTATCTGTGTAGCGTTCTCATCTTCCGGAACTGTGTCCTGTATATGTTTATCCAAAGTAGAAAGAGCGCCTTTTCGTATTATATTCATCAGTTTCTTCATATTCCAAGCTGACACATTATCTGTGTTCATTCTCTGCAAATGATCAATCCTTATCCCGTCGCTATCTCCGTCCTTCTTAGAACCAACCCGAGACAGTCGTCGACTTTTCCCGACTTTCATAAAACTTCTAACCGTCGCCTTTAGCGCTGGAGGCAACTTAGCTCCAGCCAATTTCTCTAAGCTCTTAACATCGTCTGCTACTTTCTGGTCTTCTTCCTCCATTCTCTGAATCTCCATCAAAGGTGGACCCGACAGAGTTTCAATCACGTATTGTGTGAACAAGGACTCCTGAATCCGATCAAAGTAAGTGCTCATGTGGAACGACGAAGCCAGAACCTTAACCAAGAGTGTCTTAATCAACCAAATGATCACAGCAACAAGCAAACACACCAGCACTCTTGTCACGTACCTAATCGCGGTGGTCCGAGTCTCTCTTTCGACTTTCTTATCGAACAAGAAATGCCACGCGAGCAACACTTGCCCTAGCCACAAGGTGTTTTGAACCGATTTTCGTACGCCGTAGACGAAATACAGAACCCTTTTTCTCAAGAGTAAGTTTTTTTCGGCGGAGAAGACAAGTATTCTCACTACCCAACTCGAGACCAGTCTCCCACAAATCAGCACCAAAACCGTCACTTCCCATTTCCACAAATCTAGCTTCCACCATGTCTTGCGTTGCAAGCTATGTACGGTCAAGCTACAGACCAAACTGGTGATTATCAGGACCAGGCTTATCCATTCAAGCAAAACCCAGATGCTAAGTTTATCCCTTTTGAATTCCTTCGGAAGATCCTCGTCTTGAAAAGGATCTTCCTCCTCTTCTTCCTCCAGTATCCCGCCGCGAGATGGAGTCCCCGGTTTAGGGCTTCTCCCGAGAAACCCGGATTTCAAAAGCCCGGATCTCCGACCCGACTTCATCTCTGTTTTGTCAAGCGTTGGATGTGTCGGTGTTGGAGGCAAATCCTGCAGTCTTGATTTCGTGTGGTTCCTCCTCAGCATCGGTGGTTTGTTCGAACTACACCTCACAAACTCTGCCCCGTCTCTGTTACCGTAACCGTTACGGCCTTCTTCGTCGCTACTTCCACCGAGTGATATCCTTTTCTGCCTCCGTCTAACCGCGTCGGCCTTTCCTTTAACCGTGAACGGAGAAGATGACTCGGAAATCGGCGTTAGGCCACTTGGCGGCGTGTTGCTCTGGTGCTCTGCCATGTTTTGCTCGACATCGACAAAGATCTCCGCGCCGGCAGTATTCTGCTTTTGAAGGGAATTATTGACTGGCTTCGACGGCGGAACAGATATATCATGCGACCGCGCCCTCCGACGAGTGAAATGGAAACTCCCGCCGTCTTCGTCGCCGCCTCCTTTATCATCGTTCTTACCCTTTTCTCCGTCCCAGAAATCGTAGCTCGATTCCCTCCAGATGTTCCTTCCGTCGGCATTGCTGCTTGACCCTGTAGCACCAACGGCTCCGCCCTCTTCGCCGTTGATCTTCACGATGAAGTCCCGCCGATCAGTTGAATCGACGGTCATGATTGATAGATCTCGCAAAGCAAAAGAGTGCTGGTTTTTTTTATAAAAAAAAAAAAAAGAGAGTTTCTTTGGAGCAGAGAGTAGTGACAAGTAGGCTCAGAGAGGAAGATGAGGGTGAGAGGTAAGGAAACTAATTGAGCAAATAAATAATAAATGTTATGGAACAAAAAAACAAAACTCAAAATAGCAGGTGTATTTGGTGTTAATGGGAAAGGGGAAGACAACTTGTTCTCAGATGCAACGTGTAAATATTTATGATTTTATAATGTAACTATGTTTTTATCATCCATGTGATATTTGATGTGATGTGATGTGATTTGGTGAGTCGGAGATGAGATTTCTGCTAATTGCTAAAAGCAACAAAAACAATAATTCGATAAAGTTTTTTCTTTCTTTTACCATGTCCCCTGAAAAAAGAAAGAAATATTAGTGTTTGTACGGAATGAAAGTGAATGCCGGCATTATAATGGAATTTCAGAAAATGATAACAATTGGAGTTTTATTTATTTATTTGGGTTGCATATTATTTTTTTTGGGGGGCTAAAACGATGATAGTTTGAAGCTTTAAGAAAACCTAAATAGTTTCTCTGTTTTGTTTTTGAATAAATGACGTTCTAAATTTTCTCAATTATTTAAATGTTATATTTAAGTGCACTCTTCAAAGAACGTCACTTAAGAATTCTTTCTTTTTTGTTTTACAGAATTTATCAATTTACTTTTTGACAAAGTTTCTATCACTTCAGCCAAATTATATTTTATTTGAAGTCATTATCATCTAGTTAATGATATATTAATTAAGAGTATATTTGTATCGTTAAATTTTTTAAATAAGTCATGTGAAATATGCCAAAACAATTATATTTGTGAAACAAAGTGAATACCTTCAAAACGATATTACTTTTAAGCAGTTGATTAGCTTTATATAGTTTTATTAATTTTAAATTTGAGTAAAATAGGATGTCAAAAAAAAAAAAATATATATAACAATAATATGTTTTAATAAAAAAAAGTAACATCAAAATTTTAAAACGATACTTATTTCAATTAAAAATATTACTCTAGCAACATTTGTTTTAAAATAAAATGAGTGGTATATTCAGTTTCTTACATATTAAGTTAAAGGAAACGAAGATTATACATGTTAATATGTCAGTAATTTAACCGGTTATTCAGATAGTTTTAAAACAAAATGAGGTACTGAGTTTTTCCAATAGGAAAAAAAAAATTGATATGATATAACATTTTGTCGATAAGAATATATATTTCATATAATATACATTTTTTATCAGATAAAAATCGAGCTAAAGACTGGATGGAATTCTTGTAACTATGATCTCCGATTCAATTTTATTACGCAAGTACTACCACTTTGACGTTTACATTAAATTCCAATTCATTTGATATAGCACTGAAACATGTTCTGCTGATTGATTGGACCATCTATATTTGGTTGGAATCAATCCGAGTCATCATCATCATTGTTATATGATCTTCGAAATTCAAATAAAATATCTTATTATCAGCATCACCACTAAACCATTTTTATAATCTTAGTACTTAGACGTGTCATGCTCTCAATGGTTTGGGTTTAGTAAGTCAAAAGGTATACAGAAGTAAAATCATTTATCTTAATTGTTTCACTTCACTAGCCAGTGTAGCCTAATGTTTGGTAGAGGGAGCGAATAAGTAAAATATTTTAAAAATATACAAAAGGTCACAGAACAACCAAACATACGGAATTTAAAATAAATAAAATACTGTTGTGCCAGACAGACATACGTGGCCGCATATTAGCGGTGGAAAGTAACTAGAACAAGGACAGTTGGACTGATAAGTGATGTACACGTGGGTGGCCATAGTTGGTCGACTAGGCGAATAAATACAAGGTTGTAAGAAAACGACAGGAAAGCGATAGATGAAAGAGGAAAACGGCACACAAGCCAGAGACGCAACTAACTAAAGGTCAATCGACATGGTTTCTCCACTGGATTGAACACGGCATAGCTTGTAATTATCGTCCCTACTAAAGTTGGATAGATTTCAGAAAAAAATGTATCATAATATATTTTTGGCAATGTTCGATCCGATTTGGCTTTCCTTCAGATCTTTTTTCTTTTCTTTTCAGTTTTACTTTATCTGTTTTAGAAACAATACTATTTCATAGACAATGAAATGTAAATATACATCGGTTTTGGTATTTAAAAACATTGATTTTGCTATTGAAATCGCTTTAACTTTTTTAAAAAAAATAAAATATATTATCATTTCCGATAAGATTTGTGTGGTTCGGTTCACATTTGATCAAATAAAACATCATTGAATGGTAGCAACAACATTAAAAATCAATTAATTGAATGATGGCTTCCAATAATACAAATAGAAGACTTATATCATTTTTTGGATCTATTTTTTTTCTCAACAAAATTATACTCTCTCCGTTTATTAATATAAGATGTTTTAAGACTTTTTTTTTGTTTGAAAATATATAATGTTCACAGAAATCAATGCAAAATTTATTAATGACTTGTTTTAATCAAATAAGCAAATAATAATAAATAGGGTTATAATAGACATTTTACAAGTTTTCTTAATTCATATGTCCAATTCTAAAACATCCTATCTTTTAAAACGGAGGGAGTAATATATAATGAAACACAATCCATCGATAACTATGTTAGTCAAACATTTGAGTACTGCTAGAAATTAATTCCATTAATGTTTTGTAACCGTTGTGATCAAGTGTTTTAAAAAACGTCATTATATTCCCAAAACTAAATAGTACAGTACTGTAGTAGTATATTTTCCATTAGGTTTGAAAATAAGTGTTTTGGAACAGTGGTGTTTCGGTGTGTCCCAACAAAAACGGTTTGCGCTGGATCTCTAGTTCGATTTCTGCTTGGGAGGGTCTCACAAAACTTCGACGGAGAGATGCATGCCCATCCTCAATGTTAAAATCTCAATTTACCATAACAATTTTTTTTAAAACCCTTGGATCGATGTATTAAAGAGAAAAGAATAAGTGATTTGATGAGCGAAATCATGGCAAGAAAAGGCATGCATGTCTTGATTACGCTGGAGTGAAAAAAAAGAGAAAATCGAATGAAAAATGGATGATTTGCATTGATTGTTCGTGATAGTACGTTAGATGGATCATGTTCATGGACCACATTTCTTTGGTATTCCAAAATGTGACTGTGGAGCCTCGGTCCAATCATCGTGCATATATATATATAATATTTCGTCTAATGTTACTGTGGAGCCTAGCTAGGTTTGATAGAATTTCATAGGCTTTTCCCTTGGCTTCTAATCATGGATTCATTTGGTGGAGTCAGCATGCTTTAGTCCTCGTCCGCATTTGAATTTCATCATTGGTAGAGCGTTCTATGACCACATAAGATTTTTAAATAAAATCAAATATGAATTTAATGAATATATGCCTAACTGTATATTAACTACTAGCTAGGTTCACCGATTTCGATATCACACTTATTATTATTATTATTTTTTTAATAACATCAGTATCACACATCAATGTGCATTTCCTCTAGATCTAACTACGTACGTTAAGAATGTATACGTTATGATCATAGACGTAACGTAACATTAAAATCATATAAGAGACGATTCACTTTTAAGTTCGCACCGTACGTTTACATTTTTAAAGATATGATCAAGCGAGTAGTACGCCGTGTATGTAAAACAAAACACTATGATTTTCAAGATACAAGCTACAATATTTGTTTTGACTAAAAAAGGGATACAATATTTGCATCTAGGTATAGTATCACATTCTATGCATATGTATGTTTCTCTCTGATATCTTTCCTTTTTATTTACTTTCTATACGTACTTTATATATTACTTCATCTGTTTAAATCACTACCAAAATTTGTCGATTGCGTTTACAAATGATTTTTTCTTTATTTGTAATCGGAAACTTTTTAGAAAGTAATATATCTATTTTTGATTTAGATTCGGTGTATCATATTTTACATTTATTTTCTTTTCAAATCATTGCTATTTCACATATACATGTATTGAAATAACCATCTCATCATACAGTATATATATACGTATAGGAGTGTCTCTCATCTCAACATCAATTCTAAACAAAAAGAAATGTCAAATTTGTTTTCACACTCGATTAAGCGTAATATTTTTGGGAGCATGGATCTACGTTTTGTAGGGTTTCTCTTATTATTCGTTGTCGTAGAAGCAACCACAACGAACGATGGTACATACATCACAACTTGATTACAAAATAAATCAAGAACTTTATTATCTTAGTAGCCACACTCTAATCTATTTCTTTTTTTTTGGTGCATTAAGGTCCTACAAACATAACAGTTCCAGCGCTAATAGTATTCGGAGACTCAATTATGGATACAGGAAATAATAATGACATCCCCACTCTTCTTAAGGCCAATTTTCTTCCATATGGCCGAGATTTTCCTGATAGTATTCCTACCGGTAGATTCTCAGATGGGAGAGTTCCATCGGACATCATTGGTACTTAGATATATATCAAACTTTCTTTAACTCGTTTTTCTATTTGCTTTGTCGTTACTAGTCATATTGTATACTAATATAATGTCGCAAAAAAATTACAGCGGAGAAACTGGGGATAGCAAAGACACTACCACCTTATTTAGGCTCGAATTTAAAGCCAGATGATCTTTTGAAAGGTGTAATATTCGCTTCTGGAGGTTCTGGTTATGATCCATTGACATCTACACTATTGGTATAAAACATTTATATATGTTATACTCTTTAACTTAGTTGTTATTACTTATTATTGAAGATATTTATAACTTTTCTACTATTTACTTTTTTCAGTCTGTAGTATCAATGTCAGATCAACTCAAGTATTTTCAAGAATATTTATCAAAAATCAAACAAAACTTTGGAGAGGAAAAAGTTAAGTTTATATTGGAGAAAAGTTTGTTTCTAGTGGTCTCTAGCAGTAACGATCTCGCCGAAACTTATTTGACTCGGTCCATCGAATATAGTCGTAACGCATATGCTGAACACTTGGCTGAGTTGGCTTCAAATTTTATCAAGGTAAGTTTTCAATTTTCTTGTTATATATCTAACCCACAACATTTAGTTATAAAAACATTTAGGATCAATATTTAAAATTATAACGTTTCAGGAATTATCTGGACTTGGAGCTAAAACTATCGGAGTGTTTAGCGGAGTGCCAGTAGGATGCGTACCCGCGCAAAGAACACTCTTCGGAGGTTTTGGAAGAAAATGTTATGAAGCTTTGAACAATATGTCACTTCATTTCAACTCAAAGTTATCGTCTAATTTGGATGCTCTGAGAAAAGATTTGCCCGGTAAACTTGTATTTATCGATGTTTACGAAACTCTTCTCGACATCATACAAAACCCTACCAATTACGGTAATCATGATAATAGTTTTTATTTTTATTACGTATGTCAATGTTAATATTAACATATTAATATATGTTTGTTGATTTTTGTAGGATTTGAAGTAGCAGATAAAGGATGTTGTGGTACAGGAAGAATTGAGTTAGTTGAATTGTGCAACAAATTTACTCCTTTTACATGTTCGGATCCATCGACTCATGTGTTCTTTGACGCTTATCATCCAAGTGAAAAGGCGTATAAAATTATCACTGATAAGTTGGCAGATAAATACTTTAAGTACCTCAACAATTGAATATGTAATTGTAGTAATAAGGACACATTTCACTATAAAGTATGTTTGATTTGGTTTTTGATTTCAATGGTTTTGTTTAGCTTGTCCGACTATCTAACTATTGCGTATAAATCTTTGCGCTAAACCTAAATTTGGGTAACGTACGAACAAGGAATACTTACGAGAGCAATGGGCCACTGTGTTTCTTTTGGATGCTTGCATGCCCTAGAAAAATAATTTTGTTTTAATTGGTTGATATGAAAAAAAAAAAGCTTTACAGATCTAGTAGCAAGATTTTGCCCTAATGATTACAATGCTTTACCTCTCGTTTAGCAAAAAAAAACAAAAAAAAAACTATTCACATCAAATTTTATAATAATTTAACCAAGAAACAATCATTACCTTTATATTTCCTAATTTTTATAAGTTATCAACAAATTTATTATTATATTGCACCGATAGTGGATTAATCAAGGTGGCAGTAATTACAACACTAAAATCAAAATTCCAATGGAGAATCACGTGTTCGATGTGATAAATTAGTGACAGCACATTAGAATTAAATAATAAAATAAACAAGGGCGGTTGTTGATTTGATGATTTTTTCTCACGATAAACAGAAAAAAGTAAAAGGAAACTAAAAAAGGTAAGTTTATTCACGTTCCGAAGTTAATCGGTACAGTTTACAACCTTATTCTTCTTTTATTTTGTTGCTAGCAGGTGGCAACTTTATAGTTTGAGTGCATGTCGATGAACATAAGTTTACAGTGTCAACTTTAGTTAAATAATTTATCGTATGAGCACTTTTTTTCACTGTTTCTTATCTTAAATGTTTTCTATAGTTCTTTCCCATATACCAATAATTAAAAACAGAAAGATTCTCACTTTTTCAAGATATGAAATCGGGGATCACATATAGTATCAGCCAAAAAAGGTGGTCAATAATGCAACGAGCGTTTATATACTAAAAAGTAAAAACAAAAAATAATACTAATAATGTAATGAGCACGTTGACAAAAGAATAATGTAATAGGCCCATTAAAAATATAACGGTAGGCCTTTTGAGAAATAGGCCCATTTATGCTGTTAATGATCTCAGAAGTCCCACATCGCTTAGGCAAAGAGAAGACGATGAGTTTATATAGCGTTAGAGTCGAAGATGTGATTGTCCCTTCGGGGACATCCGATAAAATTGGAACGATACAGAGAAGATTAGCATGGCCCCTGCGCAAGGATGACACGCACAAATCGAGAAATGGTCCAAATTTTTTTTTGCAAAATTTTCCATATCTGTTTCATCTTCCCGGCTTTTTCCAGCATTTTCTCCAACTGTGAATGAAATTTCCGACGGATTTGATGGGGAGAAATATCCAGAACTTGCAAATTTATAGGGTTTTGTCATTGGTAATCGAAACTTATGCCTGAGTAAATTTAGTTTAGTTTACATCCCGAAAAGTCGCAATGAACTTACATCGCTACAACAATCTGATCTGTTCACTATTGCAGTTCTGATGGCCGGAGAATTCTGTATTTTTCTCCAATTCTTTCACCTTTCGAGAGTCAGTATACGACGAAACCCTCTAGTTGGCTCAGAGGTTTTCCAGGGAACTTATTGTCAGTCTATGAGAAATATCCATGATTTATGAAAAAAAGGACAAAGATTTTGATAATTTTTAAAGAGAGGAAATAAAAAATCAAGAGCCAAATGTATTGCTTTCAAAGTGGCGGTAACTGGTAAGGTGTATCTGTCTGCGTTCTTCGCGTCATTCAAAGCTCTTCTCTTTCAACTTTCACTTCCTAGATTCCATTCCAATCTCCCTAACGCTTTGATTCCTAAACCCCTTAAATTTTCCCAGTCTCAAACCCCAAATTTTGACTTCAGACGGGATATTCTCTCTCGATTTGTCAAATCAAGAGGAGTTTTAGCTTCGATCCTAGGTAAAGTTAAGTCTTTTCTGGTTTCGGATCTCGATTTCACTTATTTTCCAAGAATCCGTGGTTGAATCGCATGAGGATCTGAATACGCAAGGAAACAAAATCCCAAAAATAATGTCTGTGGAGAGATCTTTTGAAGCCTGGGAAGAGGTTCAGCGACATGGGCAAGACTTAGCCGATCGACTTGCTCAGGGATTTACGGGGTTGATTCAGATCAACCCACCTTCGTTTCCATGGCCGCCGAATCATCATCATCTCAAGGCGAAACTGTTCGATCGCGATTTCCCTAGTCAACATTTCAGTGTGATTAGGGATTCTAGGTTTGGTATCAGCCAGCCTCTCAACGGCGTCTCAGCGATTCTCGATATCGGGAATAAGATAGGTCAAGCTGGAGTTGATTTCGGTGCTGGATTGAACGTGATGGTCCAACAGTTCTTCAGGAGTTTGCCTCTACCGTTCCTCCACGACGAAGGTAACAAGCTTGTTCTCCCCGTGGAAAGTGATACGAGTACAAGGAGCCATAAGGCTTATGTGAACACAAAAGATGATTTGGGATTCGCTGCAGAACGATTGAAGAGTTCAGGGTTTTCTAAGACTGATGATACTGTTTCTGTTACTATGACTGACGAGGAAGCTGCAGAGTCTTTCTTAAGAACGGCTGGTTTGCTTGGACGATCAAAGGTACCTTTGTTTTCCACTGATTTTATTTGTGGTTCTTGTTCGTCTGTGTTCGACATGGTTGTGACCATGTAAGTGTCTTGCCGTCAAGTTTGACATTACTCTAGGGATGTCTAGGTCTAGTTGAAATGTAGGATAGCTCATAGAAAACTGGTCATTGATCCGAGGATGAGAATGTCTAGTGAAACTACAATTTGGCTGCGGCAATGTCAATGTGAATTCGGAAGAAACTAGTTTGAAGCAAAGTAATGTAATCTTGTACGTTGTGCTGTGAGTTTTAGGGAGTCTTATATTTCTTTCTGGCGATGTTCTGTGAAGTTACTGCAAGAGTGAGAGTTGTTGTTTTTAATATATATGTTTTGGTGCTCTCTGTCTGCTTCTTGGTCTAGTAACTGTAAATTTGTCGGTGAAATGCAGGGAAAGATTGATATGTCATCAAGTTATGATAGTAGAACAAATGGTATGGAACATTCGTTAGCAGCTAGGGGAGACCTTTGGAGAGTAGAAGCTTCGAGTTCAACTTCTACTGCAAGCGATGGAACTTCGTCTCTCTTTCTTCTCCAGCTTGGACCGCTTCTTTTCCTACGAGACTCAACTCTTCTTTTACCGTTACACTTATCAAAGCAACACTTGCTCTGGTATGGATATGATAGGAAGGTATGCTTAGATATTTTGCAATTTTGAATAAAAGAGTTTTTTCTCCTTTGTGAATTCTGTCCCAATAAACTCATGCGATTTTGTTGATTTTCGATTTGCAGAAAAACATTCATTCACTTTGTCCAGCCTTATGGTCAAAGCATCGAAGGTGGCTTATGATGTCAATGCTCTCTCTCAATCCTTTATCTTGCGTAAGCCGCTATTTTCACCTTAGAAATGCTATTATGTTCAAACTTTTTGCGGAACTGATACCCTGAACTTGTTGTGCTTCGGACAGTCCTTTATGGATTTGCAGTTCCCAAACGGACAACTGACATACGTATCTGGCGAGGGACTGACAGTAAGCGCCTTTGCGCCTTTCTGTAGCGGTCTTCTTCAAGCACAGGGTCAATACCCAGGGGATATGAGATTTAGTTACTCTTGTAAGGTTAGATAGAGATCATAACCCAATAACCCCATCATGATCCGTGTGGAGCTTAAAAAGTTTTTTTCTTTCTTCTTAACCTCTTTATTCGTGGAACAGAACAAATGTGGAACACGAATCACCCCAATGGTGCATTGGCCTGACAAATCATTTGCGTTGGATCTTTCTCAAGCCTTGGCGTGGCGTAGATCTGGACTACTGATGAAACCAACACTTCAACTCAGGTAAAGCTTTTCTCAAAACCCGTTCCCGCTAAAACCGAAAGAAACAAAATTTGTTTACATAATTCAAAAAAAAACTGGAACAGTGTATGCCCCACATTTGGTGGAAGCAATCCCGGGATGAAAGCAGAAGTTATTCACTCGTTAAGCGATGATTTGCATCTGATATACGGCTACGCGCTCAACATACATCCATCAGCATTTGCCTCTGTATCTGTAAGCAAAACTCTATGTCTTAAGCTTGAACGTTGCTTCTTCCTCATGGACATAATAGCTCAAAGACACTTGGTGTTTCTCTATGCAGTTTGGTAGGTCGAAATGGAATGGCAACATCGGACGCACGGGAATAGTTGTTCGAGCCGATACTCCTCTTGCAAGTATAGGCCAGCCATCTTTCTCTGTTCAGCTCAATAACACTTTCGAGTTCTAAATCTTGCTGATGGCACAGTTTATTTCAATGTACATATGTGTGAAAGGACTGGCTTGCCCCTCGTAACTTTTGTATAGTTCACAAGGCTGATGTCTCCCTTTAAAGATTACAGTTGTAGTTCCAACTATCAACCAATCTGACGAGCGTTACATTAAAATGATGACAGTAATAAATAATCTTAAACTTGTTGAGTGCCATGCAAAAGTAGACAAAGTGTATTCATTTCTATGTTTTGTGGGTCAGAGACACTAGCAGTTGGATATACGTTTAAACAAAGACTTAAACGTTACAATGTTAAAGTGAGTCCACTCCGTACATTAATTGATTACCTAATTATATTCCTCCGCTTTTAGATTTTTCAAATTTGACGATGTTTGACCCGAAGAAACTACATTTTCTGGATTCTGGGTAATTATATTATGATAATTCAAAAAAAAAAATATCATGGAACGATTTCCAAATTCGTAAGAAATTGTTAGGTTAGAAAGTAATATTTTTGTAATAATCGAATAAAGGTCCCATTGAATGAAAAACTTAAAATTTTGGAAATTGTCTGGACGACTGACTTTTCATACTTGTTATTATCGAAATTTAATCAGTAATTTATCTGTCTCGAGTCTAATAAGAGTGGCTTTGACTGGTCTTCGAGATTCATTCTTCGATCAAAAGGCAATGTTTGATTCAATGAACTAATGTTGATAGTTAGCAAGTCTAGAAGAAAAAAATAGAATCTGCAAAAATGTTAACAATACGTGCCACACTGTCACTATTATCATATCGTTATATTTTTTTCAAAAACATTGTGAACTACTTCATATTTCAAAACTAACTACAAAAAAATAGATAGCTACTCAATTATCGTAACTCTCATAGCAATCTATGTCGACATAGGAGAAAGTGTAGCACGTCTTATATTGCTCTCTTTAACATAAAAAACGTATTCCACGACCACGATTTACTAAAAAAAAAAAAAAAAAAAGACTTGCGCAATCCACTTATAAATTATTAAGGGGTCTTTACGTGTGTATATATTTCATGGAAGCGATGGTACGTAAAACATCCTTTTTGGGGGTTTTATTGTATAATGATAGAATTTTGGTTCACACCTTTGGGATAACTCTGATCACGACCTAGAGCCCTCGGAGAAAAAACGATCACGACGGCAAAAAGAAAATATATCCAATATAAAATTTTCAGAAAAAAAGGGATAAAAGCTGTCTCCAGCGTGGGGCTTGCTCCTTCCTGTACTGTGTGTCGATAACCTATCGATCTATATCATCTATCTATAATATAACGTTACTGTTGACTAAAATAACTATAAAGACTACACTTTTATGCCTCAAGTCCCACCAAATTAACACAAAGGCTTCAGAACTTCAAACAACTATTAGGGGGTTTGAACCTTGATAATATTACACACGGTTCACTTATGAAAAACAAGTACTAAGAGACTTTCTTTTTATCTGATTAAATTGATTTAGTTTTTATCTTTCCAGCAAAGTACATAGTACGGTTTAGAATCCTAATGGTGATATACGTGATTACATGAACTATATATATTAGCACAATTAAAAAAGGTAGATGGATTTGTAGTCTCTACACACAACTCATATGTGATTGCAATTGTTATGTTTGTATACGATATTATTTATACCTAATAATGGAGCTATCAAATAGAGAAAATAATCATTATCATCTACCAACCTTTTATTGTATGGGTGAATCTTTTTTTGAGAAATCAGTTATTTATTTCTGAAACCGCTATTGCTAGAGAGGAAAACAATATTAGAATACCCCTATATCTATGTGGGTCTACTGGAGCTACCACTTCGATCAATTAGAAGTCGATCTCAAACCTACTTTATTAAAAAACACATGTGATTCCCTCGCAAGAAATTAAAATATAAAATTATGGTCTTACGCTAATTCTACAAACTCATCCATGTGATTATATCTTATCATCATGAAAATGACCATCAAAAAACCTTTTTCTCTTTACTCTTACATAATGAGTTTCGTAAGAAAATAGAATCCAAGATTTTTAATATACAATATCGATTATAAAAATAAAAGATAGTTACAGGCGATTGTGATTTAGATTTCTGATTTGCGGTTCATACCAAATCAACCTTAGTCAAGTTATTATATTGACAAATATTTTTTTAAAAACTGTTGACTTTTCATTTGATTGAAAATTAACATAGTTATCTAACAAAATGAAAAGAAACCATAATAGAGTTATTTTCTTCTAATTAAGATATCTTCCGGAATTGATGATGAATCAATCAATGAATTATATTTTGATGCTTAATAACAACTCGCTGGCCCTCTTTGTTTTTTTTTTTCTATCAACGTGGCCCACTTTGTTCATGCAAGTAGCAAATTTAAAATCCTTTCCTATTAAATAATATGAAAACAAAAACCAAAGACTAATATATAAAAATATAATCTTATTTTAAAATTGTTGACTTACTCATCATCTCTGTCTCTCTCTCTCTCTCTCTATTCTCAAATGTCTTCGTGAGTCTCTTCGCAATCCGTCACATAAAACAAAATCCCTTTCTTCACTCTCATCGCATCTCCCCACACAATAAAAACCATAACCATTCGAAAAGGAAGGAAAAACAAAGATCTCGATTGAATTCGATTCATCGATTCGGATCTTCGAGACCCTTTATGTCAATATGTCGTTCAATCGGCTTCTCTTCCCTTGCTTCCTCTTCATCTCTCTCGTCCTCTCCGGCTTCGCATCCTCTCAAACTTTACCCAAAGAAGAAGGTATATATATATATATATATATATATATAGGTGTGTGTATGTTAGTATGTATATGTTTGAGTCAGTGTCTAAATTAGTTGTCTGTAATTTGAATTTTTCGCAGTGGATGCTTTAAGAGCCATAGCGACGGCGCTGAAGAAGAATGATTGGAATTTCAGTGTGAATCCATGCGACCTCACTTTATCCGGAGGATGGAGAGATCCAACCGCCGGCAAGGATTTCCTAAACGACGTTACTTGTAACTGCTCCACCGTTTGCCACGTCACCAGCATGTGCGTTCGTCCCTTCTTCCCCTTTTTAATTTTTTTTTAAAAAAGAAAGAAATAATCCTTATCTTTATAAATTTTTTGCTATGGTATAAATTCATGAATTGACTTGTTCAAATGTGTAAATTCTCATTTTTCGAAGCCTATTTGCCATCAAAATAATTAATTAATAATTTTAAAGTAGTTTCTCTGACTCGTTTTTATTCAAATAAAGTAGGTTTTAGTTGCATGAATGTAGACAAATCTATGACGCAGTCGCTGTTGACCTTTTTTTAGACGCGTCCGTGAATCTACAGTTAATTTAATTAATTTTTACTGTGCTGAACGCTATTAGGCCGAAATATAATGGGCCTATATTTTGCAAAACGTTTCTTGATACAGAGCTCTCAAGGCACAAAGCCTTCAAGGAACTCTTCCTAAAGAGTTGACGGGACTTCCTTTTCTGCAAGAGATGTAAGAAGCTGATATTATTAGCCCTTAAACATTCCCATTTATTACAATATCTGCCACTTCACCAGCATCTTCCACTTATAGTAACTAACTCTCAACTGTCTCACTCTCTTCGTATTATTCTTGCAGTGATCTGACTAGAAACTATCTCAACGGTTCCATTCCCCCCGAATGGGCATCATTGCCACTTGTCAACATGTATGTTTATGCCTATCTCAGTTTTGTATATATGTATGTATGTTACATGTATAGATTAATTTTAGTAAATTTGTTGGATGATGAAATGCAGATCACTACTTGGAAACCGGATAACTGGTCGAATCCCAAAAGAGATTGGAAACATTACAACCCTCGAGAGTTTGTGAGTACTCTTCTTTGATCTCTCTCTTTTCCAAAATGTTTTGGACAATTCATACTTTTGGTACTAGACTGATTCGGTTTTTTGTTGTTTGAAACATTTGAGTTTTTTAGTGTAGTGGAGTACAACCAGATTTCAGGGGAGTTACCTCCAGAGCTCGGGAATCTACCAAACATTCAAAGACTGTAAGAATATTATATCTCAAATTCTCTAAAAAAATGTTGTTTTCAAAATAGAAAAAAAAACAACAGTTATCGGTTTTTGCTAGTGTTGAGACTCTGTTATGTCTTTGTAGCTTTGTTAGTTCGAACTATTTGAGTGGGGACATTCCAAGTACATTTGCCAAACTTACTACATTGACTGATGTGTAAGTGTATTCCTCTACTTTTCTTCGATCCCACAACATGTGTTTTGCTGAAGATTCTGACTTTTGTATGTGTATATTTCTCGTTTGCTTTATAGCCGTATAAGTGACAACCAGTTCACTGGTACTATACCAGATTTCATCCAGAACTGGACAAATCTTAGCAAACTGTAAGCAATCTTTTCAGCGTCATTTGATTCTTTCGTTTTGCATATCGGTATTGGTTACTTATACAGGAGTGCACTTTTTCTTTTTATCTGCATGAATCAGGGTTATTCAAGGAAGTGGTTTAGTCGGACCGATTCCTAGTACCATTGCTCCTCTTAGGATGTTAACAGATTTGTAAGTAGTGTGTGGAAGTCGTTGTTGTCGCCTTTCGGGGACTCACTATAAATGATATTTATCGTTTCTTTTCCAAATTTGAAATTTTGTAGGAGAATCAGTGACTTGAATGGACCCGGATCTCCATTTCCCCCACTGAAAAACATGACATCGATGAAGTATTTGTGAGTGTTGACCCTAAAACTTAAAACGAATATAGTAATGGTTTCCTCCCACCTTTCGTTGAGCTTAACTTACATTTCCACTCGCTGCTTTTTTTGCAGGATTCTTAGGAACTGCAGTCTTACAGGAGAATTACCTCCGTATCTTGGACGGTTCACAGCGTTTAAACTCTTGTTAGTAAACTCTTCGTTATTCGGCAAGCATGAAAAAGAATTCAAGCTGACATTGTGAGTTTCGTTGTGCAGAGATCTTGGCTTTAACAAACTAAGTGGACCAATCCCGGTAGAGTATGAAGCTCTTTCGAATGTAGATAACTTGTATGTTGCTCTTCTCTTCTTTCTTCACGTCTTGCTAAAGACTTTAGATGGATGAATGTTCTGAATTCTGTTTTCTGATCTTGTAGATATTTTACAAGTAACATGTTAAACGGAGAGGTGCCACGCTGGATGGCAGACAAAGGAGACAAGATGTGGGTTTTCTTCACTCTTCTATATATATATATATATATATATATATATATATATATATTATACAAAACAATTTTTTGTAGTGACACAGCCGAGTAACCTTTTGTTTGGTTATTGTATCTTATATTGCAGTGATATTACTTACAATAACTTCTCCAAAGATTCAAGAACCGCGGGATGTATACAGGCCGATGTGTAAGAAGAACAAAAAAAAATTCAAACGTCTTGTGCCTTCAAATTCAATATAAATCTTACAGTTTCTTGGTTCTTTTAATTCACAGGAATATGTTTTCAAGCACAAGCCCTTTAGTGGCAAATAACTAGTAAGTCCTTTTTGTTTTGTTTCTCATTAACTTTTAAAAGCTTTGGTTCTAACAGTAACCAGAATATTGATATTATGTTTCCTTTTTGCTACAGCTCAGACGTTTCGTGTCTGAGTACCTACAGTTGTCCTAAACGACGTAAGTCTTTGAAGCTCATATATATACATACAAAGTTACAAACCATTAACGCGTGCGATTTAGCCACTCACCTGATATATCTCTGGTTATTTATAACCTCTCCTCAGCTTTCTATGGCCTTCATATAAACTGTGGTGGAAATGAAGTAACAATCAACGATACTAAGTTTGACTCTGACGCATCGGAGAAGGTCTTCTATGATAGTCAAAACGGTTGGGTTTCTAGTAACACGGAAAAGTTCTTGGATGATGATCGGACTCCCAAAGGAACCTTATGGACAAATACGTCAGCGCTTAACACAACAGATTCTAGACTTTATACAAATGCCCGTCTCTCGGCCAGCTCCCTCACTTACTATGCCTTGTGTCTCGGAGAAGGAAACTACACGGTTAATCTTCATTTCGCTGAAATTGTGTTCAGCGACGACAACACGTACAAAAGTTTGGGACGAAGATTTTTTGACATATACGTCCAGGTAATTTACCGTTTGGATTAAACTTGTTTTGGAAAAAAAAAATGTCGAAAATGCTTTTAAATCAATTTGGCTGGTGTGGTAATGCGTGCAGGGTAAGCTTGAGATTAAGGATTTCAATATTGTAGATGCGGCAAAAGGTGCTGGAAGAGCTGTGGTTAGGAGTTTCCAGGTCACGATTACAAACACCAAAAAACTGGAAATAAGATTGCAGTGGGCTGGTAAAGGAACTCAAGCTTTGCCTGTAAGAGGTGTGTATGGTCCTCTCATATCGGCTGTGTCGGTAGATCCAAGTAAGCGTTTGCTAAACTCAAACCATCTCAGACCTTTATTTGAGTGCTTTTTTTTTTTTGTTTCTTGACTCTTATCTCCCATGATCTTGCTGTAGATTTCGTTCCACCAAAGGAACCTGGCACTGGAAGTGGTGGAAGCTCTGTTGGTACAGTGGTTGGTGCTGTAATCGGTTCAACGTTGTTTCTTGTGCTTTTAATCGGCGGTATCTTATGGTGGAAAGGCTGCTTGAGACCCAAGAGTCAGATGGAGAAAGGTACTTCTTATTAAATAGCCTTTAACAATCCAATTGATTTTTAAGTTAAGTCTCTGTTTCTTCCTTAAACTTAACGGTGTTTCTTCTTCACCTCAGATTTCAAGAGCTTGGATTTCCAGATTAGTTCCTTCTCGCTGAGACAAATCAAAGTTGCTACAGACAACTTTGATCCCGAAAACAAGATCGGAGAAGGCGGATTCGGTCCTGTGCACAAGGTTAGGATTATATAATGTAAAAATATGGCATAACTATTAGAAAAAAAAGGAAAGATGAAAATGACTTAAGGTTTGTCCATTGTATGAAAACAGGGAGTGTTGACTGATGGAACCGTAATCGCGGTGAAGCAGCTATCTTCGAAATCAAAACAAGGGAACCGAGAGTTCTTGAACGAGATTGCTATGATTTCTGCTCTGCAACATCCTCATTTGGTTAAACTGTATGGATGCTGCGTCGAAGGTGACCAGCTCTTGCTAGTCTACGAGTACTTGGAAAACAACAGTCTCGCTCGAGCACTTTTCGGTTAGTTCCCTCTTCAAAAAAACATTTTAGGTTAATTTATCTTGATTTCGTTTTTCGCTAACAACTTCTGTTTCTTGTTTTAAAAGGTCCTCAAGAGACTCAGATACGACTAGACTGGCCAACGAGGCAGATGATCTGCGTCGGGATAGCGAGAGGACTAGCTTATCTCCACGAGGAGTCAAGACTCAAGATTGTGCACAGAGACATCAAGGCAACTAATGTCTTGCTGGACAAGGAACTAAACCCTAAGATTTCGGATTTTGGTCTTGCTAAGCTTGATGAAGAAGAAAACACACACATCAGCACCAAAGTTGCTGGAACATAGTGAGTTAATCAATCAATCAATACAAGTTTCAGCTCTGTGAGATTCCTAATTATAACCCCCAAAAAAAAAACCAAAACTTTGTTTATGCAGCGGATACATGGCTCCAGAGTACGCCATGAGAGGCCATCTGACAGATAAAGCAGACGTATACAGTTTTGGTGTTGTGGCTTTAGAAATCGTTAACGGGAGAAGCAACACGAGCGCAAGATCCAAAGGCGATACTTTCTACCTTCTTGACTGGGTATATAAAATCTTTTTCACTTTTAAAATCTAAAAACCGTAAAACACATTTCTGAACAAAGATCATGGATCTAATAAAGCTCAATTTCTTCCACAGGTACACGTTCTAAGGGAGCAAAACAAACTGATGGAAGTAGTAGACGCGAGGCTAGGAACAGACTACAACAGAGAAGAAGCAATGACGATGATCAATATCGGGATCCTCTGCACCAGTCAAGTTCCGTCGGACAGACCGTCGATGTCGACGGTGGTGAGTATGCTCGAAGGACATTCGACGGTGGATGTTGAGGAGCTTCTAGAGGCTTCGTTCAGCAGAGGAAGCGACAAAGATGAAGAGAGCGTGAGGGCGATGAAGAAGCATTACGCGATGATAAGTGGAGAGGAGATGACGTATACGACCAATCAAACTACCACCACCGAGGGACCATACACGTCGTCTTCTACCTCCACGGCCAACGCCGGCGATCTTTATCCTCTTAAGCTTGATTCTGCTTATTGGAACACTAGAACTTAATTATGTTTGTTTTTGCTACAAAAGATTACGGAGTAAGTAATTATGACTTTTTGTAAAGTCTTTTACAATTATTTTATTTAAGACAAATTGAAGATTACGTTTTTGAAACAGAATATGAGATATATATATCTTAAGAGAATCAAAAGGTCCAAAAACAATTTAGATGAAGTAATGCGAATGAAGACAAAACATTGTTAACATGTTAACATCTTTTTTTCATTTGACGTATGATTTGGCTTTTACTTTTCTGAATTGAATATATACTATGGTTTAGAAAGTTTATACTCGAATTGTTGGGACACCAGAGCTTAATCAAATTTCCCTACATTTATCATATTTATAACATGTATATTTTGGCATTATTGTATACATATCTCCCCTATATATGATTTGTCTTAGTCAACTTCAATCATTTCAATACGTTTCATGATATTATTTGGATTAATTGCCTAACCATAACGTTTAATATAATTAAGTAAGACAGAATATATTGTTGTCCTTTCAACGTCTGTTTCTATTGACAAATGATTTGGCTCGTACTTGTTTAATATGATCTATCTCTATACTGTCGTTAATGAAATTTCTTTATACAAAATTACAACTACACAAAACTAATAGAATGATTAAATATCAATCTAATAGATCCACAAGTTTTTCACGGGGTATCACCGGCAAAGTGAAATCCGTTTAAATAGACGAAACAAAAAGAAACGTCTTCACAGAAACTCTATGGTCCGAACAAATCGATTAATTCAGGAAAAGAAAAATAAAGCATGATCTCGAAGTTAAATTGTAGGTATAAAAATCTTTGAACTAAAGGTCATAACATTAAAAGTTGCTGACTACATGTAAATATGTTACTATAATTTAAAAATCAAACTTTTTTAAGAAGACCATTGTGAGTAAATCTTGCTATTAAATAGAGATTTGAATTCCAAGTTTCTTACCAAGCCAAATATGGCATTAGTTCGTATACATGTTGTTGACTCATAAGCAAAAAAAAAAAAAAAAAATTCCTCATTTAATATGACAAAATTATATATACATATAATATATAGATGCGTGAGTGTATAAAAACCCAGAAGCGTATTTGAATCTCTATCTGTCTCTCTCTCCCTCTCTCCTCTGTGTTAAAATGGGCTTAAAGGATAACGTCATTTCTTATGGCTCTGCATTAGTTGTATCGCTTCTTCTTCTTCTTCTTCTTCAAGAAGCAGAGGGATGTGATATGTTCACGGGACGGTGGGTGAAGGACGCTTCCTATCCGCTCTACGATTCCTCCACGTGTCCATTCATACGACGCGAGTTCTCTTGCAAGAAAAATGGACGGCCGGATCTCGATTACTCTACCTTCAGATGGCAGCCTCAGGGCTGCAAATTAGCAAGGTAATTTAAATTTCTTTCATCTTTTTGTTTTTCTTTTTTTAATGGGTTTCTAGTTATTACTTTGTTAATCCTAGATTTGTTTCTAATCAAGTCGTCAGTTTTTTAATTTGTTGAAATTTGATATAATTACATTGGTGAAAAATGAAATGAATGAAAAAAGGTATTACTATAAAAATTGTCGGTTTAAAAATATAAAACATAACAATTTGAATAGTGTGAAGATCAAATATACGCTTTACATGAAAATAGAAAGTATTTACAGATAGTTGTATATAACTTTTTGCAAAGCACTTTTGAGTGAGCCACCAATGATAAAAAGAGAATGCTATTTATAATATTTGTTTTGCCATAATTAAATGCTGTGTGTTTTGGAATCTCAAAAACTGCACGAGAAGGAAAACGAAAACTCTATTGTCACATTGTGCCAACTGGTGTTTCTAGCGTAAGTTTCACGCGCCGCCAGTGAGATTAAGACACCCACCAAACATAAGAGGGAGACATGAATTCCCTCCCCACACATGTGGGGACACTAACTCAATCTCTTGACGATTTTGCCCTGCTGTTTTTTTTTTTCATTTACGTTTAATTCACCCCCACCGTCATAAAACGCCGCCGTTTTTCTTATTTGGTTTTGTGTGTAGGTTCAATGGAGTGGCGTTTTTGGAGAAAAATAAAGGGAAGAAGATAATGTTTGTTGGTGATTCTCTTAGCCTGAATCAATGGCAATCTTTGACATGTTTGCTTCACTCTTCTGTTCCAAATTCTCCCTATAATTTAACCACGCAAGGAAGTATCTCAACCTTCACATTCCAGGTAAAATAATAATATGATTAATTATCAGAGACATAAAACCGGGATGAGTAAAAACCGAACTAAACCGGGAATGGTGAAAAAAACTGCAGGAGTATGGAGTGGAAGTGAAGCTTGATAGGAATGTGTATTTGGTAGATATAGTTAGAGAGAAGACTGGGAGAGTGTTGAAGCTTGATTCGATCAACGATGGAAAGAATTGGTCAGAAATGGATACATTGATTTTCAATACATGGCATTGGTGGAGCCGTAGAGGTCCTACACAACCGTACGTTGAATGCTCTTGAACCAACTTAACTCTTGAATTTGCTTATTCTTAAGGCTTAAATAATCACTACTTATATTTTTTTGCAGATGGGATTGGATTCAAATAGGGAGTAACGTTACAAAGGACATGGACCGTGTGGCAGCTTTCGAGATTGCACTTGGGACTTGGGGCAAATGGGTCGATACGGTCGTAGATACTAAGAAAACTAAAGTCTTTTTCCAAGGAATCTCACCCTCTCATTACAAGTAAGCTGCTATATACATTTCACTAAAAGATATATAATCAATCTGTAAAAATAATAATTTTAAACGTTGCCTTGTTTGTTAATGAACAGAGGAGCTCTATGGGGTGAACCAACGGCGAAGAGTTGCGCGGGACAGAAGGAACCACTTTTGGGGACAAGCTATCCAGGAGGATTGCCTGCAGAAGTTGGAGTTTTGAAGAGAGCACTCGGCAAAATTACTAAACCGGTGACTTTGCTAGACATTACAATGCTTTCATTGCTTCGGAAAGATGGTCATCCTTCGGCTTACGGTCTTGGCGGTCAAACCGGTAATGATTGCAGCCACTGGTGTCTCTCTGGAGTACCGGATGCTTGGAATGAGATTCTTTACAATTACATGGTTGTTTAGTGAGAAAATTTTCAACATAGGAAACAAAAAAGTATACCCATATTTGTTATTGTGTTTGTGATTCTATTTGAAACTGAATAAAAAAAGAAAGGTCCGTTATTAAGAAGATAAACAGTAAATCGAAAATATGCAGAGTGAGGTTGAGAAAGTGGATGGTGTGTGGCCCAAGCAAGTAACTCGGATTTTCTGAATTCGTATGAAAAGATTTGACCGATTGTGTTTACACAAAACAGAGTTTCAGGAACAAATCAACAATCCTTCATTACAAGACGATCCTTTAACCTTTGTTTTTTTCTCATTTCATCTGTGTAATAAGATATTCTCAGAAACTAACATAAACACAACGAATCTCCCTCAAAAGCAAGGATCAAAGGGTTCTGATGAGTATTTTGATTTAAATTTCTAGAATCGAAATGGATTTTCAGGTCCATACTTGCTGCTCCTCATGTTGAAATGATCAAACTTTGAACTATCACTGTACTCTACAGGCTTTACTGTATCCGTTGCTGCTGTCTTTGGTTCTGTCTCGGTTGTTTTATCTCTATGGCGACGCCTCGATCTCTCTTTATGGCTCTTCGGTTGGACAATCTCTCCCGAGGCAAAGAATCGCTCTTTATGGATCTTCGGTTGGACCATTTCCCCCGAGGCAAAGAAACGCTCTTTATGGATCTTCGGTGGTTGGACAACCTCTCCCGAGGCATAGAACTCGGCATACTCCTGCCGTTTTGATGATGACCTCTGGTGCTTGGATGATGACAAAGTCGGATCCTTTAATGCGCTACTTGATCTAAGCTTAGCGGCCTTGTGCTCTGGATAACTATCACTCCGTTTAGGCAAGTGGGCATGTCGGGATTCAGAGATTGGTGCTGGGGCAGTATGCCTTTGGACTCGAGCTGGTTCCTGTTCGTCTTCAGGCATTTTGAGTCTGTCTTTTAGTGGCCTTAGACCGGGGCTGGTTTTGAATCGGGCTGGGACTAGGTGGCTGGTTATAAACTCGAGAGCGAGTTTGAAGAGATCGACAAGGAGTTGCCCAAATGATGGCCAACCAGGTTCTTCTTTGGTTGTTGTCTCGATGACAGGTCGAGAGAGTTTCTCTTTGCCTTGATGCTCCTCTTCGAAGCTGGTTTCTGAGCTTAGCTGCAGTGATTGTAAAACAGAAACCTTTGTCGTTTGTAGCATATGGCTAATGAGAAAGTGAACAAAAAGGCGCGAAAGACAAAGAAAAATGAAACTTACCGTCTTTGAGAAAAAAGAATGTCCAAAGCCCTGCTGAAGCAAACAAGTAGCGTAACCAATGACAACGGCACCAATAACCAAGAGGATATCTGCACAAGAAAAACGACAAATGTAAGGCACTCCTCAAATGAAAGTAATCAAAAAGGATCTAATGTAACTCACAATGTGTAGAGAGGTGTTCTTACCAGTCGAAGAGATTGAGCTGTCCTGATACTCACAGTCCTCTTCACTAAGAGAGATTTGGCGAAGAGCCGCGTTTCCTCTGTCGATGACCAGCAACGAGCAGGTGGGCCGAACATACACAACATCAAAATCATTAGAGAACTTTGCGTCCTCGCTCGGTCCATCTCTATACCCAGCTACATTTGATTTCCCCCCAGCTATTGTAGTAACACCTGTTGAAAGATATACCACACTACTCTTAAGAATATTATTCTCCTTCAAAAGCTGTGTCCAATAGAGAGAGAGATCTCGCATACCTGAATCTCCAATCTTTCGGATGGCGAGATTCAGAGTATCAGCGACATAAACATTGCCTTTATCATCCATTGTAACACCTCTCGGATGATTGAAACGAGCCTCGCTCGGCTTTCCATCTGCATGTCCTGTTTTGCCTTGAAACGATCCAGCCACCAACCTTCCCCTGCTGTCTGCCCACAATCACGCAGATTAACAAAACAAAGTCACATAACAGTCTCCAACATTACATTAACAATAGAACACAAGCCTGATCATAGAAGAAATGGAGGAAAACTTACACTGGGACAAGGGAGGAGTGATTTTCATGATGTTGCTATTAACTTCATCAACGGCGTAGAGTTCTCCATCATCGGAAACTCGGATCTTGTAAGGAACAACACCGATTTCGTTTCCTTCCACGACGGTTTCGACCAAGTAACCATTCTCAAACTGAAGAACATTTGTATCTGCGCACAAGAAGCAAGTAGATCAGCAAAAGAAGAAAAAAATGAAATTCAAAAGACAACACACTTACTGAGTGATTACCTGATTGGGATATTTTAGAGGATGATCCTGTAGTCCACTTTAGAACCCACGACATGTGCTTAATCAACGAACCTGGAGGATTCCATTAACGAAATTGCCATTAAAACCCAGAAATTCAACGGCGAATTCAGAGCCCCAGAATTAGAAAGATTGGGTTATAAGTTATAACTATCGAGTTGATTACTATCAGAATCAGGAAAGTGAGTGAGCAAATCAGAAATATTAGAATCAACTAAAGAAGGCTTAATTGAGTTGTTAAATTTACCAGCAGGAGCAGCTTGAGCTTGAAATGGAGAGGTGTGGAGAGTAAAGACGATAGATAAAGTAAACAAAGTCTTTAAAGACCAACAAAAGCTCTCAACGAGTAGAATCTGAGATTCGCCCATCTTCTTTTTCAGTAGCTTCCAAGTACACTTATGTTCGAATCGAACCCTAAGAGGCGATTCACATTCTCCGAGACAAAAATAAAAAAACACTGATAGAAATGAAACCAATTTGCAGATGACAACAGTTTTTTTCTTGAAAGTGTTCCTATTACTTTGCTTGCAATATTTTTGTTTTCTAATGAAAGTTACCTTATTGGTTACTTGTCTTTTAAATATGCTCAATACTGGTCCATTAATAGGCCTTTTAGAAGGCCCATTAAGGTTTCTACCTTGGATGCGCCCGTTAGAATAGTGCAAAATGCTTACCCACTATAAGTCCTTTAAGAGAAGACAAAATAATTACAAAACAAGAAGAAAAAAAAGGGATGAACAGATCAGAAGCACTACTTCGATTTGTCTAATCACATCATACCTTTTTACTGTCTGTTTTCTCCTAGGTAAATAACGTAAATAAACTATATATTAAATTAATAAAAATATATGCATATGCGTGTGTGAATAGACGTGAATAGAAAACCACTTTTTGCATTTAAGTAATATCAAACAAAGGTAAATTCATTTTACCAAAAAAAAGGGTAAATTCATAGGGGAGTACTGTATATTGTACACATACGCCAAAATTATAATTATGTTTTTTCTCAGGATTCCATATTTTCATTGTGTATGGCACATTAACTATAATTCGAACTTTGGAGTTTGCAAGTCGCATCTTTTATTTACTTTCATCGATAAGACAACTGCACTGGTTCAGTAGTTTGACGTATTTAAGCCCAACACTGCTATTTAGCTGTCTTTTTGCAAGTTGGGTTCTCTAAATTAATTAATATCATTCGACTATAATAAGTTTGTGGAATGATGTGCTATTTTTTATAATCTCTTTGGATTATGCGGAATTGCGACCTACAGTAACTAAAAGAAAACATGAAAAATACTTTACTTCCCTAACCGTATGAGTTTGCGTTTCTGTCTGATTACGTTGTAGCATTTTAAACGATGTCATAAATCTCTTTTTATCTTTATTCCCTAAATTACCAAGAAAACCCTTTTCTCGTTTCGACGTTTCCGCAGCGTCAAGCGGCAATGTCGGTGTAAATATCTCTTGTTCACGAGGGTGTTTCAGGAAATACTCATCCTTTGAACTTCCCTAGGCTCTCTTTGTCTCCTCTCTTCTGTCATTTACTCACTTCACTTCCTCCTACGTCCCTTTCTCTCTCTAAAGCTTTTCACTTTTTTTTTTCTCTCTCTCTTTCTCTCTGTTCTCATTCTTGAGCTCCGGGTTTGTCTTGAAACCGTGAAGGAATCTGTATCTTTTTCTTTACCCTTTAATTGTCGTTAGGAAACAATTAGGAGGTAAAGCGCAGAGAGATTTTCCGGGGAAAGTGTTTTTCATTGATCAGGTGTTTTAATCAACATCCATTAACTTCATCTTACTAGTATCTTTTGTTTCTTCTGAATGATTTCGTTTCTTTCATTTTCAATCAATAAGTTACTTGTGAGGCTTGACAATCCCATCGTTGAAAATCCATATAACAATAATGCCATGTTTTAGAATTACAATAGCGTGCACATTATTCTGTGTTTGGAGTGTATTTCTTTCTCTTATCTGTTCTTTGTTTCCTTCCCTTTTCTTTTCAATCCTCCTTCGATAGGTACTGATTTGCAATTTCATATGATTGATTTGATCTTGCAGGGTCTAAAGCAGAGTTTGGTCTGTCATTTCTCTTCAGATTCACTCTACAATGAAGTGAGAACAACGAAAACAAACATAGAAACACTCTGAGAGAGACAGAGAGAAAGAGACCTTGCAACTTTTTGGAAGGTACACTTGACGCAATCTTTAACATTTACCAGTTCGTCTATAGAAATTTTGCTCCTAAAAGTGTATGAAACCTTGACTCCATTTCCAGGTTTCATAATCACTCTTTAACACAATTCTTCTCATTATATGAAAACCCAAAAAGTGTTGTGCTTAGTGAAATAGAGAATAGGTATGTTTTGTGAGTAGTCTGTGACTGTACTAAAATGTTAGGTAGCTATTTTAGGCTTAGAGGCTGTCCTACTCTTTTTTTTTTCAAATGAGTGGAATCAAATGACCATTCAAGAGAATCATATACATAAAGGCATGTGTGTGTTTGTGTGTGGGGGCACTTTTCATTCTTGGATTCTAGTTTAACTGATTTGGTTTGTAGCAATTATGAACTCTTGAATACTCTAATAATCCTTTTTCCTCAGAGTTGTATAATTGATAACTTATGAACAACTTTGAGTATCTATATGTATTTAAACTCATCAGTTCTTTTTGTATTCTCTTTTGCACTTTTTCTCAGACTGTTTCTTTTCACAAGAAAAGTGAATAGAGAATGAGAACGAGGGGGTGTTGAATTATTTGCATGTGTCATGTGTTGTGCAGATAAACCCCATTTGGGTACAATTTTATTATATTCACTTTTGTTTGATTCTGTAGCAGCACATTTTGACTAAATAGCCCCACCACACATATATATAGCAAAAGATTTTCAGAACATTAATAAGCGAAAGCAAAAAAAAGTAGATCGGTTCATGTAAAGAAATGGTACTACACACGCAAGTTGTTTATTCTTCTTCCTTGGACATTTCTCAATTGTTTATTCCTTTAGGGAAAAAGAAAATAACACATTTCTTTTAAATATGAGCCACATTGTCCCCACAACTTTGGATGAATCTTTAAGCTGTTTCCACTTGATAATCTAGGCATGTATCCCCCTCTCTCTCACTCTGTGTACATATATATAAATGTATGTGCATACCTCTCTCCTTTGTGATCGAAAAAGTGTAGTGTTAGCCATTAGTGAAACAATCCCTTCAAGCTTCTTCTATGCTCTTCATCTACTTCTCCTTTTTGGTTAACTCAAGAAATCTTACAAAGTGAAGCTCCATTAATGGTCCTAGATCCATTTTTGCTTTTTCCTTTTTCTTTTTTTTTTGTTCGATGTAGACATCATTACAAGTCCTATTCATCATCACCCTCTTCGTTATTTATGACCGCCTTAACTAAGCATTGATGATGTATTTGCAGATGGAGACTGTGAAACCATTAGATGTTGCTTCAGGGAAAGGAAAACTCAGACGCGCGTTTGTGAAAGTCATCAACGTTAAAAAGCTAACCGGCGTTGTTCCAGAAGGAGACAAGGCCGAGAGAGTGAAGAAGAGCCAAGAGAAGGTGAAGTTGGATAAAGATTTAGTGAAGAATGCAGCGAATCTGTCTCAGTCCTTTGACAAGCTTGAGGAAGAGTATGAGAAACGACTCGCCATGGAAGCTCTTCTCGCGAAGCTGTTTGCTACGGTTTCTTCCATAAAATCGAGTTATGCGCAGTTGCAGTATGCTCAGTCTCCGTATGATCCAGCTGGGATTCAGAAATCAGACAGCTTGGTCGTATCAGAGCTGAAGACACTGTCTGAGCTGAAACAGAGTTTCTTGAAGAATCAGTTTGATCCTAACCCTGATAGAACTCTTGTTCTTGCCGAAATTCAAGAGCTGAGAAGCCTGTTGAAGACTTACGAGATCGTGGGGAAGAAGCTGGAGTGTCAGCTGAAGCTTAAGGACTCTGAGATGATATTCCTTAAAGAGAAGTTTGAAGAATCCATGAACCAGAACAAGTTGATGGAGAAGAGACTCAACCAAAGCGGCCAGCTTTGCAACCCTCTGGATCTTAATCTTCACCTCTCGGCGCTAAATCCAACACATTTCGCTACGTATCTGCACCACACAGTCAAATCAATCAGAGGATTCGTCAAAATGATGGTCGAACAGATGAAATTCGCGGGTTGGGACATTGATATGGCGGCTGATGCGATACAGCACGAAGTAGTCTATTACAAGCAAGAACACAAGTGTTTCGCTTTCGATAATTTCCTTTGCAAGGTAATGTTTGATGCGTTTCATCTACCTTGCTTCTCAAGCGAATCATCATCTCACAAGAAGAGCAGAGAGACGTTCTTCGAGAGGTTCACGGAGCTCAGGTCGATGAAAGCGAGAGAGTATATAGCGTCACGTCCTAAATCGAGATTCTCGAGGTTTTGCAGAGCGAAGTATTTGCAGCTCGTGCATCCGAAGATGGAGCAAGCGTTCTTCGGGCATTTGCATCTGAGGAACCAAGTCTCCGCAGGTGAGTTCCCCGAGACGAGTTTCTGCACTGCGTTTCTCGAGATGGCGAAACGTGTTTGGCTCTTGCATTGCCTTGCTTTCTCCTTCGACCCTGAAGCTTCGATCTTTCAAGTATCTGAAGGCTGCAGATTCTCGGAAGTGTACATGAAGAGCGTGGCGGAGGAAGCGTTTCTCTCGTCGGGTAAAGAAGAAAGCTCGCCGGAATCTGAGCCGAGAGTTGCGTTCACGGTGGTTCCTGGGTTTCGAATTGGCAAAACGTCGATACAATGCGAGGTCTACCTCTCGCGTTCAAGTCAACGCCGTCCGATCTGATTGATCCGTCTCTTGACGGTGGAGATTCCCCGGCGCTGGCGTCACAGGGGTATTAGCGTAATTTAGGTGTTGGCGGATATTTTTTGAGGTAGGAAAATAAATAAGGAGGGAAATCTGCTGACCGTTGGATTAAGGAAGGAGCCAGTATGGTGACTGTTGAGATTATGTTTTATTTTTTTCTTTTTAATTTTGTCAATATTATAGCAGAGAGACAGAAGAATCTCTTAGCTGTTTTCCATCAATTATTAGCTATCGTCACTACCTTCTCTATCCTATGTAAATAATTCCTAATAATTTATATCAGATTAATGTTTTTACTATTTTTAACTTATGCAAAATGCTATAGTCGATATGATATGATATCAATTAGTGCATCAAAAAAAGAATTGATATGAATAAAGTTAAAATAATTTTGGTATGAGTGGAATGAAGATATCTTCCAAAAGCGACTGCAAAGTGAAAAGCACGGACTTCATTTGTTTCTTATTCAATTTATTTAGACCAATCCCTCTTTTTTTTCTTATTCTGATCGACCGACCAAATATATCAGATAATACTCTGATGGGTCCATTGTATTTGTGATAGATCTCCTGGGCCCAAATAAAGTCCTATCCTTCTAAGGATCTTCTTATGTTTTTCCACAACGTCTGGGTCCAGAGGCTCGGTGAGAATTGACCCGGTTTGGTCTTTTGTTCGCGAACGATACCGAACTAATCCGGTACGGTTTCGGTATAAATTCTTTGGCTAATCTTACAGTTTTAAATTACAGTTTTACTTAAACTTAGCAAACCAAAAAATCAACATTAATATGTTCTGCAAACCGATAAAACCTTACTTTTTTGACTGGTCAATAAATTATACGCATCTCTAAAATGTAGGAAAAACGAAAATACAAAATCAACTTTGAACGTTATTATTACAATAACGAAGTCGGTGACAACAAAAATCTATATATAAAAGCACAATCTATAGTTTTATATATTGTTGGACCATCCCAATCACCAAGGAGGACCCAAAAATGAGCCAAGAGTCAGCGATAGAAAGCTTCAAGAAATTCCAACAGTCATGGATCGAGCAGTTACAACACAACCTGAACCACCTCCGCTCCGCCCAACACCACTACCGGAACTCCGTTACCGGCAGCGAGGTCCTGCTGAGAGAGGCGGTGGAGAGAGTGATGGAACACTGTAGAGAGTACCACAGGGCGAAGTGTGCCACGACGGAGAAAGACGTGATCGGAGTTATGGCTGCTCCTTGGTCTTCGGCTCTTGAACGGTCGCTCCATTGGGTTGGTGGTTGGCGACCAACCACCTTGTTTCACTTGGTTTACACCGAGTCTAGTATTTTGTTCGAGTCTCGTATCGTTGACATCCTCCGTGGTTTTCGTACCGGTGATCTCAGTGATCTATCTCCTTCTCAGTTCAGGTTTATATACGAATCCCTAAGTAGCTACTTAATCTTACTAATTACAAATCGTATTCTCTAGTACTTGAGTATATATATTATCGGATTTATGAGAAAAATTCTAAGATTGTAAACTTTTTTTAAGGTTTTGTTGTAGACTAGTGTTTACCAATACTAATACATTTTCAGATATACAGCTAGAGATATAAAAGAGATTAATTTTTCACATATATTGTAGAGTATTTATATGTTTAATTTTCTTCCTAGTTAAAATGCTAAAAACATTTTGAGAGAGAACAATGAATTTGAGAGGTAGAAAACACAATTTAATCATATCTTAATTAATTATGTTACAGGGTTGTTATCTTGGCAGTTGGAATAGTTTTTGCAAAAATGTTTGATTTTGTTGTTTTAATTGATTTCATCCGACTAACTAAACACATTTTGATTATTTAAAATTTAATATTAGGGTTAAATTTGTCAAAGGCAGGACGGTGAGCGAGCTACAATGTGAGACGGTGAAGGAAGAGAATGCGATAACGGAAGAGTTATCGGAATGGCAAGACGACGCGAGCGAGCTCGTCATGGGAACGACGTCTGATGTCGACCAGAGGATCCGACGGCTAGCAGAGATCGTCCATCGAGCCGATGATCTACGGCTCCAAACGATCACAGGTGTGGTGGAGCTCCTTGGTCCGCTCCAACAAGCGGAGTTTATAATCGCTGCTGTCGAGCTTCGTGCCGGCGTTTCTGGTTGGGGTACTAGCCACGACCGTCGTCGAACTTCCGACATCTAAAGCTTCTTAAAACGGTCTAGATGCTAATGGAGAATTCTATGTTTTTTACCATGTTATTTTATTATCCAAATTGAGTTTGGTTTTTACATGGTTACGAAATTTTGATTCAAAATTCATATGTTATGGATGTCACAAATATATTAAATTTTGTTCGTGTTTGTTAATTTTATCTTTTTCAGTTGGTTGCACTTGCAGTTTTGATGTAAAGCAATCGCACTAATAGAGGTTTTTTTTTTATCAAACACTAATAGAGGTTATTGTTAATTTGTTAATAGAAACAATAAAATTACACAAATTCGGGGGACATGGGTTATTGTTGGTTTCTTTAGTCCAAGTGGATAAATAAAAGATGGGGCTCCTAAAAATTACAAAAAGACATGAAGTGAACGTGGCATGTTTATGTCTCTTGAAGACATGCACGAGGACACTTGGTATGGTACGCGTCCTCCTATCACGGCGTCAATTCCTAGCATTTGTGTTGGTTGGTTTTTGTAGATTCTTCTTCCTCACAAGTATTTTATTTTAATCAAAGTCAAGACGATGACATGACATTTTATTCTTTGATCTGAGGTGAGGACAGCTAGCTAGCTTTTTTTGCCAAAATCGTGTAATTTTTGTTTTTCCATTCATCCAGTGTATTTTTTTTTTTTAACGTATAATTTTAGTAGTTTATGAATCTTTATACTTAAAAATTTCATATAATGCCTATAGTAAAAAAAAAAAAAAAAAATCAAACGATTATAGTTAAGTTACGTTGCAAGTTCCAACTTACAAGTTATGTAGCGAGGACTTCATAAATCACACAGTGCCCAGTGCCCACACTCACCCAAAATATTGTCGGTAATTGGGCTTTTAAAGCTCAAAACGGCGAAACGGCCCAATAAGACATTAAGCTTTTGTCTCGAAACCAACGTTAGATATTATTTTTTTCTTGTCGGCAACCAAAAGTATATAGTTAAGTATTTACATTAATGCCCCCATGTTCCGATATTTACAATTCCAGGGTCTTCTACGCCAGAATGGCGGGAATGTGAGCTGAACCCTAAAGTACCTTTTTCACTCGAAATCCCCCCCCCTCCCCCCACCACCCACAATGGCTATATGGTCTCCTTCGTGTCTCGCCATTCTCTTTATTTCACTCATTTGATTATCCACCGCTCCAATCTGCTTTTCCGAGAACAACGAAAGTATCTCTGCCACCGTTACATTTGGAGGACAACGGCGAAGAAGATTTCACCGGAGACAATGCCGATTGTAGCTGAGTACGCGAAGTCGAACCGATCGTCGTGCAAGTCATGCTCGAAGACGATCGCGTCGAAAACCCTGAGGTTAGGGTTGGTTAGCAAAGGACCTGGCGGGTTCGACATGACCAGATGGCACCATCTCGACTGTCTTCCTCCCGATTCGGAGCCGATTGCTTCCGTCGATGACATCAAAGGGTTATCCGCTTTAGAGGTAAGGGTTTTGGGCATTTTGGGTCTCCCGAAGGTTATGTCAGTCTATAAGCTGTTCGAGATCGTTCATGGAGTTTCACTTATTTCTATTATCTGTGTTAATGGTCACAGAAAGATGATCAGGATGCTTTGGCGAAATTGGTGGAACATCGCGCCGAGACTGCTAAAGAAGTAAGATCTGGAATCGACTTTCGAGAACTGTGATAGTTGTATAGGCCTACTTCAGTCTCGTTTGTTCATCTAAGATTTAGAATGTAGACTACGTTACTTTTCTTAACTGCTTGTATTGGTTAAAATGATGCAGGTTGATAAGAAGGAGGCAGAGATTAAACATTCTGCATCAGATGATACAAGTGGTAAGGAGATCAAAGAGACGAAAGGTTCTTCTGCTTCTTCACAAGTCATCGCTGAGTATGCGAAATCAAGCAGATCGTCATGCAAGAAGTGCTCTCAGACGATCGCTTCAAAGGAGCTGAGATTGGGACTGGTGACCAGAGACCGGGGATATGATATGACAAAGTGGCATCACTTGGGTTGTTTCTCTGTTGAATCAGATCCGATTGATTCTGTAGAGGACATTGGTGGATTTTCATCACTGCAGGTTAGTCTGTGTTATTATGAATTTGTAGCTCAGTGAGTAGAGCTTCGGGATGGTTGCATATGTCCTCTGGCTACGAAGATCATGAAATGAAACAGATATTGCTATCTCGAGTATAGATCATAGATGTAGATATCTATCAAAAGTACTGTCACCTTGATTTTTAAATTTAGCATTGGCATCATGTCTTTGTCAGTGTCATGCTGAATAAAACACCCAAACATATAACTATCCTTATTTGTACTGACATGTCTTTTATATATGATTCTTTTGTTATGCTAAACAGAACGATGACCAGGATGCATTAAAGGAAATGGTTCTACAATGCGGGAAGAAGACTTTGGTAGATGTATTATATTTGACGAAAGCATTGTGTTTTTAAGCGTTTATAAGTCTTAATAAGAAAATTAGTGAACTTTAACATTCTTAGCTTCTTTAAACTAATCTCTTATTTCATTTCCTGGCGGGATTGCAGGCTATGGAAGAAGATAACGATGAATCTGGAGCTGATAAAGGTTTAACGGAGGAGACAAACAAACGAAAACATTCTCAGGTTATGACATGGCAATATCCACAGTTTTAATTTAATTCTGTAAAAGTGGAGATTTAGTCTCGTTTGCTCACGTAGACTAAATTATTGTCTTAAATGCTCGTATTGGTTAAAATAATGCAGGTTGATGAGAAGGAGGAAGAGATTAAACATCCTGCATCAGATGATACAAGTGGGCCGAAGATTAAGATGACGAAAGGTTCTTCTGCTCCTTCAAAAGTTATTGCGGAGTATGCGAAATCAAGCAGATCGTCATGCAAGCAGTGCTCTCAGACAATCGCTTCAAAGGAACTGCGATTGGGGCTGGTGACCACAGACCGGGGATATGATCTGACAAAGTGGCATCACTTGGGTTGCTTTCCCGTTGAATCAGATCCAATTGATTCTGTAGAGGACATTGGTGGATTTGCATCACTGCAGGTTAGTCTGTATTTATAATCGAGGAACTTTCAGTTAAGTGGGTAGAACTTCTGGATGATTGCATTTATTCTCTGGTTATTATGATCATAAAATGATACAGATAATTCTATTTTGAATATAGACATGTGGTATTAGTTTAAAGGAGTTTGATTCTCAAATTTACCAATGGCATAACGTTGTTGTCAGTGTCATCTTAAATAAACAGCCAAACATATAACCATCCTTATTCGTGTTAACACATCTCTTATATTTGACTCATATGTTACAATAAACAGAATGGTGATCAGGATGTTTTAAAGGAATTGGTCCAACGATGCGAGAAGAAGACTTTGGTAGATTTTTTTAGCAAAACCCTTTTTCAAAATATTTGTTTTTTTACATAATATTTTGGACCTCTCCAAAATGACATCGAACTTCATTTCCTGGCGGATTGCAGAAGATGGATGGAGATAATGATGAATCTGGAACTGATAACCGGCTACTGGAGGAGACAAACAAAAGAAAACATTCTCAGGTGATTATATAGCAATAATAACGTCTATTAATATAATTTCGTAAAAGTGGAATTTTCATTGAACTGTAAATTATTGTTACCAAGGACTACTAAAAAAACCTGTTGTGTTATGCAGATGAACATCAGTGAGGCATCTTCTAAGGTCGTAGATGAAGCAGAAATATCGCTTTCAGCTTCTGATGTGAAGGAAAAGTACAGGGTATGCACTCTCAGTGTCTGTTAGATTAACGTTGTGTATTCCCGTGTTAAAGTTATCTTACTCTTTGCGAGTTTGCAGCTTTGGCATATGTATTCGTTTTCCAATCATTATGTCTTTGGCTGCTAATATCCTTGTTATTTCAGGATGCCAGTCTATTACCAAAATGGAAAGCCTTCGAGACAGTTATATTCCTTGAGCGGGTCAGAAATCATCTTAAGATATAAAGTTGCTTTTTGAATATATGGTAATGTATTATGTCCTAACTATAAATTCCTTTGCTCTATTACAGGATGATGGTCTTAATGATTCAGAGAAGATTGCTGCCTTTGATTTTGATGGATGCCTTGCAAAAACGTCTGTGAAAATGTAAGAAACCATTTGGTTACTCAGAATTTTCCTGTTCTTCTCTGTTTCCAACCTCTTATAGTGTCCAGTTATGTTTTCTGGATATGTAGTTTGTCTACGTCTGTGATTACATTTTCCCAGAAAGGTCTTGGTACTTGTTATAGAACACATTTAGTAAAATTGGGCGGCTCCTTTATTGTTGTCTTTGCAAAATATAATTGTGTTATTCATAAACGTCTTAATGGGTCATATTGTTTTCGTTTTCGTTTTTCTCAGTACAGGTGCAGATGCATGGTCCCTTATGTATCCTTCTATTCCTGAGAAACTACAAAGTCTGTATAGACAAGGCTTTAAACTGGTACTTTATTTTCATTTTGAATTCCATATGAGCGATGTTACTGAAATGTCTGAGTCTGTTTGTATAGAGATGCTGATTTTAAATGTTCATCAGGTCATTTTCACAAATGAGTCCAACATTGACCGGTGGAAGAACAAAAGACAAGTTGCTGTGGACTCGAAAATTGGACGCCTCAACAGTTTTATCAAGCGCGTGGAGGTCCCCATCCAGGTGAAGTGATGTTTAGTATTTCATAATTAAGAATGTCAATTTATCTACCCAAGAGCACTGCTGCAACAAATCCTAGTTATTATTTTGAGTGATTGAAATGAACTATGATGCATCCAAATCCCTATTTTGTAGTTAGTTCCGTTTGAATTCATGATTTGTTCTATCTTGCAAGTTCTTATCAGCTGACATTTGAAATTTTCAAAGTTAGTTTCAAAAGTATCCCGGACATGTGTCGATATCTGAGGATTGTAAATGGTTTCTTTCTGGAAACAGGTGTTTATAGCCTGCGGAGTCGCAAGCTCTGGTGGTAAAGATGACCTTTACCGCAAACCCAGAGCTGGGATGTGGCAACTCATGAAGAAGCATTTCAACTCTGGAATTGCAATTGATATGGATAAGTTAGTTTTCTTCCAACTTGCTCTTTAAGAATTTGGATTTACCTGAAACTCCTAGCAAAAGCTGGAAGACTACACACATTTATCCATTAGCCTTCCTGATCAATCTGTATTCGTTTGTATCTAAACTTCTGTGCCATCAGATCCTTCTACGTTGGGGATGCAGCCGGAAGAAAAGGCGATCACAGTGACGCAGACATAAAATTTGCACAGGTATATTTGTTAAAAACATCAGTCATCTCAACAATACTCAAGATACTTTTTGGGACTTTCCTGATCTGACATACTTTCTTTGGTTGCAGGCGAGTGGATTGAAGTTTTATACCCCAGAGGAGTACTTTACCTCTTGAAGTTCATCAGTAGGAGGGACTACTTATCAGTTTCAGGCTTGTGTTTTATCATGTTTGCAACATGTTTTGTTGACAGTCGACACGAATGTTTCTTGTGATCAAACTATCAGTATGTATTCAGTTTTCAACACTTTTTTTTGTATATGAGTCTGCCATTTAAGCATCAACTTATCTGCGTTCACAGAGATTACTGAACCATGACAAAAAGCTCATTTGAACAAATCATCGACAACAACAAAAATTGGTTCAAATTTCCAACTCGTTTACAGACATGATGAGGTTGAAAATTACGGACATCAAATATTCTTCACTCTCTTTTCCTTTTTAATAATCAAAATAGACAAAACCTAAACTGGTGGTTTATCACTCCTTTTGACCGATCTCGCCTTCTAGAATGGCGTGTCTTGTAAGAACAATCTCTTTCACCAGGTTCCTGTAAACGAAGGGCCTAACAGCAGCACGGAGAAATAGCTCAGGCGGGATCCTACTCTTCTTTATCTTCTTCATCCACCTTCCATACCCAACCGTCTTCCATTCTTCTGGCTTCACCTTCGCCTTCTTACCTCTCATTTCCAACTCATCTCCTGCGACCTCTCCCTTTCCTCTTTCCTCCATTGCCTTCAACTGCTTCTCATAAAACTTATCCGACACCACCATACTCATCTCCGCAAGCGTCTCCATCCTCTCGGCGTTGCTTGTCGCTTTCTTGAACTGCTCTTCCCAATACCTCTCATCCTCTTCCGGATCCGACTCCTCTATCTCACCTTCCAAACTGTCTTCTTCCTCGTTTCCCTCCACATCCACTACCATGTTATCATCATCATCTTTTTCTTCCTCCTCCTCCTCCTCACTCTCATCATCATCATCATCATCATCGTCACCTTCATCTTCAACCCATTCGGAGAATTCAGCCTTCTCTGAGTTTCCACTAATGCTCATCTCTCCCTCGTCTTCGTCTGGAGCATCACACCCTAGCTCCATCTCCTCCAGCTTTGCCTTCCACTCTTTCGTATAAGGATGCAACAGCTCGATCGGGTGGTTCCCGAGCAAGAACTTCAAAACTCTCGACTTCTTTTCGTCGCTCGACTTCTCATAAGCATCCACCACATCATCCACAAAAGCCGTCTGTCTCACCTTCAGCATCTTACACAGCCCTCCGTAATAAGTACTCAGATCCACTCCACCTTCATCATCCTCCACTTCAAACACGAATCCAGATTCCGTTACCGGGTTTAGATACGGTACGATTGAGTTGAAGAAATCTTCCTGTGGCTCAAACCTGCACTGAAACACAGGCTTCTTCACATAGACAATATCAGGTCTAAACCAAGCCGCGCACTGACATATCAAAGACCTTGACTTGTTCCCCAACCTCCCCATCAGATTCCATTTGTCCAGCCTCTGCTTCTTCTCCGCTTCCACAACCACTTCGCTAACCAACGTCCATTGCTCCCACGGCGACTCACTGAGTCTCCATTTCGGATGCCTAACGAAAACCCAAAAATACCTTAAACCAACATTCGAATCCAACTCCTTCACCCGTTTCTGAAAAGCTACGTTCATCTCATGCTGCTCAATCTTCTCAAACTCTTCATGATTCTCCACTTCGCCTATCATGGTAACACACTCGTCAGAGATGGTACCGCGAACCGGATCACCGACCACAACACCACGCCACGAGTAAGGTCCAAACTCTCCGTACTTGAACCAGTCATAAGGATGACGCAATCTCGGGTCGTCCTTATCCATAAACCGGACCATCCTATCGTAACCGAGCCCTATCATCTCAAGCTCGTCTTCCGTGAACTTATCCGGATGGCTACTGAGAATGCTGCTTCGGCTCTTGTCAGGGTTATTATACAGCCGATAGAACAGAGATTCCGCTAGCTTCTTAGATTTCTCGCGAGCATTCCGCTTCACCTGCTTCCTCACATCCGAATCCCCTTCAATCCTCCCGCCTGACGAACCTCCAGGCTTCTTCCTGCTCCGCCCTGCCAAAGCGCGAACGTCTCGCCGGAATCCACCATCTTTTCTGAGCAAAAGCTCGGAGCTTTTGACTCCGAACGGGAAACTCCTCTCGGTAATCGGTAAAACCGAAACGGTCCTTCGCACGACGGAGTTGGGTGGAGATTTACGGATGGAGGAAGGGAAGAAGGAGAAGCTAGGGTTCAGGGTTTTAGAAAAGGATAAATCTTGACCCAACATTTCTTCCTTCGCGAGGAGAGAAGAGAAAGGATGATTCAGAAACTGTAATTAAATATAAGCCGACCGATACGACGGCGTTTTTGCCGTCGAGACCCGACAAGCCATTAGTAACTGAAATAAAAATAAATATCCTGTCTTTTTTTTCTTTTTTTCTCTCTTCCGCTAGATTTTGCGATGGCGAAGAGGATCCACCTGACGGAACTAGGCTGCATCGCGTGCGAGGAACTTAGTGAGCTCGGTGCGGGCAAGGAAGGGTGGCTCGTGAACAACCCAAACCTTCTCTGCGCACTCGATTCCCATTCTCTAGCCCTAGCCAATCGATTTCTTATCTTGATTGTGAATTGGGGCGATCCTGATGCGCCTCGCGTCAAGATCAGACCCGATCTGTCTCCGATTGAGGCCGAGTCCATTACGGCGATCGAGTGGTTAGTGCTTGACGACATCCGAGTCGTCGTTGCCGGAACTTCATGTGGATATCTCCTGGTTTACTCTACCGCCGGTGATCTGATTCATAAGCAGGTAAGTTTCGGACCAATTTGTGTTAGCTCCCAGTGTTTGCTTTAACTGTGGGAACATTGGTTTTATGAAACTGTTGTCTTAAAGAACCGTGGAACATTGTGACTGTTTGCTTACAAGTGATCTTATGGGTGAGTTACTTAATTTCGTATGTATACACAGATTGTACATCCAAGCCGTATCTTGAAATTAAGAGTTCGAGGAACTAAGAAAGATTTGATGCAAGAGACATCCTCTGAGGAGATTTGCATTGTATTGCCTGGCATTATTGCCCGCTTTGATGGCTCCAACATTCAGGTAGTGTTGTAAAAACTTCTGACGAAAGGAGAAAGTGTTTTCGGAAAGTTTTGCTAAGCTCTGAGATTTGTTGATTTTGTGTTTATAATTTGTAGAGTATGCTCCAGAGATGGTTGCAAGAAAAAAACTCAAACTTTTGGGACCAAAAGAGTAGAAAGGGAGATCGAGAAGATAGTGGTACTCTGTACCAGCGACTACCGTATCAGATATGGAATGTCAACAAGAATGGTGTGTGCGTTGATGCTACTATCACTGGCATAATGCCTCCACCATTACTGGAACATCAGGTGATTAGTGTGATTGTCCCTATCTGATTGTTTCAAACTAGGAACTCTCTGCGGTTTTCTTAACCATAATCCTGATTGATGTTATGTCTCTGCTGTCGGATAAGAACGATAAGCAAAAACCTTTTTTTAGGGTAATTCCTGTTTATAAATCTGGCTGATTTTATTCTTTGACAGTCAAGTCAACGTTATTATTGTGCAGTGACCATTGGAGAGGATGCTGTAATCTCAGCTTACAGGTTGGTGTTCTTTTGTTGATTAAAGAAACCTTTTTATGATCACTTTTGTTGATTAGTGTTTTTATGCAATGCTTCTTAATTTGAAAGGCTCTCAGAAGATAGAGGAAGATCACTTGTTGGAGCCATTCTATCAAAAGTTGTGCCTGCAGCTGCTTCAACCATTGCTTCTTTCTCCAAACTGATCTGGAGAAGTAATGATCAATCACCAAAGCGAAAGCCAGAAGCCAAGGCTCAGTCATTCGCTCGAGGTAGATTTCATGCTTCTCTAATCACTTCACTAGAATAATATCACTTTTGGAACATCCATTTATGGTTCAACCTTTTTTCAAAATGTTAATGCAGCATCATCCTTGACATGTATAAAGGACTATCCAAGAAAAGGTGAGAAGCTCACATTATCACCGAGCGGGACATTAGCTGCAATAACAGACTCTCTTGGTCGAATACTTCTGCTAGACACTCAAGCTCTCGTGGTTGTACGACTATGGAAGGTTTGTGTTAAACATCTTTAAGACTTCTTCGCTTTTAAGTTTCCACTCTGTTTTTATTAAATATCAAACTTTCCTTTCTAGGGTTACCGTGACGCTAGCTGTGTGTTCATGGAGATGTTAGCTAAGAAAGATAAAGGAAAAGCTGTAATTCACACAGAGCCTGTAAAAAGCGATTACTGTCTATGCTTAGCCATTCACGCGCCACGCAAAGGGATCATCGAGGTAAACGTTGTCTTTCTCTCAACAACATTCATCTATTGTTTTGATTATATGTGTGATTGATTTGCTTCGAATTGAAAAAACCAGGTGTGGCAGATGAGAACAGGGCCACGTCTTTTAACGATCCAATGTGCGAAAGGTAGCAAACTGTTGCAGCCTGCGTACAGGTTTGGATCGAATTCTTCATCTTCTCCTTACATTCCTCTTGAAGTCTTTTTACTCAATGGAGATTCCGGCCAAGTCTCTATGCTCAACCGATCTCTATCTTAAATATCTCTTAACCTTTATCATTTACAATAGCTTTCTTCATTTTTAATTTTGTTTTCACAGACTTTTTGTGCATAGCCAAGCCAAGTCTCTAATTAATTTATAAGAGCTGTTGATCTATAATATGTTTTCTAATCAAGAACAAGAAATTTGCAGTGATTTGTGTAGTTAGTGTTTATGTTAATTTATTATCTTGGTTTGATAAATTGGATTTGACCATGTAACCAGACACTGTATTTCTTTGCTTCAAAGATTCATCATATAGTTGAAGTATATGCTACGTTTTGTGATTGGTTTCCTAGAAGGTAACAGAGTAAACAATCTAACGTAGTAATAAATTTATATCTTCGAAATGAACATTCCAAACCATAATTAACTGCCATTGTTATAAACGAGACATTGTTTAATTAAATAATCCACTGGAGGGATAGCTTCTTTGATATCAGTTGGATCACCCGACAGAGACCAAAAAGGTCAGCCGTACGATCATGTCTTCTTCTCTTCCTCCACTCATCTTCTTCACCGTCTTCTTCGCCGTCTACTCTCTTTCTACCGTCGCCGATCACCATAATACCAGATCGCGTTTCAAGCCTCCCCATTTCTCCCCTCTCTTCTTCTCTTCTCCGACCCAAAACGTCACATCACCTACTCGCTACTTCGAGGTCAAAAAGCCTCCCGTTCCCGATTTTCCGGCAGCTCAACCACCGTGCTCGCATCGGGTTCTCCACCATGACTTTGGCTACACCTATTCTAAACCGCCGGTCCTCGCCAACTACACCGTCCCCTCTCACTGCCCGTCTCTAGAGTTCTCCAAAATCGTCCTCGAGTTCAAATCCACCAGCAAAGGAAGACAATTCGATCGGATTTTCGGCGTTTGGCTCGACGGCGTTGAGATTCTCCGGAGCTGCACCGCCGAGCCTAGGGCAAACGGAATTGTTTGGTCGGTGGAGAAAGATGTGACCAGGTATCACTCTATGCTCGTCAAGAACCAGACTCAGATCCTCGCTGTTTATCTCGGTAATCTCATAGATAAAACCTATACTGGTGTCTACCATGTCGATGTCATCTTCCATTTCTATCCAGTCGAAAGAAACCTGCGAGATCCTTCTTCTGTATCATCTGCTTACATCTCTCCTCGAGCAGATACGATCCTCCCCATTTCGAGAAACCTCCCGCTAAACGACGGACTGTGGTTCGAAATCGTGAACTCGGATGATTCTAAGTACAAGGAAATAGAAATCCCTAGGAATGTGTATAGAGCTGTTCTTGAAGTGTACGTTTCTTTCCATGAGAATGATGAGTTTTGGTATGGAAACCTTCCCAATGACTTCATCACTGCCAACAATCTCAGTGCTGCTGGTAATGGACCTTTCAGAGAAGTTGTGGTTACCCTCGACGGCAAAATCGCCGGCGCGGTTTGGCCTTTCCCTGTTGTTTTCACCGGTGGGATCAATCCTTTGCTCTGGAGACCGATCACAGCGATCGGCTCCTTTGATTTGCCGAGCTATGACATCGAGATCACGCCTTTCTTGGGAAGCTTGTTGGATGGAAAGACTCATAAACTTGGGTTTAGTGTGACTAACGCGTTGAATGTTTGGCTCGTCGATGCGAATTTGCATCTTTGGTTGGATCAGGAGAAGGAGATAGTCGAAGGGGAGGTGTTGGAGATGAGTAGGAGCTCTCTGAAGATTACCTCTGTCTCTGACTTCAAAGGCTTGAATGGAAACTTCACGACGAGAGCTAAGAGGTCGATACATTCGACCGGTTTGGTCAAATCCTCTCATGGGGACATCACAACCAGTGCCAATCAAGAATTCAGCTATGGAAACACGATGGTTTTAGGTAAAGATGGGAACTTGCAGATCATAGATCAGCTGATCCAAGCGGATGACCGTGTTCACGCCAAGAGTGGCTCGAGAGAGATCTACGCAGCGAAATCCATCAAGAGCTTTCCTTTTTCCCTCCACTCTGACTCTTTGGAGCAGCAAGAGAATAATAATACCTCTCTGGAGGTTGCGAATGTGACGATGGGATTCAACGAGGAGAGGTCACAGAGTGACAATGGATTGATGAGAACGTTCAAGAGCAATCTGGAGAACAAGCAAGAAGGGCAAGGGGTTATAGTGGTGAAGAATAACTTGGTGATCAGTGGGTATGGAAGCACGCAACAAGTTTATAACTACGTTGGAAGTGACCAGTGTTACTTCAGGAACATCAGTAGCTTCAACTACACCATTCTGTATGACGAGCTTCAAACTGTTTGCAAGAAGAAAACACTGAAGTTGCCCCCACGGCTTGAGCATCTAACCAGTCAACCTTTACTGGCTTGAATGACATGTGGATGAAGAAACATCACAAATAAATAACAATCAGTTGCTTTCTGCTTTCTTCTGTTTTTTCTTCCAGTATTCAGATAATGTCTCGACAAGATTTGATAAATTGCCTTCCTGGTCAACCACTCTTCATGTTCCGACTCTTGTGCAAATTGACATTGTGTACTGTGTACCAGTAAAACCGGTTATAAGCAGTGGTTAATGGTTAGTCAACCAGTTGACTTTAATTTATCTAACAATGGACCGGTATCTGAATTGTATTTCCTTGGTAGATACTTACTAAACCAATTTGGTGATTGTACCGGAAAGATTTACCAAAAAGGAACCGAAGCGAAGAAATCCGGAAGGTGGGTCCTCCTATTATCCAGATATACCATACGTGGCTACATTACAACCGTCGAAGAGATTGACTTAAAAGTCAAACCTCGAATCTCATCTCTCCTGTCTTCCCTCGGCGATAAGGAAACACTAGACCAGACCAGACCGGCAGCAAGGAGCGGGGAAAATCAGACAAAAGCATTTCATCTTGGAAACTTAAGGTTCTTCCGTGATTGAGAATGAGCTTATCATCGCCAACCAGGTCCGATGAAAGTGTCAATTTTTGCTTTCAATTTTCTGTTTTACCCGTTTAGTTTCTTCTGTCTAGCTTAAATCACGAGACTTTTTAATTTTTATTTTTCGTTGAATTTTCAAACAGTGCTTGCACTTCGTCGAGATGTTACTCCTCGGGTTTGTCGTTGCCGATAGGGCTTCGATCGAATCCCATCAATGTCGGATTGGTTTGTTACCCAAGAAGAAGACACAATAGTGCTGCTCGGAAGTTCGTCGTTGCCTGCTCCTCCTCTTCCTCTCCCGGTACGTACCTCCTGCAATCCAAATTCTCGAAGATTTGATGCTTTCCGATTTTGAAATGGTTTTAGTGGATTCGGGTTTTTAGCTGATCACTGAAATATTCAATTTTTATTTAGCTTGAATGTGGAATAGTGTTTTTTTTCTCTTATGGGCATGTGGAATACAAGATGAAATGTATCTACTAGTTGATAATAGAAGAACGATGAATCTGTGCCACTATCCTTTCTCACATTTAACACATTTTGTTCAAAATTGTGTTAAAAGCAGATCCATTGTTGGTTAAGGCTGCGAAAGGGCAAGCCGTGAGCCGGCCTCCAGCTTGGATGATGAGGCAAGCAGGGAGGTACATGGCTGTTTACAAGAAGCTCGCCCAGAAGCACCCTTCCTTCAGAGAGAGATCAGAGAACACTGATCTCATAGTGGAAATCTCTTTGCAGCCTTGGCAAGCATTCAGACCAGACGGTGTCATCATCTTCTCTGACATCCTCACGCCTTTACCAGCTTTCGGCGTCCCTTTCGACATCGAAGAAGTAAAAGGCCCCGTGATCCAATCTCCCATCCGAACCGAAGAAGATTTGAAGAGGTTGCATCCCATTGATCTCGAGAAACTTCACTTCGTTGGAGATTCTCTCAAGATTCTTAGACAAGAGGTTGGTTTCTCTCAGCTTTTTTTTCTCCCGAGAGTTTAACCAAAAATGGCTTGAAAATGGATTCTTGTTTTTTTTTCTGGAAGGTCGGAGAACATGCGGCGGTGTTGGGTTTCGTTGGAGCGCCTTGGACAATCGCGACTTATATTGTTGAAGGAGGAACAACTCGGACGTATACAACCATAAAGAGCATGTGCCACACTGCACCAAACGTGTTGAGAGCTCTCTTGTCTCATTTAACCAAAGCCATCACGGAGTACGTTGTTTACCAAGTCGAGCATGGAGCTCACTGCATACAAATATTCGATTCGTGGGGTGGACAGCTGACTCCTGAGATGTGGGAGCGCTGGTCCAAACCTTACATCGAAGAGGTATAGTTAAGTGTTTTCGTCTTAATGACTTGAAAGATTCTCCTTTGGGCGTTAAAGTTTTTTTTTTTTTTTCTGTCGTTTGGGCTGGTTAGATCATTCATGCTGTAAAGAAGAGATGTCCAGAGACGCCGATAGTATTCTACATCAATGGAAACGGAGGCCTTCTTGAGCGGATGAAAGGAACTGGAGCTGATGTCATTGGACTTGACTGGACTGTAGATATGGCTGATGGAAGGAGGCGATTGGGAAGCGACGTTAGTGTTCAGGGAAACGTTGATCCTGCTTTCCTTTTCTCTCCGCTTCCTGCTTTAACCGAAGAAATCGAAAGGTAGGTTGTAGTTACTTTGTTGTTCAGCTGAAGATAGTTAGTGATGCTTGTTATATATTTACAATTCGAGAAAACCGAAAGAAAAATGTTTGTTTCGGTGTCAGAGTTGTGAAGAGTGCTGGACCAAAAGGGCATATACTCAACCTAGGACACGGTGTCTTGGTAGGGACACCAGAGGAAGCCGTGGCTCATTTCTTTGAAACCGCTAGGAGCTTGGATTACCAAACTGTTTTCCAAAATCATGTTCCTGCAGAAAAAGCTGAGCCTGAATTGGTTGCCTGAGGAATGTTGAACAAGACAGGTGAGACAAGTCGATACGAATCTGCTGTTTTTAGTTCTGTGAACGTATGTTTGAATCTCTTCATTTTGGTGCAGGAATCAGAGAAAAAAAACATCCATGCCTAACTCATAATCTATCCCAGAGTTTGGTGGTAACTTGCTATGAGAGACACTCGAAGCTGTCCTGTCCTGTGGTCTTAACTCTTAACAGTATCTTGAGTTGCTCAATGTTGCTGTTTCTTTTTGGAGATCTGACTCTGGTTGAAGTTTAACCAAACATCAAATCTTTTTCCCTGTTTGTTATCCCTTTTTCTGCATATGGTTCTTTCTCGGTCTCTATATCTGATGTATCTTTTCTTTTGTCCCACTTCGCTGTTAAACCAAGTAAGCTTGTTTTGTATCATGAAGTGAAGAAAAAAAAAAAGGCAGAAGGGAAGTCTTGATCTCACCGTGAATCGAATTGGTTTGGTCTGGTTTGGTTATATTCAATTTTATTTCCCGGTTGGTTTTAGATGTTACCCGAATATCTGCAGAAGTACAAACGCATAACGTAACGCCGTAACGGTTCTCTCGTAACTCAATTGAACATCCGTCCAAACGCTCACTTAACTGACTTCTTACGTTGTTATGGCCCATAATATTCTCCATAATTTTACACCTAGTAGGACGTTTAACCTGATTTGATAAATTTCGATTTCTTGGACTTTTGGGAACAATATTTGAGATATAATATATAATTTTCTTAGTAAAACTAATAGTACATTTAAAATGGTGAAAAAAAAATGAATAGTTTAGAACAAAACAACTATTTTTTTGGTTTGCTATCATTATTTTGATACTTGGTAAAATATCTTTGTTTCTGTCTTTTCCCCATAATTACATATATATTTTTAGATTTTTGGGACATATGTGAGATTTTACTTTTCTTAAAAATAACATGATAATGCGTGGCATACATATCTACCATATAATAATATATTCATCTTCTATATTAAATTAACATTCTATTTTAAATGGTATAGCAAATTGGTAGTTTGAAACTATGGACGTATACTATAGTGGTTTGTCTTATCCTCGTTGTTGTATCATTCAGATTCCAAAAATGCTAAAAAAAAATGAGAGTTTATAGTTGTATTGATAAGATCTAAAGTCCATTGAAACCGCAACATAAAAAATAAAATCGTAAGATAATGTATAGTCACTACTATGGCCTCACCAATTTGCTTTCGTGAATCATCCCACTTATACTTTTTATCTATGAAAAGTTAAAACAGAGAAATGCAAACCTAACAGTATCGTTTTGCTCTCCCCCGAGTGTGTCTGATAAATAATGTTAACTATCATCTCATACGTCAACCGAATTATCACCGACACTGACCCCACACCAAACCATTATGCATAGCTTTATAAAAATGTAACTATCATCCAATATATTATCCAATAATTGAACCTTGTTAGTTCTTTAATCTAATAGGGATCTATAAACTACAAAGTTTATGCGATAATTAATTCAGCATTATTGCTACATTTCAAATTAAGAAGACGCCATGGTTCATCAAACCCATAAAGAAATACAAAAGGGTCAATGATAAATATTCGAACGAATCAGTCTACCCAAGAGCCATTTTTCTAATGCCTTTTTACAAAATCCATAAGCTTATACACTTTATCTATTCTAGAACATTTTACATGACAAACTCTCATATTTAGATATTTAGAAAACGAATTGTTGTAGTCCTCTACAAGTTGATACGTATGGGATGTGTTTAATTTAGTGTAATACTGAGAAGAATATGATTTAATTTTGAACCGAATATTCTAACAGAGAGACAAGAACCCACGTAGCGATACAGATCACATACGATTCTTTTTTTTTTCTTTACAAATCACAAACTTGTCTGACTTGAGTACATATTATAATGACGTATTCAATGATTCGAAATTTCGAATATTCCATTAATAGCTACAAGGATAAGTAAACTCAATGTAATTAATTAATCTCATATTCTTTTCTCTCTTTACATAAAATGGTATGCAATTTTTTTTATAAAAGTGCAAAACTATGACTTTTGGTCGTACAGATGACTAACATGTGTCGATAATGCCCGCAAAAACTAGTTTTTCCCTGACTTCCACGCCCGCCTCGATCGGCCTGAGATTAGAGGCAACAATATTAGTATAATGAACATTTCATTTTTGGGATAATCGGCGTGAGATTAGAGGCAACAATATTGAGTATAATAAACATTTAATTTTTGGATAATCGGCGTGAGATTTGAGGATTAGAAAAAGTAATCATTAGAGATACTCGAAAGTCTTAGTTATGATTTTTTCTTCAACACACTCTTAGTTATATCATTAGAGTTGTGATAACATTAGTTAAATATATAGGTCAGGATAAATCCTGAAAAAAATAATACTTTTTAAAAATCAACTTGATTGGCTGTGATAATCATTTGTTCATCTTCGTGCATAGACAAATGCATGCACGAGCTCACACGATCCTATTTTTTTTTATAAGCTAAAAATCAATTATTTACTGTTTCACCAAAGCTAAGCACTATTTTTAACACAAAAAGCTAAGATGTAATCAGCAAACGTTTAATTTAATCAAGTTGACTTTTAAATTTGTAACTTATAACTTTTCAGGATCCTTTATTAAATAATGATTCCATAATCCCTGCTTTCAAGTTACAACTAAGAAATCAAGATCCCCAAGGAAGAAGTTTGTCCCAAAACAAAGAAAAAAACTAAGAAATCAAGATCCATTAGATCTTAATTTGATCATTAAAACTTACAGTAGAATGTATCTTAATCAATGCATTATATTTCGACTCTAGATAATCAACTAAAAACTATACTACTTAATACACATTCTTACTTGTTTTGTCATATATAATTCGAACCAGAGATAATATTTACAAATTACAAATCAAGTAACAAATTTTATATAGTTGACCATATGATTTATATGAAATGGAATTAATGAAAAGATTATATTTACACATGTCATGTAATTTTTTTGGAATAGTATAAAAGATGCTAAAGATCCGTGAGTATTATTCCTTTTTCCTTATAAAATTAGATGGATTTGAGGAATAATATCACTACATAGTGTGTTAATAATAACAAAACAAATTAATTCATAAATAAATAAATGATTGATAAATAATGAAAAAGTTAAATCTCACTTGTAAAGCGCGCATCTCATGCCAACACAGTGTATCGCACTTCCTTCCTCTATATATACTCGACTCTTCCTTTCTCATTCGCTATCATCTCTGAATCTGATTCCAACATCAAAGAACCCTTTTCTCTGATCTCTGTGGATTCTTCTCACCAAACATCAATTTTTATTTCCCTCCCACACTATCCGCAGATTTCTTCTTCTTATAGGTTTGTCTCTATCGATTCATATTCCTTTTTTTTTTCCGTCCAGTCTATCGAATTCCCGGTTCCATCGGCAAGATTTGCGTCAGTGTTCAACAGATTTTGCAAAAAACGAGAAAAAAATCTATTTTTGATTTACCTATTAATTTTTTTTCGTTAAAACGTTCCTTGATCTGATGATTACAGAAGAACTCAGAGAGCGTGGGCTAGTGGAGATCGATTGATCGGCGATAATGGCGGGTCGGAACATAGAGAAGATGGCATCAATTGATGCGCAGCTTCGTCAACTGGTTCCAGCTAAAGTGAGTGAAGACGATAAGCTTATTGAGTATGATGCTCTTCTCCTCGATCGCTTTCTCGACATTCTCCAGGATCTACACGGAGAGGATCTACGTGAAACGGTAACAAATCCTTCTTCCTTTTTTTTTCTAGTACACTATCTGATTTTGTCTTTTGATTGAATCGATACCCATTTGCCCAGATCGCAAAAATTTCAAACCTTTATCTCAATTTTGATTCGATGAATGGTTTTTAGTTACCTGATTATGGTGTTTTAAGTAGAGACATCGAATCAGATTCAATTGACTTGTGAAAATGGAACCTTCAAATGCTTAGATTCATCTTGTGCACAGGTTCAAGAGCTATACGAGCTTTCTGCTGAGTACGAAGGGAAACGTGAGCCTAAGAAGCTTGAGGAACTAGGGAGTGTGCTAACGAGTTTGGATCCTGGTGACTCCATTGTTATCTCCAAGGCTTTCTCTCACATGCTCAACTTAGCCAACTTGGCTGAGGAGGTGCAGATTGCTTACCGCCGCAGGATCAAGAAGCTGAAGAAGGGTGATTTCGTTGACGAGAGCTCTGCGACCACCGAATCCGATATCGAAGAGACTTTCAAGAGACTCGTTTCGGAACTTGGTAAGTCTCCTGAGGAGATCTTTGATGCCCTGAAGAATCAGACTGTGGATCTGGTTTTGACTGCTCACCCTACTCAGTCTGTGCGTAGATCGTTGCTTCAGAAGCATGGGAGGTTAGTTTTTGACTTCCCCTGGAGAGAGTGAAAAAACTCTCTTTTTTGATTGTGTATTGACCTTAAATGCTTTCTCAGGATAAGGGACTGTCTTGCTCAGCTGTATGCAAAGGACATTACTCCTGATGACAAGCAGGAGCTCGATGAGTCTCTGCAAAGAGAGGTAAGAGATCAACCTCGCTGGATTGTAACATGCTGATTTGATACAATTGAAAGATTGGCCTTTTAAAATCTCTCCTTTTGTTTAGATTCAAGCTGCATTCCGCACAGATGAGATCAGAAGAACACCTCCAACCCCGCAAGATGAAATGAGAGCTGGAATGAGCTATTTCCATGAGACAATCTGGAACGGTGTCCCCAAGTTCCTGCGTCGCGTGGACACAGCTCTGAAAAACATTGGGATTGATGAACGTGTTCCTTACAATGCCCCATTGATTCAGTTCTCTTCATGGATGGGCGGCGATCGTGATGGTACATTCTTTTTTTCGCATTACTGACAAACAAATCTCTCTCTCTTTTTGATCATCCTCTAATCTACTAACCTGTATTTCAGGTAACCCGAGGGTCACACCTGAGGTCACTAGAGATGTGTGCTTGTTGGCTCGAATGATGGCTGCCAATCTCTACTACAACCAAATCGAGAATCTGATGTTTGAGGTTTTTATCTCTTTTTTCATCTCCTCACTATCCTTGTTTTGCTTCTAAAAGATTCTCTTGATTCAATCATTTTTCTTCTTGGCAGTTGTCTATGTGGCGTTGTACTGATGAGTTCCGTGCCAAGGCTGATGAAATCCACAGGAACTCAAGGAAAGATGCTGCAAAACATTACATAGGTTAGAAGCAGAAATCCTCCTTTTGGAAACTTTTTACTTGCAAGATCGAAAAATAAACACAATGGTATTGCTTTTGCATTCTTAAGATATTTTTTTTGTAATCCAATGCAGAATTCTGGAAGACAATTCCTCCAACGGAGCCATACCGTGTGATTCTTGGTGATGTGAGGGACAAACTGTATCACACACGTGAGCGCTCTCGTCAATTGCTGAGTAACGGAATCTCCGACATCCCTGAAGAAGCTACTTTCACCAATGTGGAACAGGTAAGAAGTATTTCTTTATTAAATTGTTGCCTGATTCTAACAACTGCTAGTTCTTGCCCTACGATTTTCTTCAATCCTTAAACTTGCTCTCCTCGCTATAATCATGAAATGCAATTTGTGTTTACTGTGTTTTTGTTCGATCTACGCAGTTCTTGGAGCCTCTTGAGCTCTGTTACCGATCACTATGTTCATGTGGTGACCGCCCAATAGCTGATGGAAGCCTTCTTGATTTCTTGAGGCAAGTCTCCACCTTTGGACTCTCCCTTGTGAGGCTTGACATTAGGCAAGAGTCTGAACGCCATACCGATGTCTTGGATGCTATCACCAAGCACTTGGGCATCGGTTCCTCCTATAGAGACTGGTCTGAAGAAGGCCGACAGGAATGGCTTCTAGCTGAACTAAGCGGCAAGCGTCCACTTTTCGGACCTGATCTTCCCAAAACCGAAGAGATTGCTGATGTCCTGGACACATTCAAAGTCATATCCGAGCTGCCTGCAGACTGCTTTGGAGCTTACATTATCTCTATGGCAACTTCACCTAGTGATGTGCTTGCGGTTGAGCTTTTACAGCGTGAGTGCCACGTGAAAACGCCACTTAGAGTTGTTCCACTCTTTGAGAAGCTAGCTGATCTTGAAGCGGCTCCTGCTGCTGTTTCAAGACTCTTTTCTTTAGACTGGTACAAAAACCGTATTAACGGTAAACAAGAGGTTATGATCGGTTACTCAGATTCAGGGAAAGACGCTGGGCGTCTCTCAGCTGCTTGGGAGCTGTACAAAGCTCAAGAAGAGCTTGTGAAGGTTGCTAAGAAATATGGAGTGAAGCTAACTATGTTCCATGGCCGTGGTGGTACAGTCGGAAGAGGAGGTGGTCCCACTCATCTTGCTATATTGTCTCAGCCACCGGATACAGTTAATGGCTCACTCCGAGTCACGGTTCAAGGTGAAGTCATTGAGCAATCATTTGGAGAGGAACACTTGTGCTTTAGAACACTTCAGCGTTTCACAGCCGCTACTCTTGAGCACGGAATGAACCCTCCGGTTTCACCAAAACCCGAGTGGCGTGCATTGCTCGATGAAATGGCGGTTGTTGCAACTGAGGAATACCGATCCGTCGTTTTCCAAGAACCTCGATTTGTCGAGTACTTCCGCCTCGTAAGTATTCATTCACATCAGTCCAAAACTCACCAGTCTTATTTTTGTGTGTGTTTGGAGTATCTGAACCGTTGGTTTGGTTTTGCAGGCTACTCCAGAGTTGGAGTATGGACGTATGAACATCGGAAGCAGACCTTCAAAGCGAAAACCGAGCGGTGGGATCGAATCTCTCCGAGCAATCCCATGGATCTTTGCTTGGACACAAACAAGATTCCATCTTCCTGTATGGTTAGGATTCGGAGCAGCTTTCAGGTATGCAATCAAGAAGGATGTGAGGAACCTCCACATGCTACAAGATATGTACAAACACTGGCCGTTTTTCCGAGTCACCATCGATCTTATTGAAATGGTGTTCGCCAAGGGAGACCCCGGGATCGCTGCTTTGTACGACAAACTTCTTGTCTCAGAAGATTTATGGGCTTTTGGAGAGAAACTCAGAACCAACTTTGAAGAAACCAAGAACCTCGTCCTCCAGGTATACATAAAAAAACAGAGTCCCCTGTTTCGTATTCGTTAAGGTTTTTACTTGCAGTACCACTAAAATCCATTTGTTGCAGACTGCTGGACACAGAGACCTTCTTGAAGGAGACCCTTACTTGAAACAGAGACTCAGGCTGCGTGACTCTTACATCACAACCCTCAACGTTTGCCAAGCCTACACATTGAAGAGAATCCGTGATCCAAACTACAATGTGACTCTGAGACCACACATTTCCAAAGAGATCATGCAATCAAGCAAATCAGCACAAGAGCTCGTCAAGCTTAACCCAACGAGTGAGTACGCGCCTGGACTTGAGGACACACTCATCTTAACCATGAAGGGTATTGCCGCAGGATTGCAAAACACCGGTTAAGTGATTGAGTGAGTGAGAGAAAACCAACACTTCGAGTCTCTTGTCTTTTTCTACCTTCCCTTTTTCCTTTTAATAATCTCTGTTTTAGAATCGAAATAATAAGTTATTACGGTTGGATTACAGTTTACTTTATGTATCCACCGTTAATCTTCCCATTGTATGAAACTAAACACCGCTCTGTTTCTGGAATGTTAATCTTTATCTTCGTTGTCTTTTAGTTTATGCTCTCTGTCTCGCAATACCTGAATCATTCACAGTTGTTGATATGTTTCCATGACACGTTTAATTTGGCACGTCGTCTAAAGTCACTGAATGTGGTCCCCGAAACGGCAGGCATGTTTGATCGAACTAGGCCGTTAAAAGAAGGGAGGTCCGTCGAGGAAACGACACGGTTTTTTATTCTGTTCAAAACACACGGCACGTATTTCGTCTACATCTATTGCATACAGTTCCACTATACACCGCTAAAGATGGAAGTCAGAAAGAAGCGAGTGTTAATCACGCGTCCTAGACCGGTGAAACCACTTCGATAAATATATAAAAGAGAGAAGAAGCAACAAAATTGTTAACAATTTGTATATCAGATAGAAACAAAAACTCATACATCTGGCTTGTGTTGTGTGTGCTGCAAGCAAAATCATCAGCTAATTATTGCCATATTTTACTGGAAGAAGAGAGAGAAGTAATAATTTTTATTGATGGCAAAAATGTTTTGACAAAATGAATGAATGGTGTTTCCTCTCTCAGTTTATTTTTCTATGGTTTCATCACCTAAGTAACCAAAATTTTCTGTATGTACACACATAACTAATCTCTCTTTCAATCCCTAAACCTAACAAGAGAAATGAATAAATCAAATCAAAAGTGATTCTCTAAACTAAAGGCCTAAAGTCTGACAGATTATTGACAAGTTTTCCTCTCTTTTTCTCTTATGAACATGGTAGTAACGTGTTTTGAGTTTGCTAAAGTCCATATTGCCTCACTGAATGCTCCAGTGCTTCCTTGCTTGGACACACAATCACTTTCATCCGAATCCCAAGTTTGTAAATCTTGAATGTTGGCACAACTCTCACTTTCTCTGCATCAGCCACTCCAGGACATTTTTCAATCTCCACCTATAGAAACATCACATTAGTTTTTTACTTGTTTTTCTCTAGTTATACAACATAGAAAGATGTTTAAAGTTTTGTTTTCATACCTTGAGGAAGTGAAGAGATGGGTAACGAATACATAGTGCGTCCATGAAACCAGACATCTCTTTGCATTGTTGATCAGAGGCTCTAAAATAGTGTACAATGGAAACTCCTGCCATTTGAAGTAGTGTATACAACAAGTTAATCAAGGCAACTTCTCTTGACTGTAAAGAGCAAAGACAAAGTTTAAATATCATCACTTACCAGGTCGTGTCAATGCACCTTTTAACTCTTCAAGACTTGAAATTTCCTCAACTTCTCCTCCAAATTCCATGTTTAGAACTACTTCACCGTGAGATTTCTTCAATGCAATTTGAGCGTGAAACAAAGATTCAGCTATTTCTTTGTCATAAGATAGTTCCTTTCTCAAGTTTTCATAATCACTCACTGCTTCAGCCCATCTTTCAAGCTGCAGTTTCACAGGAAGAAGCTCAGAACAAGTAACAAAGCCTAAACTAAGTGAGACCATATAGAGATTTTGTTTACCTTGCTGTATGATGCAGCCCTTTGACGAAGAGGCTTTGTGTAACTCGGTAGAATTAGCAACGCATGGTTACAATCTTCGATTGAGCTCTCCCACATCCCAACCTTGAAGAAACAATCTGCTCTATGACAAAGCAGAGTAGCGTTGGATGGATCAAACTTAAGGCCTTCTGCATAAGCTGCACTTGCTTCAGTGTATCTTTCTGATTCGTAAAGATCGTTACCACGATCACGCGCCCTAGTAATCAATCTAACATTTCTATACAAGGTTTCAACTTCAATGTTTCTTGGATCAATCTTTGAAGCTTTCTCTGCAGCCGTAACTGCATTTTCAAACCTGCAAGAATTCGTCATATGCTCTTTTATACTCTTTTTTTACCCATGAACATAAACACAATAATCAAATCAATGTGTCTTATAAAATTTTCACCTTCCTAGAGCCAACTCCATCTGAGATTTGACAAAATATGTGTAAGCTTCAGAGTTCATATCGAAAAACCGAGTCTGTGAGAAAGAAACTGGGAATGGTTCTACTTTGGGGATAAATGCTACTTCTGTTTGAGCATCATCAAGCCGTAGGAGTTTGACTAGTGCTTCAACTTTACACATAGCTAGCTGCAAATATGTAAAATGCTTAAAACGTATGATTCTGATTTCTTTATAAGGTTACACAATACAAGAACGTTTGTTCTCTCTTTACCTGAGGAGACCAGTCAGCTCCAGAAGCCATAGCTGCGCTTACTTCTGCCAAAACAAGGTTCCACTCACCACGTTTTCTTGCGTTTGAGCATTTGTTCAAGTGTTTATCTACTTGTTCAAGCACCTTCACGACCATGTGATCCGATGGTTCCTCCACGGAAAAAAAGTGCTTCCCTGCATTATCGACCTGTCCTAATCTGCAAATCAAATACTCAAATCATTTCTCTGTCGAGAATCTATTATAAGCAATTCAGTTTTTTTACCTAAGAAGCAATGAAGCTAAACGGTGATGAGCTCTTGCGAAATTCGGATCCAGTTTAATAGCTTCTTCACACTCAATCACAGCTTCACCAATCCGACCCAAACCGGACAGTGCAGCTGCTCGATTGCTATGGTAAGTAGCATTGGTCGGTGAGAGCTCTAATGCTCGGTCGTAATACTTCAAAGCCTCACTGAAACGACCTTTCTTGAACATTTCGTTCCCAGCTCTCTTTACTTCCTCGGGGCTCGAGCTAGTGATCGTTTTAGTATCCGCGTCGGAGCTATTGCTATAGCTACCGGCGATTACAAGTGAGCGAGACGAAGAAGCAACCGCCGTCGCTGGCTTCGCAGGAGGGTAGCTGTTTCCTCGGATTACGCTACCGTATCCGTACGATTTGGCGCCTGGTCCAAGAACCATGCTTTTCGAGATTCCTTGAGTCATGCCTGTGATTTGTACCTTCCCGGACGGGAAGAGGTTCCCGGCGGGAAGTATTTTCACCTTCTGCGGCGGCACGGTAGAGATTTTACCCGACGGTTTTGCTGAGTCCGACGTTGCAGAGCCCCGACCTTGTCTCGGGTTCCCATTCGCGGCCTTTGGGCTGCTTGACCCAGCTTTCGCGGCGGCGGGACTTCTAGACCCAGGTTGAGCGACGGAGGGAGTGGTGGTCTTATAAGATTTATCGGCGGAGGGAATGCTCGACTTGGATTTAGCTGTGGCGGGAGCGGATGGCTTATGAGATTGAGCGGCGACGAAACTCGATATAGCGGCGGGCTTATAAGATTGCGCGGCGGAGGTAGTGCTAGATTTCGATTGAGCGCCGGCGGAGGAAATGCTATGCTTAGATTGTGCGGCGGAAGGATTTGATCGACCGGAATCGGATTTGCTTGCAACCGGAGTATGTCCAGCAAGACCCGTTACCGATCCAGCCGATCCAGACGAGCTAGAACTGCGGCTACTAAAGGTAGTGGTGGTTGCCGCAGAGGTGAGTCCACTCGGCTGAGTCTGAAGCGGAGTAATTGGTGATCCAAGATCGACGTTAACAGTGTCTGGCTTATTAATTTCCATATTCAATGAATCGTGAAGCTTATCGGTGACAGTGTCAAGTTCCGCCACGAGTTTAGTTTGCTTCAACATTGCGTCTCAGAAAGGTTACGAAAAGTAGATAGATAGCCGGAAATGATCGCCGGAATCCCAAATCTCTCTCCGGGAAGAAACTAAGGAGAAATGACCGACAATGGCGGTACGACGGAGATGACGAAAGTAGGATCAGATTCTCTGACCAATGCAACAGCGGGAGAGGAGAGAGAAAGAAAAGATGGGATCTTTTCAATGTAAAAGATTGAATCAAAAGAATGAATGCGACTGTGTGTTTCTAGAGAGAGAAAATAGTTTTCTCTCGAGAGAAAGTTTCAGAGAAGAATAGAACAGAGGAAGGAGACGAAGAGCGAGTGGAAACAACAAAATTTTAATAATTTTAAGATTTAAAATTAAAATTTTATTTTCCTTCTTCGACTTGACAGAAAAATTAAAAAAAAAGTGATTTATTTTCTCAACTGTTCTCTTTTCTTCCGCTTGAAAGTTGTGGAATTCATCCTAAAATGAGAAAAACAATCTTATACCGTACGGAGAAATTAACATTCGATTTTATGAGAAATAATATGAGCTGTATTTTTGTTTTTATCATTAATTTTCACCAGATTTTGCCTAGTCAAATGAAAAACTAATGTCACTCTTAAATCTAAAAGGCTTTTGCGATTTTAGATACTCTAAATTTAAGATCTGGTTTTAGCTATTTTCTAATATTGAAATTTAAAGTCTTGACTGAATCCTTCTCGTGGATTGCGCTACGACTATGTCCACGCAACACTCTACTATACAATTATTTATTTCTTCTGATGATGTGAACCTTCATCATAAAATCATAGCTATATAGGCTCAGATTATTATTATTTAAACAAATTTTCGGAAATACAGTATTCTATATTAAATTTGACAAATATATAGGCTCCCTTCATCGCCTGGCTCCTCTGGCTGCGCTTCACTTTCACGAGACAGAGTTCATTTTTTTAATCTTATGTTTTCTCAATTTCGAAGGAATGTCTTATCATCAGAAGTAATAATTAAAAATATTTTTGAAGTAAATAAATTATTTATAAATCTGCTGACTTGGCATTCTTTCGATACTGTCTCACTTTTCTAATACCCCACTCGCATCCCGTGAGAAAGTGACTACCACGCTCCTAAAGCAATGGACAATTTTTTGTACTTATTACCCTAATCAGATATTAAGTACAGTATTAACCCAGTTGTCTGTCGGTAAGTAAAGGGTTAGTCGATCCCAGCTCGCAAGGTGACAGCCAATCATGCACTTAAGACTTACCTATATTAAAATCAAACAAATAAAAAATAAAACTGATTTACCAATGGTAAGAATTTACCTTTATATTCGTAACTTGTTAACTTCTTTACTACCTCAATCACAATTTACCACACATTTTTTGTCAACTACTGTACCACACTTGTGCATGTGTGAGATTGTAAATGTTTGACTAATTTATCAAAAACTGAATAACTATTATTTATTGACACTTTGAGAGAATCTCCGGGTATAGTATTCACAATAATATACATAGAAAAAGTTCAAAAAAAAAATATATATACATAGAAATACGTTCGTGCAAACATTTTATGTCTGTAATATGTGCTTGCGGCTACTAATTATATGCTTGGCAATATATACAAAATACAATATTTTCTAGATAGATATAAGACCATGAATTTTAACTTGGTTGGTAGATTCATGGGCCTACTTCTGATTAGATAATGGTGGTTGTAATCACTATGTATAGATTTTGTAGTAAGAGTCAGTAAGTACGCACTTAATTCTTTTAACGAAAAGTACGCATTGAATTGGCTAAGATAATATTCCATCTGTTTCAAACTATATTTAATGGAATACATACTGATGTAGATATCTTACACGAAAAGACATATATTAGTCTTACTTTTGCTTTTGCATTTGCATTAACATTTTACGTGAACATCACTAATTATTTTGAAACAATAAGATAACGTTATAAGCATACATACTAATTTAATAGTGTCGATTCTAATGACCTGACCTAAACACCTCTAACTAATTTGTTGTGTCCAAAATAATTACCTTGTGCAATTTGATGTGTCCAAAATAATTACCTTGTGCAATTTGATGGTACTTAGTCAAAATCATGACGTTGGAATCCTAAATATGACGTCAAGTTAATCATCACTGTCCCTGGTAACATAGAAAAGAGGGCGTGGCAGAAAGTACGTGTACGTATTAGATGATTAAAATGTTTTTCTTTTACTTTTTCATTTTCTTGCAGATATGCATTTTCCCTCTTTTAATTAAAAAAAGAATTACTTAGTTCTTAAAGAAGATGTTCCAAAAGAACGACCATAATTTTCCTTTTGACAGCCGAACGACCATTTATTGATGTCTTTTCTTTTGCTAATGCATAATTAAGTGATGTTTCTTTCTTCTTAATGCATAATCGAGGCAGGAGAGAAATTCCACTTTTTCTCTCCTTTTTCCCGTAATATGTTAAAACCAAAAAACGAAGGATGTAAAATCAAGAAGAGAGGAGAGGATGGGTATATTATTTTATATTTTTTTTATGTTATTATGGGTTTTTGACAGCTTTGAACATGTTTACACGAAGATGGTAAGATTCCAACTTTTTTGTTGGGTAAAAAGACCACATTTTAGGCTACTTCTTTTATTTTAGTTATTTTTCGCAGATCCAAAAAAAAGTTACTACTTTTCAGTTTTAAATATGATGAAAATAGATACCTACACGTATGACATACAATTTGGCTATGCATAACTACGAATCAAGTATGTTTATGTTTTATGTATGGACTAACAATTTAAAGTCTTACGAACAAATTCAAGGCACATCTATGCTATTGTCAAATATTGAAATATTTTATAGTTATATAGATCAAGCCTTTTATATATACGTAGAGCTGTAAATTAATTTTGTTTCATAATTTTTTTTATATTTTAAGGTATAAAAAAGTGATGAAGAAAATTTGATCTGCTCATTGTAAAAAACTATCATTTTCCGTTCTTCGTCAAGGAAATTATTATCAAAATTATAACTACAGTAAAATTTCTATAATTAATAAAGTTAAGATTTTAAAATTTTACATCTTATAAAATAAGTAATTTATAAAATATTTTTAGTTTGGATTTTAATCCTCTATATATTAACTTATAGATATATTTTCGGTTTATATTCTTAATAATCATTAATAGACAGTAAAAAATTATTCTTAACAGTACAAAGCTTGTTCAAAAGACATTGCATCAAATTTGGAAGATGAGCTAAATAACATTTATGACATAAAGTTGTGATTAATAATCTTAATTATTGAAATAGTATGAATGTGATATATGCTTAGAAGTTAATTTTTTTTATAAAAAACAATGCTTATCATCTTTAATGTTGACGATGAAGTTGAAGATGATAATATATACATTTAGTAGTAATTACATGTCAGAAAGCATTCCACCAAGTATTGAATAGATCTTGGTATCGCAATGTTCATTTTTAACTTTAGATCTTGAATATTGATTCAATATCTCAGTTTTGCAAGATTGTTAGAGTTACAAACCATTTGTGGTAGACCAAGATTAGTGGATTTTAGGCTTAACTCAAATTTCTGCTGGTTTAGTATGTTACAAATATTTTTCATAAGAATAATCATTTTTCTGCTCATAAACGTATTTGAAACAAAGTGATTCAAAATGTGAAGAAGATCACGAAATGGAATGAAAGTTCAAGAAATCAGGACAAAAAAAAAGAATTGACTGTATGAAATAACTAATCTCCTTAAAAATTTTAGTCGATCGATTAACCATCTTTAAGAATGAAGTTTAGAGTTTAGCCAATTGTATGTAAATAAGTAAAGAGGTTAATCGATCAACTAAGAATTTGAAGTCATATAGAACAAACTTAAGGCACGTCTATATGCTATTGTCAAATATTGATATGTTTTATAGTCATATTGATTAATTTATTAGTCCAATCTTATACTTGTACAACAAGGGATCACCCAAAAATTGGGTTAGACAAAAATTACTAACCCTACCTAGTTTTAAAAACCCTAAAGAGTGAAAAAAACCGAAAAGTTTTGCACAATCTGATGGCGAAGGTGTCGCCTCGGATCTTCAACCATCAACAGGATGTTTTTGATCATTCATCATCAGATGGCAAAGTAGGGCTCTTTGAGCAGCTATCTAGCTTGTGAAGTTGCAACATCCTTTTCTCTGGGTTACAGAGACCTACAACAATTCAATCAAAACGGTGATCAGTTGTGGTAGAAATGCTTATGACCAAGTGACTCTGATTACATTTCATAAAGGCCGGGACGGGAAAAATGTGAATATAACTGAACCTGAGCATTTTGGGATATCCCAAACAGCAATGGAGTACGGTGAGCACTCTGGTGCACAAAGGGTCTTGTGGTTCTCGTGGTTGACGTTCATTGCCAGCATCCACGCACCTATTGTCACGTCCTCGTTGCTAAACATCCTGAAACTGAAGGTTTGGGAACATTTTTCACCTTGTTAAACATAGACGATCACAGGTAAAGAGACCTATTGAAGAAATTGAGGCATGACTTGCCTGTTGTTCTTGAGGGCAACCAAGCTTGTGACAACATCAGCAGAAAGAGCATAGATTGGGCCATAGGCATGAAGAAAGTACTCTTTTCCGAGAAGATTTCCTAAAGGTTCGTACCTGCGAAATTCCAAACCGGTTTCCGAGCAAATTATTAGGTACAATATTGAACCACAAGAAGAGATGAATAGGAGAAGCATGATTCGCTTGTTCTGTTAGTTCTTCATTTGAAAGTTGTTGCTGTCCCTTACCATTTGAGATTTGGATCTGTGAAAACCGGACCCTTTTTCAGGCATCCAAGGTATGTCTGCGAGTGACTCCGCTCTTTAGCCAGCAGTAAAGACAACCGATCTGTGAAGAAAACAACAGCCTCTAATCAAAATTCAGAACTTTTACTAAAGACATGGATTCGTGAGCATAATCAGAGGATGTAATGAATCACCTGGCCTCAAGTATATATCATCATCAGCTTTGACATAGAATTCTGAATCATATAGAGCATATGCAGCTTTGAAGAAAGCCAAACTATGCATACACAACAGCAAAAGACATGGATCAGAGTTGCTTTTTTCGTGTTATCCGGCGAAACAAGATGTGAAATAGAGAAAGTGTTTAAGTCTCTAACTAACGTTTTGTAAGGGAGCTTACTGTACTCCTCCTCGATATCGAGCAGTATAAAGTCATCGTACTCTGCGACCTCCCTTCGAAGCTCAGCCATTTTCGCCTTATCCTTGGTTTTGCCTATAATAAACCTGATGGCCAATCCTGTTGATTCTTCCAAGCTGCACAGAGAATTGGTTTGCATTGAAGATCACATGATTGTATTCAGAAGAATATGCTATAGATTCAGCTTCATTAAGGTCTAAGATTATGTGGTCAATGATCAGATTCCTATAAAGGGAATGCTATTTAAATCCAGATCAAACCAATTTAGGAGATGATGCAATGCAATAGCTCAATGATTCTGACATGATTGATTCCAGAGAATTCTAAAGCTAAGCAGAGAGATCGCAAGAAGAATTTGAATCAATTGAGATTTGAGAGGAGACGAATCAGTACCGTCGAAGCCCATCTGGATCGGATGGCATCCACGTGTTCCTGAGCGCTCGTCTCCGGCCAGCTGACGCGAATCCGGTCTGGATTCCGACGAACCCCATCACCTTGTGCCTCTTCAATTCGCCTCGAGCGCCATTACCGTTACTATTTCCGGCGACGTCCCATACGACCCGTACCGTCTTCGGAGGGGTGTTCGTGATGCGGCCGGATAACCGGAGACCCGGGAATATAATCGCGGAGAGTCCGAAGAGGAATCCGGTGAGCCCGATGGCAAGAGAGGTGAAGACGATCAAAGCCGTCGATCGGCGCGTGAAGAGTGATGGCCGCGCGTGAAACAGCTTCGGCGAAGATGGCATGGCTTTGTAACGGGCCAGCTAACGGATCCACTTATTCGGAAGCTCTCTCGGACTTTTTCGTTTTAACGGTCGTTACTTGCTATACGGGTTTTTTGTTTCTCAGGTGGATCCAGTTTTCCGGGTTCGGATCCTTCTTCTCAAGATGCACGGACATACATCTATGTGTATGAAAGTTATGGGTAAACAAACAATTTTAAAACATTAATGATGATAGCATAAGTTAGGTAATTTGACCAAATTTAAAAGACTAATTTTAAGAAAATAGAAACAAATTAGTCATTGATATGTAGTAATGTTTGAATAATGTCAATGAAGAACATCTAACAAATCAGAGTAGTAGCATTTATGGCGAAATCGTTTTTGGCCTAGAAATTAATAAAAAGGTTACAAAGTTTCGACATCAAGAAGAATTAGGAGGCTCATTTTCTCAAAAAAGCAAAATTGTTGTAGACTGTGTTTTATTTATAAAAATTATAGTATTAACTAATAAACTCTCTCAATCAGATCTTCCACCAAAACGTTCGGTATAAAATGATAAAAAAGAAAGAACTGATTACAGTATGTGTCCACACGAGATGGAAGAGAATGTCATTACGAAAGCTTAATTGGTTCGCTTCAACTCCAATCAACAAATGCTTGCTAGGTTTTTTGTTGGCCATAAGTATGTTATTTGCCATTATATAAACCGAAAGCAAGATAAAAAAAAAAAAAAAAAAATCAAACAAAATCATGTTTAGCAACCACTCGATTAGCCACATTATCAAATTGTTTACACAGGAACGAACTCATAAAATTAGAAGTTGACATGTGTCGGAGAAATTCAAACATGCATGATCAAATTTTTAAAACCAAAATCAAAAGTCAAAACTATGAGTTGCCCAACTTCTCTTGGATGCTTAATATTTGTCGTGGCCCACATTGGGAGCCCAACAACATTCGTTGAGGGGATGCTGTGTGTGTTCTATCTCGCCTTATAGTTGTATAATTTGAAGGTTAACCTAATTTAATTTGCGTTAATCAACAACACAAGAGATCAATGGCTAACATGTCGAGCCTTTCGAGGGATATGGCGGATGAGATTCTGTCTAGGGTCCCGTGGACATCTTTGAGGAGAATCCGATCTACTTGCAAAAAGTGGAACACTCTGTCCAAAGATGGCTTCTTCGCAAAGAAGCACCTTGCTCAGGCAGCAGCATTGGCAGAGAGGGAAGGAGAGTTTTTGGCTGTGATGTTGATAAATCGTAAGCTTCACCTGACGAGCGTCAATCTTCATGGAACTCACAACGACTCCCCTCCAACTGTGTGGATTGAAGGTAGTCTTATTAGCCTAAACGATTCAGATAAACTCGACATCACTCGAGTTCTTCCCTGCGATGGTTTGTTGTTATGCGTCACGGAAGACAACACCAGGCTCGTCCTTTGGAACCCTTACTCTGGGGACACTCGGTGGATCTGCGTCGAACGATCTGCTCACCAAGGGACCTGGTATCATCATGCCCTCGGATTCGACAAGAGCACACATAAAATATTGAGATTTTACAGTAATTTCGACACAAAATTCGACACGCGTTTGCACGAGATGTACCATGTAAACTCTGGTTCATGGAGGGTTCTTGATGTCACTAGAGACTGGGATGTTACCGGGGAGGCCACTGGGCTGTCTTTGAAGGGAAACACGTACTGGTATGCTCACGACAAGGCTTCACCAGAGTCACAGATCAAGCCTCATTTCTTACTCTGTTTTGATTTTACAGCAGAGCGGTTTGCTCCGCGTATTCCTCTGCCGTTTGAGTCGACTTATTGGCATGATCACGTGTCTCTGTCTACTGTTAAAGAAGAGCAGCTTGCTGCCTTGTTTCATAACGGTGATACACGTGAGATGGAGATTTGGGTTACGACCAAGATTGATCCCAGTGGTGCGTCCTGGATCAAGTTCTTAGCCGTAGATATGGATCCACTCACCGGGGAACTGTTCAGTCTTGGTGGGAGTTTCCTGGTCATTGATGAGGAGAAGAGAGCCGTAGTTGTTGTTGATATGTGCAAAACCTTTCGCAACACAGCTTACTTCGTTGGAGAAATTGGTTACTTCAGAGAAATTGATCTCGGAGAGATTAAACCAGACAGACGGGTTTACCCGCAGGTCTTCTCTTATGTTCCAAGCCCAGTGCAGATCGGCCAACCCAGTTAATAATAATCTCTTTCTCATCTGAAAAAAATATACATAAATTTAAATTGTTTTCGGTCTCTTCTCTAAATCACATACCACAAACAGCAGAAACTGAAGGTAGAAATTGTAACAGGAGGAAGCAAAAAAGATTGTGTAGAAAATTTGTAAGAAAATGTAATTTATTTGCAAGGAGGAGAAAATGGGCCAACGTATGATCCCTGCTAATACCTCCGATGACATTGGCATCGTCATCAAATCTAGTTCCCTGAATGATAAAATAGTAGACTTATATATTTATATATGTCAGAACATTACATGCAAACAACACAAAACAGAGCAACTTACTTGTTACTTATCAGATCCTCTGTTCTGAAACTGTTGATGACTTGGTTCCAGACCAAGACAAACTTGTCCATACTATTTTTCTGGCCGTCTGACCCATGAAAAAAAAAAAAAAAGTGTACCACTTCTTATGCGGAACTCAAATATAGTCCCGATCACAGAGATCTGTACAAACTTCAGCAAAAGTTAAAGCTCATCATCCACAGATGAAACAGGGAAGCGTTATTATTCAGCTAAAGCTTCATGGACGTTACCAAGCTACTAAAGTAGAATCCAATGGTTGTGATATAACAAGACAGCATCCTGCAGAAATCAAACCGTTGTCCTTGTCCTAGTCCTAAACGGTATATGTCACGGCTAATAGTCTGCTCGCTGTTTCCGTTGGCCACTTTGGCCTCAAACTTTGAGATCTGATTCATCACTACCTTTTCCAACTTGGAGGCACTCATTGTAGGTTATGCATCCTCGTCGTGGTGTTATAATCTACATATTACAAAGAAGAATGTAAAATTACACGCAAACCTCACAAAATTGCTGAGAAAGAAGTCCTCGAGAAGTTTTTTTTTTAAACAAATATCAACATTAGCCATAGCCCAACTTCTCTTGGACGCTTAATATTTGTCGTGCCCCACATTAAGAGCCCGGATTCCGGATATGGGGTTGATACCTTTTTGTCTGTTGGGTTTGAAGTGGATGATTTATTTTATGATCCGAATTCTCACCCTGACACTTATCCTGAAAAATCTGACGACCCTATTTATTTTGAAGTGGATGATATTATTATATATACATACAGTACAAATCTACTTTTAGCAATGAGTTAACAAATCTAATAAAAGTATAAAACTATCTACGAGAGTATTGAACAATGAACATTAACTGAATATTAATAGAGATGAGGCAGGTCAACCCAAACATGATAGAGAAGCCAAAGTCGTATCTTCTTTTAATGTTTTGAGTTAGATGCTGCCATGCTGGAAAGTTACGTCTTCGGCTTCTCAATTCTCATCCCCGGCAAGATATTCGACTCTTCTTCGAGTTCGCAGATTAATCCCAAACCGAAAGAGTGATGATCTTCATGCTTACAAAAAATCAACCAAACACCTTCTTTATCGTATTAATATTATAGTCATAATCCGTTTTGGTTAAGTTTAGTAAAATCGTGTGTGTTAAAGCTAATTTAAAGGGGGTGGGAGTTGGTACTTTTTTAGCCGGTTAACATTACCCTAAACCATTTAGAACACTAGTATAAAAAAAAAATATATGCCGGTTTAGAAATTTGTCCGGTTTACTCTGCTACAACTATCAAAACAACGACACGTGCATGAACAAAATCAAGAATGGGGACGTGATATCGCTGTTCTAAAATCAACGAAAACCAAAGTGCGATCAAAGCTTTATCCAATACGATGACGTGTAAAAATCAAAGTCAGCCACTGAGTCACCCTGTAGTGAACAAGAGCCACTCGCGGGTGATTCACACTGCGGTAGGCCCTCCTCTCAAATGTACCACCGTCTGCAAGTAACTTCCTCGCAAATGTATACATTATCCTGATACCATCAACCTAACACAAGCAAGATTCAACTAGTAATGAGTTATGAATTTTAAAAAATTAAGAGTACTGAATATATTTACCGTCGACTGCCTTATCCTAACGAAGCCATTACCGACTCGGACCCAATAATAATATCATTCAACCAAATTTGAGTTTCTGCTAATGAAAGAATATCCATCAAACATTCATCATCATCATCAATCTTGGGTTTCTATTCTCGAAATCCGAATTGCCAGTTTGGAAGCACCTTCGTGGCAAATTGATAAATGGGTTGCAAGTTTCTAGATCAAAAACATAGTTTTCACAAAAAATGCACACTTTTTAAGTTTGTATAGAATATTTCATAACGTTGTCGTTGGATCGGTACTGTTTAAAAACTGTATTTTATACGTTAGATTTTCCATCAGAACGGTTTATAAAGTGATTAAAAAGAATAACTAAATATGTGTCCACATGGATGGAAGAGAATGTCATTATGAAAGATAGATTAGTCCGCTTCAACTCCAAGCAACAATGTTTGGTTGATTTTGATTGCCATAAGTATGATATTTGCCATTATATAACCTAAAGCAAGATTTAGAAAGAGAAACACAAAAGAAAGAGTGAAAAAGGACCTCGGCACATATATGAAAATGATCACGTTAATATGCTCAAACATTATACCAGAATAAAATAAACACAAACTTAGTCGCCCTTCAAGTTTTAACACAAAATTGGAGAAATTGGAGACATTTTGTCTAATATTAATCCGAGTCTTGAGAGCTATCAGAGTCAAGTTGTTCATCAAGACAAAGCAACATCTCATCACTAACATTATTTACTGCTGCTGCTACTCCTACACCACTAACTTGCCCTTCTTCTTCTAAAGCTTCGGAGGAAAAAGAAGCTCTTGTCTTTACTTCTTCTTGTTCTTCTGAATATTTTGACACCTCTTCCTGCAAACAGTCTTCTCCTCCCATTGTTCTCTTCGACCTATCAGCTTCATTGCTTTCTTGGGTTGTGTTCTGTGTTTCTGAAGTTGGCCCTGTTTGGTTGGTTCCGTGTGGCACTGGGACGCTTGGGGCGGGCTCACTGTCCGATCCTTCTGGAACCATCTGATCGCAGCTCTCAAGTTGGGTAGTCATGGCTTTATCTAGACCTGGTTCGAGATCTGCTTCTTTGCCCGATGGGTTATCGCGATCTTCAGCGAGACAAACGCCTGTGCAGAGGTGAGAATTCGATGAAGTACACTGTGACTAGAGAGAATGAGAGAGAGAGAGTATGAGAGTTTGGCTTTACCTTTCACATGGTTGGGTTTTGTGCACCTGTATAGCGTTTTCTTGAGTAGAATTGTCCCAGGGAACACCATCAAGTTTATTCTTTTGAGAGCATCGCGTTCCTCATCATCCAAAGGTTCAAAGCCAAAACCTTCAGTCCAAGTTTCCACTAAACTTGGCAACGCAGCTACCACAAGCTTCTCCACTTTCAGAGACATAAGCATCTGCAGCCAAAACCAATCAACGGAGCAGAAATCAGAGCATGAAAAATATGCAAGTTATGAGTAATTCCTATGATGGCTGAGGAATCAAGTAAGAAATGAAACAGAGATCATGTGAACTAAGAGATTATTGTGTAACATGTGTACGACTATCTGGTTCAGCATAGGAGTGGTGTTGTGCGTCTATCAATTTACTAAGTTTAGACATTATTAGTTTGGGTGGAGCCTCAAGAACAATGACATGGGCATTCATATTGTACCTCTTCGATGGCGGTAACGAGGATTCTGCACATCCCCTGACGACGATACTTGCTGCAGGTAGCTACTAGAGGCATCTCTGCAACACTCACTCCATGCACCCTGGAGACAGTAAATTGTTTTTTCATATGTAACTGTACGGAAGTGACAGAATAGCTTAAGCATCCATTTGCGAGTAGTGTCAAATATCTGTTTTGTTCAGATGATATATATATATATATATATATATATGCAAGAGAGCTTCATACATTGCCTGGAAGATTCTAAACACATGTGAATATAGCCATGAAATTACACTTTCTTGGAGCATGAAGTCGAATATATTCATACTAACCTGATGGATGCTACTGAGATCATCACATCGTTCTTTTCCACGACCACTGTGTAAAACCCATCAAAGTCTAAGCGGGCATATTTTGACCTTTAAGTGCAACAAAATATTCAAAAAAATGGTAAGACAAATTGTTAAATAAGAAAAGCAACTCAAGGTACAAAATTCACACACAGAAACCAAAGTGTGCAAGGTAATGGCATAACGACGTTACCCCCAGTTGTATAGCACATGAGGTATCATATCAATACCAGTTCTTGAATCTACCATAGACTGAAAGCATTCCTCCATAATCGATAGAGCAACAGCTAATTTCGAGTTGCATTCAGCCTTCAGTGCCGACCTTCTGGCAGAATGAACCTTTCCATCTTCTTGAAAACATTTCAGAAGTGTCCAAGACAGACCATCAGCATTAGGAATAGTGACCCCAACACGAGAACTAAGACCAGTGTGCACCTGCATTGCAGCTTACTTACTAAGAAACTAGACAGTTGCTAAACAACTTCTCTTGTTATATGTCAAAAAGCCTAAGAACAGCGATAAAGATATCAATTTTCAATGTGAATATAAAAGGTACTTGGAAGGAGAAAAGTTATCCACCATACACATCACTATTTGAGTAACAGAAACTATGTTCGTGAGTACCTTCTCGCAATTTTTACTACAAAAGTAGGTTCCTGGAAAAGGCTCTCTGCGTTTAGTTATCTCTTGCAGACATACTCCATGATCTGATAACATAAGTAACAGTCATCAGCCATACTGGATTTGCAAAGAATCAACTACTAAAGAAAGAAAAACTGGAGAAGAACTCTAACTGATGAATCATAATATCTAAGAGTTGACGAGCGAGAGGTGATTACATTTATGCGCACAATGGGAACATTTAAAATCCTGAGAGTGTTCAGCATTGACAGTAACCAACTCTCTGCATATCCAACATGTGCAGCTTGAGCAATACCAACTGCCTTCAGGGAGCACCTGAACAGAAATAGCAAAAGTAATACAGCCATTCTCATTAGAAGGTACCAATATACTGGGAATACAGTTCTAGTTAGGTAAGAAAATTTGGTTATACTAATGACCATGTAATTTACTTTGCAAGAATTATTTGCCACAGACTTACCTTCATTGATAAGCAAGCCTGGTGGAAGGTAGATGGACAATAATCACAGCAGATCAACTCACCTCCATCACCACAAAGTCCACAAGAATCGTCATTTGGATCATCATCACAAGCTTCCTCCGTTTTTGATCCATTTCTTCGGGCTTTATACTCAGCATACCAAGCTTCCAACTGACATGAAGCGAAAGGCTTTCCTGACCCCATGAAGAGATTCAGACATGGACAGTTCTGGTTAAACCCAGCATGGTTCTTGAACTCGGAAAGTGACATAGTCATATTGCAACATGTACAGACCACTCCGTCTTTAGTTGCCAGGCCTGTTTTTACCACAGTATCATCATCTGGATCTCGTAACTGGATTACGTCGTCCCTGGAGATTACTTTGGTAGCTATCAACCATGATAAGACAGTTCTTGGACCTACAGTGGACCAATTTCCTTGACAAAATTGTTTCTCACTATTGCTCGTGCTTCGTGGAAGCAGCCTGCATCCTCCCCTGTTATTTCTTTTCTTCGTTCTAGTTTTTGATTTCTGGGCTTTCTTTCTTTGGCTTGATCTGCTAGCAGAACCACCCTTACCTTTGCTTTTGAAAAGGTTATTATTATTCTGATTACAGAGCTTTCTAGATTTTTTTCTTCCCTTCTTTGAATTGCCACATGAGTTCTTCATCTTGCCATTCCTCAGCCTTTCATCCCAATTTTCCTCTGAGATCATGTGGATGTTGCCCATATCTGTATCCAGGCATTCAAGGCTGCCGAGAGGATCAGAACCTAGTGTGTCATCTTGGTCTGGTTTCATTCCGGATGTTTTTCTCGACCTTCTGAGTAACTTCTTTCTCATAACACTTCCATGCATGCCTTCTTCTATCAATTTAGAAGCTCCATCGACCTTGCTAACCTCCTGCTCGTCAAGCCCAGATATTTCCTTACCGGTTTTGTTCTGCCTCTCTTGTCTTGAAGAAACTTTCCCAGCGGAAATGTTAGTCTTATCGTCATACACAAGAAGAGTGCTCTCAGATACTGTCAGCACACTTTCAGGACAGCCTGAGATCATTTTCAAACAATTTGCATCTTCTTTCTTCAACTTGTCAAAAACTGAATTCCTTGCAACTTCAACTTTATTTCCTTTTCTTAACGAACCAATTTTCTTATCAATGAAGACGGCAGTCACAAAAGGCTCCAAGGCACTCCACCAAAGTGCTCGTGTGTTGGCAAGATTCAACTTTTTCATGTTCTCCTCCATGTCCAACAACGTCAGCGAGAGATCAGACCAAAAGTCATTGATACCGGTCCATTTCTTAACACCTGTATCCACTAACTTATTATGATCAGCTAATAGGGTCTCACCCAATGATCTCCAAGCTGACCCAAATTCACGAAACTTCCGTCCTTCTGAAGATATGTATATAGTTTCCGGGTATTTCCTGCTTGCTCTTCGGAGCTTCTCGATTCTCCATCTGGCAGAAGTAAGCAACTTACAGACATACTTATAGACAAGAGGACGGGGGTCCTCTTTCGGATCGATGTTTAAACAAGTCTCAGAGATATTAAACTCAACAGGAGATACTTTAGATCCCTCGTTCAACTGTAGTGGGAAGTAAGACTTCTCACTATGAGGCGTAGATGCACCTGCACAGACCACTCTGGTCGCGAAGCTCTCTTGAGAAACAGGAGACGCAATCCCTTTAAGTTCCTTTCCATCACTTCTCTCCAAAGTTTGTGACTTGCACTTTTCCGAGACAATGCCACCCAGATAAACTTCTTTCCCCTTTTCTATAAGCTGCTTCAGCAAATACGAGCTAGTTGAAACACCCTTGTTAGATGATTCCACCAAATGGAGAGGTATCATTTCTCTAGCAAAATCAGAATTTGGAGAACCAATCAAAGGCGATCCCTTTTCTTCCCTTGAATCCAGTTGCTTACTGCAAGAAAGCTTCGCTCTTTTAGCCTTTTTGCTATAGTACGAACCATCTTTCGAAGCAGAGGGCTCAGAAGCTTCTACAAATGCACATCCACTAGTCACCACAGAGCTGCCGTTGTTGGAAGTCGGAGATGAACCGACGTTCTTACTGGAATCAGATTCGAAGGTAATGGCTCCAGTGACAAGACATCTTTTAGTAGTGTTCCGGGCATCACTTCCAAAGAAAACTTCTCTGAATATCCGATGTTCCTCATATGACCCCTCAAAGCAATCATCTCCTTCTAACATCTCGATCTCATCTTTGCGAAGCATCTTTACAAACCAACTGCATATTCCCACTTCACCTGCAATGATGTAATGTAGATAGTGACAAAATAATAAGAACATTGGCAAAGATATATTACCACCATCACTTTTTATCAACATGCTAAAACTGGCATAGAACCCAAATTTGCGTTTAAGTTATTTCAAGAGAAAATGGGAATCGACATCAATTTCTCAGACCAAAGAGGGAAAACAACAAATGAATCATACGAGATTATAACACACACAAGCCATGCCCATAAAGCGCAACATAGATTCAAAGAAGTCAGAGACCCTAAAAGGCTAAATCTATCGCGTAGCAGAGACCCGAAGCCTAGAAAAAATTATCAGACAAAAGATAGAGCAACCATAAGAGAAGATTTCCAGAGATTGAGATGTTGTCTTGCCTAAATACACCTAAGGAGAGCTCAAGGAGGGGCAAAAGCATGAGATTACCAGCATGCAGAATGGATCAGAGCAGCAAAATCCGTGGATCAAAGCGTTGAATCGAGAAATGAGTTCTTCCCCAAAGAGTGCGAAATCTCACTGAAATGGCCTCATTTCGCCCTCATCCTCTGAAATGACTCCAACCCCAATCCTCTCTCTCGCAAGTGGGAAACGCATTTTCATTTCACGTTCTCTGCACTCACTCACTCTCTCTCTCTCCTTGATCTCTTTCACACGCCGCAGACCGAACAGTTTGCTTCTGACTTTGTCTCTTTGATTTTAGCCTTTTCTGTAATTTGGGAAGAAGTCGAGCTGTGATTCGGTGGTTAAATCCTCAAAAATCCATCCGATTATTGACGAATTTGATTAACGGATTTTACCTCTGCATCTGCCTCATTATCACTTTGTACAGTGTGTACTCATCGCCATTGGCTATTCTCTCTCTCTCTCTTCTCCCCTATTTTCTTTCTATTTTTACGTTTTTTTATTTATTTCCTCTGTATTGTTGTGTGCTGTCACAAAAAGGCATCTTCATACATTTTCACCTTAAGATTCTGTCTCCTCCTTTGATGAAAACGGAACGGACCAACGGTTATATGCTCGATACGATTAACTACACAATTAAAACTCAATTTTTTGCAATTAAAACCCAATTTTCGTGTTTGACTTTCTTCCAATATTTCGTAATCCAATTACATGACGACCGTATCACTAGAAACCAAAAAATGACTTTGGTTTTTACTTGGTGACTACTATATGTTTTGTAAACTCGCCGTTTAGTGACAAACAAGAAAACGTTGGCCTATTAATTGCCAGGTTTTAATTTTAGTTTTAGTTTCTTCTTTTTAATATATATTATATAGTCATCACTCATCACCAATTGTAACTAGTTCAGTCTAGTTTAGTCTAGTATATAAGTTATGGTTAGTGGATGCTTTTTAATTTGCGCGGGTAATCCTTACGTGTCTTAACGACAACATATTATAACATAGGTGGTGTGGTACATCCGTACATGCGATGATGGTTGTTTAACTTATTTTATATGAATAATTTATTACATCTTTTGTATTTCCATTTATAAACAACCAATAAGGTTTTGAATCTTGGAATATCTTTCGTTTCTTCCTTCAAATTTTGACATAAGAGTAAATTCTAAAAAAACACATGTATGCACTGCTGACAAAAAAAAAAGTACGTGTCTTGATTGCTTTAACTGTTACTAGAGTTACGATGAAAACGACGTTGGTCGATGAAATTATTTGGACTTTTTTGTAATAAACGCATAGTACTACTTAAAACCTTTTTTAACTAAATATTTCAATACTACTTAAACTTGGAACTATGGATCTATGCTTTTACTGATATTGGAAGTTTTTTTAAATCAACGAAGCGATTTGTTTTCCCCCTTCTGAAAGACCGAAACTGCATTCAAATGATCAAAGCAATAAGAGAGTGGAGTTAACTTTGGTCTACTAACGATCATATAAATGGAGTTTGGCTCAAAATATTTGTGATCGTTAATATTTAACTGGTATTAGAAATCATATCCGATACAAATAGTTTCAATGGGAATCGATATCGTTTTGTCTGTTGGGTTGAAGTGGATGATTTATTTTATGATCCGAATTCTCACCCTGAGTGACACTTGTCCTGGAAAATCTGACGACCTAGTAGTATTAGGTATTATCTGACTAAATATATATTCAATATACAGATATATACATACATACATACCCTATATCCAGAATACTTTGTCTTTACGTGTATATATGTGTAATGTAGTCTCAGGCTCTCGGGTGATACTACAAAAGATACCTCAGTGATCAATCTATCAGGCTCTATATACAGTACTAAAATATCCAAAAGCTGACTGAAATAGATTTAACGAAATATATTCAAAACAAAAACAATATGAGATGATGATTTTGACGGATAACAAATCTAATAAAATTATATTGAACATTAACTAGATATAAAAATTACAAGTACATGTATTTTTTCATATCCAGTAATAGATATTCAAATTTGATTTTCTTGCAGACCGAATTTTATAGAGATGAGGTAAACCCAAACATGATCGAGAAGCCAACGTCCTATCTTCTTTTAATGCTTTGAGTTAGATGCTGCCATGATGTAAACTGTAAAGTTACGTCTTCGGCTTCTCATCCCCCGGCAAGATATTCGACTTTTCTACGAGTTCACACTTCACAGAATAATCCCAAAACCGGGAGAGTGATCTTCCTGCTAACAAAAATTAACCAAACGCCTTCTTTACCGGTCCGTAATAATATTTATGGGGTTATAATCCGTTTTGATTTAAGTTTTAGTAACAAATCGTGTGTGTGAAAGCTATATAAAGGGGTGGGCGCTGGTACTCTTTTGACCGGTTAACAGTACGTACCATAAACCATTTAATTAGAACACTTTAAAGAAAAAAACAAATATTCCGGTTCAGAAATTCGTCCGGTTTACTCTGCTACAAATATCAAAACAACAACACGTGCATGAACAAAATCAAGAATCGGGACGTGATCTCGCTGTTCTAATACTTTTTTTTTGTAGACACGTCGTCTTAGTTTACCGAAACGAAAGTGGCATCGAAGCTTTATCCAATACGATGACGTGTAAAAATCAAAGTAAAGCCAAGGCCATTGCCACGTCTCTACAGACTGTTTTTTCTCGGTGCTTACGTCATCGCACACGTCTACCTTTTTGATCAAAGTGATAAAAAGAAAAGTCGTAAATGGCGTCGTCACTGAGTCTCTCACTATTTTAAACCCCATCAGTGACACTCCTTTCTTCTTCACTAAGCTCCAAGTCCACTTTCTTTCTTCAATTCGATCTTTGCAACTATGGCTTCATCTACGAAGACGGTACGAGATCATTGTTTTCTTCTTCGTACGTAACGAATTTGTTTTTTCTTCTCATTTTGTAATTTTTCTTGATCATCTGAGGTTTTTTTTTGTTTTTTGGCGAATGTTTAGGTTTTGATCCCTATTGCTCATGGTACGGAGCCTTTCGAAGCGGTGGCGATGATCACCGTGTTGCGGCGAGGTGGTGCTGACGTGACGGTGGCGTCCGTTGAGACTCAAGTTGGCGTTGATGCTTGCCACGGCATCAAGATGGTCGCCGATACTCTCCTCTCTGACATCACCGACTCCATTTTCGACCTTATCGTGCTTCCCGTAAGTATCTATCCTAATATATGGGCGTAATTTGAGATCTTAGGAGGCGATCGTAGCTATTTGTACCTTAAAACATTCAAAGAACAGAGAAAAAGTGAACCGATTAATTTTAACTAGATTTGACTTAAGTTGTAATGGTTATGTTTGATAGTTCCTGCACAGAACGTTGGTTGTATAAAGCATGATTTTTGGGATGTATATATATTGCAAATAAATTTACTCTGAACGACTCTTGTTTCGAATGTTTTCTGAAATACTTGAGATTTGGTTTGCTGATATTAGTTTAATTTATATGATTGGTAAAAAGGGAGGGCTTCCCGGCGGCGAGACGCTTAAAAACTGCAAACCATTGGAGAATATGGTGAAGAAACAAGACACAGATGGACGGCTTAACGCAGCTATCTGTTGTGCTCCTGCGTTGGCTCTTGGAACTTGGGGTCTACTCGAAGGCAAAAAAGTAAGTCTGTTGTGATCAGTTTTCCAAGAACGTTATTGATTATTGTGTTTCGGTTCTTGTCTAATGTCCTGGATCACATGTGGTTTCTTGTAGGCAACGGGTTACCCTGTTTTCATGGAGAAGCTTGCGGCTACTTGTGCCACTGCTAGTGAGTCAAGAGTGGAGATAGATGGAAGGATAGTGACCAGTCGAGGACCAGGAACCACCATCGAGTTCTCACTCACCCTTGTGGAGCAGCTGTTTGGGAAACAGAAAGTTGATGAAATCATTCGTATCTTGGTATGTTCTGTCTCTCACTGGTTGATTTTCTACTAGAAGCAAGCATCGTTAATTGCTATGCTTTGTCGTCTCCTCTCAAGACTTACTTGTTCTCCTATTGAAATCAGCTGGTTCGTCCTAACCCTGGTGAGGAGTATACCTTCACCGAGCTTAACCAAACCAACTGGTCATTCGAAGATACCCCACAGGTATATATATTTGTTCACTTTGGTCAATCTTTTTGTTTATTAATTGTTTATGAGCCAGGAAAGGTAATGGTTTCCTGTTTCAGATTCTCGTTCCCATTGCAGAGGGCTCGGAGGAAGTTGAAGCTATTGCGCTTGTAGATATCCTGAGGCGGGCAAAGGCAAATGTCGTGATTGCTGCAGTTGGTAACAGTTTGGAAGTTGTAGGATCTCGCCATGTTAAGCTAGTAGGAGATGTGCTTCTTGATGAGGTTGCAGAGAAGTCGTTCGATCTGATCGTGTTGCCTGTGAGTGCATGCAAAAGTTTATTGGTTTTACAAGAAAGTCTTAGTGACTCCACTGACTAATAAGTAATAACCAAAACCAACAAAAAAATGAACTTACTTTGATGAATCACAGGGTGGCCTTGACGGTGCTCAAAACCTCGCAAAAAGTGAGAAACTGGTGAACATGCTAAAGAAACAAGCGGAAGCAAACAAGCCGTACGGAGGAATCTGCGCATCTTCTGCTTACGTCTTTGAGCCTAATGGTTTACTCAAGGTGCCATAAATCAAATCACTACTTTGAAAATTGTAGCTTCTTTGTTATATACCATAAGGTTATTAAACTGAGGATAAGAGACATGTTTTGTATATAGGGTAAGAAGGCGACTACACACCCCGCGGTGAGCAACAAACTTTCCGACCAGAGTCACATTGAGCACAGAGTCGTGGTGGACGGAAATGTCATAACGAGCAGAGCTCCAGGGATTGCAATGGAGTTTTCACTTGCGATCGTTGAGAAGTTTTACGGGCGGGAGAAAGGGCTTCAGCTTGCAAAGGCAACGCTTGTGTAAATTCAAAGAATCAAGTATGTGAGAGGGACGTGAATAAAAAAGAAGAAAAGGGTTTTTAGTTATCTATCCATTGATGATTAAGAGTGTGACTCTGTAATTTGAGCTTTGGCTGAGTGGAGTGTGTATTTTTATATTTTATGATCTTTAAAAATGAATAAATAAGTTTCTTCTATACTGCGATTTGTCTATGACCCAATGGGAAAATGCTCAATTAATTCTTCAAGTAATCGAATTTGGTAGATTAATTATAAATATCTTGTGCCTAGAATAAACCCCCCATCTTAGTTTGACATTAGAAAATTAAACCTCATTATTGTCAACATCCCCTATATATTAAAAGAGAAGCATTTTTAAAAAATAACCTTAATTTTGTAAAATATTACGGTGGTGTCATTTTGCTGATGTGTCATCACCAGAATCATTTTCAGCAAAATTATTAAAGTAGATTTATATTACTAGATTAATTACATGTTATGCCACTCACATTAATTTGGTTATACATTAGTTTATAACTTTATATCAATTATATTAATGATGATTTATCAAGATATTCTTTTTTTCTATTTCTTACCAAAAATTAATTATATTAATTATCTCTTTAAATACTATATTTTATCTCTTATTTTTCTAGAAAAATAAATCATCACATTATTCATATAGTAAAATATATATACATATATATATATATATATTTTCTGCTATAATTCCAATTTCATTAAACAAATATAAATTACTCAAATGATTAATAAATAAAAGTATATTTTTAAAAACTAAAATTGAAAATAAGGATGTGTAGATAAATGATTCATAAATCAAAATAAAAATACATAAATGATAAAAAAACAGAAAGTTTAATTTAATAGATATTATTATTTTTAATTTATACAACATAATAATTTGGTAAAAAATTAAAACATTTTTGTAAGGATATTATATAATAATTTTATTAAATTTTTTGATATTAAAAATATTTTTATTGAATCAAAAAGTTAAGAATGTATAAATATTGACTCAGTTATATACAATTTTAGATAATTTATTAAAAATAATAAAAATATAATATTTTTATATAATTCTTATGTATATTTAGTATTTAAAATAAATTTCACAACAATTTTATTTTCTTAAAAGTTAATATTCTTATGACTATTGTTTTTGCGGGTTAATCTAAATATGCATTTACATTCGTATAAGAAATATTAAAATCGATTATAAAATCTTATAATCAAATTTTATTTTTATAATTTTAATACTCTCTATTTCAAAATATAAGTTGTTTTGCATCAAAGCACAAAGATTAAAAAGTAAATTTTCTTTAGAAAAAATAATTATTTAGTATAGAAATTAAATATAATTCAACTAATTATGAAAAACTGAAAAATATAATCGGTCACATAGCATTCATAGGAAGTAGTAAAAAATATGAAAACAACTATATTGTGAAACAAAACAAAATCTTAAAAAAAAACTAATATTATGAAACATAGGAAATAGTAAAAAAAAAATATTATTATTATAACGCATTAGATACTTAATAATTTAATCAAAATATACTCCCTCTATTTTTTTTAGAAAATTGTAAGATCATGTTATTAATCATGGGTTATAGAAAGTATAAATAGTGACTTCGTATTTCTATTCAGATTGCGTATATATATTTAATTTTTAAACTAATTTACATTAGAATTAAATTATCCTAAAATTCATAAAACTAAAAAAAAACATATTTTGTCAATAAATTGTAAACAATTCATATAAAATCAATTGTATTTTATTATATGATTTTAAAATTATATTATATTAAATAAATAATTATTATTTTACTCCGAATGTGGATTATTAGCTAGTTAAACAGTAAACGTGTGGCGTTAAATCTATTTTTTAAAACTCGTTTCAAAACCAACAAAGAAGGTCAACTGTAGCTAGGCATGTCAATATATATAGGCTTTCTCAATATATATAGACCTAGAAAGCCTATATATGTATAAGCTTTTTCTGACGCAGCTCAAAAAATTATCAAATTTATATTCTAAAGTTCGGTTCAATCTTAATCAGATTATATAAAAAATTGGAATTTTTGGGCTTTTTTAAAAAATTGAAAAATATATAAAAAGTAAAAAAAAAAATTATTATAATAAATCTAAATAAACAATTATTTATATAAAATAAAAATTTATGATTTTTGATTAATTAAAGGAAAGGAAAGAAATCAGAGAACCCTAATTTCCGATGTTGCCGAATCTGATGAGATCCATAGCTCGCGGTGGGAGATCGTTCGTATCTCGCCGCAATTTCTCTTCATCGAGGGGCCAAGGTAATAATTCTTTTTCCAATCTAATTCTTCTGTCTTTTAGAATTCAAAAATAATTAATTCTCTTTGTTTAAATTAATACAAAATCACATCTTTCACAAACCTAAACGCTAAAGTTCATACTTTTTTTTTGGTTGTTATATACTTACATGAAGAGTTTTCTAGAACCTAGCTTACACTGAGATCGCCTTAACTTATTTCAATTATTTAGATTTCTTGAATTTCTTAGAAAAGTAGGAAAATCAATAAACATTGATAATTATTTGATTCTTATCCAAAGTTACAGGACATGTATCATTCCTAATGTTACTAGCTTATATTTTATAATGTTACAGTCTCCACTGAGTCGGAGGTTGATTCTCTTGCTTTCAGAGCATCCCTGTTTGTGGGATATTTGGCTAGCTTTGCTAGGGGTAATGCTGAGATTAAATAGACTTTATTTGTATTCTTTTTGTTCTCTGTTATGAGAAATAAAGTTGTTTTCTTTTCCTTATTTCAGTTATTTACCAGGACATGGATGCTGCGTTAGAGCAAAAGCAGCAGGCGGCTGCTTCGATGGAGTTGAAGGAACAGGAGGATGACTCTTAATCTTGTTGTTTGAAATTAAGGAAAGCCTAAGATGCTATCTGAAAATTATGGATTTACAAGCTTGTTGGTGATCGTTTCCATTGATTCTTCTTATTTTGTTTAGTTGATGATGTTACAGATTTTTTGTTTACATCTGCGGCTAGAACTTTTAGTTTTCCTGTATGGCAGCTGAAATTTGGTGAAAGTGCTTTGCTTAATTTTGCACGTTCGTGAATCTGAGGAAAGCCTAAGAGGTTATAGGAAAATTATGGATTTACAAGCTTGTTGGTGATCGTTTACATTGATTCTTATTTTGCTATCTAACAAGCTCAAGGTGGCCTGGATTTCGTATGTAATTGGTATCAGAGATACTCAATCGCTACAATCACGTTATGATTAACATCATCATCGGCACATATCATTCTCCTTAGCTTGGACAATATATACTTTCCTTATTTTTCTCTACAATTCATGTATAAATGTAACTCTTATCATGTTCAATACAAATCATCACTTTCTTATAACCTTTATAATTGGTACAAAAACCCTGGAAAATCAGTGAAGAATGTGAAAATGTTGTAGAATTTTCAAGTGTAGAATCTCAAGAACTAAAGTATTGATTTCGAGTGTACAGAGAATAAACGTTGTTAGGCTATCAAGATGCGGATCCCCAAGGAGAGTTAAAATCTGGTCGTGATTCATCTGCTTGATTACATAGAACACACCCTTGCAGCTGTCCCAAATTCCAGCAACTAGCTTTACCTGGCATATTGTGCAAGAATCGGTTTCTCGATCGGTTGTGTTGATTCTGGTCGATAAAGAGGTTCTTCTTCTCAGAAGGTCTTTAGATAGTACCATGCATATAAGGTCCAGAGGGTGGTTGGGACCAATGCGAAGACGATCCATCAGATCTGTTGCTGCCATTACAATAGCTGGTCATACCAGATTGTGGCAGGAGGTGGAAAAGGATGAGCTGCATAGTTTCCTTGAATGAAATTGTTATGACCAGGAGAGACTGCAGCTGCTCCTCTGTTCCTCACACTTCTCTGGTCTAGTGGTTGTGGATAAGTACCAAACTGTGGGAACGAGGAAGGTGCTGTCTCCGGCGTATTCAGTTGGGGGTTAGAACGAGGAGCTGCTGATGCTGCAGTGTTTAGATACTGAGCATTTCTTGGTATTACTTCAGCACTCTTTCTTTTGTAACCGTGACCCATAAAATGAACATTCCTCTCATGCTCAGCGGACGGAACTCCGTGAGGTAAAGGAGCTTGAAAAGCCGGATAAGGGAGATAGTAATTCGGCGCGCCCGACATGTGAGGACCAATATTTGAAGCATCTTGGCGATGGTACTGTGGATGCCCGTAAAACATTGAGTTGTTGTTATAGGCTTCTTGCAGAGAATGCGCTTCGAAATTAGGAACAGTGTTCACGGGTGGGACATCTGGATACGGAAAACAAGGTTCAGGATAGAGGACAAAGCTCTGAGGATTCTGCTCCATTTCCAAGCCAGTCATCCTATTTCTTTGACTCATATTGCTAGTTGCAGAAACCCCCTGTTACAGCAGTGTTGGATTTTAGAAAGATTAGTCGCATTACCGAGAGAGAAAAAAAGAGTAAGATTCGCTTTCTGAATTGTATCGATGCTATTGCAGCGCAAGCTGATTCTAGCTAGTGTTTTTCAATAAACATATCAAACTTTCTTTTGTATCTAGCAATGGAATCAAGACATGCAAAAAGTAAATATTCTCCCCCTTTGTGCCGAGATTTCGTGAAGTCAAATACACACAAAATCTCAAAACATCCCTTTAACATTTTTCGTCATAATCACAAGTTAACCTCAGAAAGCACATTGAACATTCAAGCTTCACCAATACATTGTAAAGCACGAAATCTTAGCAAAACCCAATTCAGAAAGCAAGACATGTCTTACCAAAATTAGATCAAACCAACAGATTGTGAGTCAGATAAATGGCCTCCAATCCAAATTACAGTATACACAAATATAAGAGAACTCGAGTAGCAGTTTTCAGACAAGCGGGCTCACGTGGCAAGTCTAGAATGGATGGAAACAGAGGAAGAAATGACCCAGGTGATATCAGTCCAGGAAATATCTTCAGGAAGGACTTCTCCAACCTGAAATCAAATTATCTTCAGGTGACTGATTGAATGATTTATGAAAAACAAATATAAGGAAAAATGTTTCAGCTTACTTCTCCCAGTTCCAGGCAATGAGCTTAAGCAACAACGGGAAAAAGTGCAAATACAATTGCTTGAATTAGATGGAGGAAGATGCTATATATGTAGTGGCTTCATTGCTCAAGCAGTGGAAATGTAAAGGAAAATGGATTAATATTACATTGACCATTGTATACCTGAGGTAGTAAGCTTGGAAAAGACGCTAAGAGTTTTCTCTTGTTCTCCATAAGAAACTCACAAGTTGCCTCTGCAACAGCACAATCTGAGAACTCACTGCAAGGAAAATTAATGACAAGGTGAGCAAATGTTCTTCATCATATAAGCTGTGACTATGATGAAGAAAGTTGTTGTTGTTCAGTTTTCTCTCTTATTTTCAGAATGATAGCGTTTTGCTTTCCTTTGGCAATCAGGAAAGAAAAAAAAAAGTTGAATGCTCCCTGTTGTCTTCCTATGAATCAGCTTTTCCTCCTACATATTCATTGTAAACTGGTTTCGTTTACATTTTTTATTTTATTTTGTGGGGAATGTTCGCCCCCATGGGCGTAATAATAGCATTTTGCTAGGTCGGTCCAGTGAAATCAAATAATAGTGGCTCTCTTTGTGACGTTCATTAAAAATGGGGCTATTTTGCTATATCTGATAAAATCAAGGAGTAGGAGCGTAGATATCGCAGCAATTCGTTCGGCTAGGAAATGCCAAAAATGCCCTCGAATGATTATCTACGAGTATGAAACCCTCCTCGCAAAACCCTTATTTCATTTCCCAGCTTATCTGTTTGGGTTTCACACTTGCTTCTAGGGTTTTTATCCCATCGAGAGCTTCTTCAATGGCGACGCACACCATTTCTCGCTCCTTTCTTTGCCGACCGGCGAAATCCCTATCCTTTCTGCTCACTCGATCCTTTGCTTCATCCGCTCCCCTCGCCAAAACTCCGGCGTCTTCTCTTTACACGTCATCCCTGCTGAGCCGATCCCGTCCCCTCGTCGCCGCCTTTTCCTCCGTTGTCCGTGGTGGCCTGGTGTCTTTTAAATGCCTGTCAACGCAGGCTACATCGCACTCTCTGAACGATCCGAATCCCAACTGGTCGAACAGGCCACCCAAGGAGACGATCCTGCTCGATGGTTGCGATTTCGAGCACTGGCTTGTCGTCGTGGATCCACCTGAGGGTGATCCTACTAGAGACGAAATCATTGACAGCTACATCAAAGTTCTAGCCCAGGTTGTTGGCAGGTAAACCCTCGATTCAAAAGCCTCTTATCGCTCTTCTTCTAGGAACTTTAGTGTTGACTTAGTGAGAAACTTGAATCCACATGATGGGATCTGTTCGTTTACTTGAATCATTTTGAAACCCTCATTTGATATGTGTGTCTCGTTTTGAATTTCTCAGTGAAGAAGAAGCGAGGATGAAGATCTACTCGGTTTCAACTCGGTGCTACTTTGCTTTCGGTGCTCTTGTGTCAGAAGATCTTTCTCACAAGCTGAAAGGTAATATATATTTGTCGTCTTGGGTTTTAACTTTTCCCCATTTTCTGTGTTGTAATCTGACATCTAATTTGTTTCTGTAACTCTCCAGAGTTGCCTAAGGTGCGCTGGGTTCTTCCCGACTCTTACCTCGATGTGAGGAACAAAGACTACGGAGGTAAGGCTTTGTGTGTTTTCTCTATTCTTTTATACTGTACTTGCTGGTTTTGAATTGTCCATGAGGGAAAGTTTCTGTTGTTAGTCTTCACTCTGTGGATTAATTAACGTTTCTTCACTCTGATTCGTTGCTTGCTCCATGCCCCTGCATTAGATTAGCACATTGGCTTACTTCTATTTCTGGTTAATTAACATTTTTCTAGAAACAAGTTTGGGTGCATATGTTAAGCTTGATTAGTCGTATCAGTTTTAAGACTAGTGTAGTAGAAGCTGCAGTGGTGTTGCCTTGTTGAGAGTTGAATCTTTTTGACGATCCTATTTGAGAGTTAGCTTGATGGGATTTCTTTTTATATCGACTTTCAGGGGAACCTTTCATTGATGGGAAGGCTGTTCCGTATGATCCTAAGTACCACGAGGAGTGGATAAGGAACAATGCTAGAGCAAATGAAAGAAACAGGCGTAATGACCGTCCTCGCAACTTTGACAGAAGCAGAAACTTCGACAGGAGGAGAGAGAACATGGCAGGAGGCCCTCCTCCCCAACGTCCTCCCATGGGAGGTCCTCCTCCTCCGCCTCACATGGGTGGCTCTGCACCTCCTCCGCCTCACTACGGGGGACCACCACCACCACCGAACAACATGGGAGGACAAAGGCCTCCACCAAACTATGGAGGACCACCACCACCACCGAACAACATGGGAGGGCAGAGGCCTCCGGCAAACTTTGGAGGACCACCACCACCAAACTACGGAGGTCCGCCACCACCACAAAACAACATGGGAGGAGCACCACCACCTAACTACGGAGGACCACCACCACCACCACAAAACAACATGGGAGGAGCACCACCGCCAAACTATGGAGGACCACCACCACCGAACTATGGAGGACCACCACCACAGAACAACATGGGAGGAGCACCACCAAATGCAGGATGGTCAGGTAACAACAGCTACCAGCAGCAGAGTGGTGGGATGCAGCAGCCACAGTACCAGAACAACTATCCACCTAACCGGGATGGCAGCGGGAACCCGTACCAGGGTTAAAAGTAGTTGAAGCAGCCGTGGGTTTTCTTTTCTTTATTCATGCATTCTGGACTTATGTATAGATAATCTGAGCAATGAGGGTGAATGCAGTAGCAAGCAAGACTTTAAAAACTCATTTTGTCTTCAGTGTTTATCAGTCTGGTTATTGTGTGAGAGAATCCTAAGTAGCTATTGGCATGGTTAACACTTTTTCACTCCTTACCTTTTCTTTTAGTTTATATCCTATAAAATCGATTTTAAGAGGTCTTGGTTCACCCGGACGATTTTAAATCGATTCTTTTTTTTTTCTTCGGCTCTCAGTGTTAACCAATTACATTGCCTCGGATTATAAAATCGAAAATTCCCTTCAGAATTACTCTGCATCTCAGCCAATATGGTATAGCTCCTCTTCTGCTGAATCTCAAATTGCGATGCTTCAAATTCTTTTGCATTTGCTAAGTTGTGTTATCACGGAACCAAAGGCTGGCTTTGAACAAAGAATAAATTTATACACTAGTTCGGCGTGTTTGGGCCAAAATATGTTAATCTCACCCCAAAAGCCCATATTGAAATTCTCGTAACCCAACAACATAAAGGGCTCGCTTCCCTCTAGTAATTTTGTTTCCATATTATAAAAGTATATATTTATTCGTGTCTCCTGTCTGCTGGTCCGGCTCGCTTTCTCTACGGTTGGACATAGGTATAAGGGATTTCCGGCGAAAAGGGAACTCTTGAGAGATAACTCCAATTACTCCATGGATATGATGATGAAGAAGCGAAAGCTCGATGAGAACGGTGGTGGACTCACAACCAATGGTGGCGGAAACATTGGCCCCACTCGATTGACGCAGCAGGACGCTCGGAAGATCATCGAGCGGTTCACCACTGATCAGCTGCTCGACATCTTGCAAGAGGCTATCGTACGCCATCCCGACGTGCTCGAATCAGTCAGATCAGCCGCCGACTCCGATATCTCCCATCGGAAGCTATTCGTCCGTGGCCTCGCGGCGGATACAACCACGGAAGGCCTCCGTTCGCTTTTCTCCAATTACGGGGACCTCGAGGAGGCTATCGTGATCCTCGACAAGGTGACGGGTAAGTCCAAAGGGTACGGCTTCGTCACATTTGTGCACGTCGACGGAGCAATGCTTGCCCTGAAAGAGCCGTCTAAGAAAATCGATGGGCGCGTCGCGGTCACGCAGCTCGCGGCGGCCGGGAATCAAGGTGCGGTCTCACAGGTCTCCGACGTATCGACGAGGAAGATCTATGTGGCGAACGTGCCGTTTGACATGCCGGCGGATAGGCTGCTGAACCACTTCTTGGCTTATGGGGATGTTGAGGAAGGTCCTCTGGGTTTTGATAAGGTCACGGGGAAATCAAGAGGCTTTGCGTTGTTTGTCTACAAGACAGCAGAAGGTGCGAGAACGGCGCTCGCTGAACCGATGAAGGTGATTGACGGGAAAAGCCTGCAGTGTAAATTGGCTGTGGAAGGTAAGAAAGGAGGGAAGCCTGGAATGCCACAAGCTCAGAATGGGGTTTCGAGTCATGGACATGGTCATGGTGAAGGAGTGGGAATGGTGCGTCCTGCAGGAGGTGGAGTGAGTTCTTACGGTGGGAACTCGAGAGGAGCACCACCGCATCATATGAATCCCACACCGTCCTCAATGGGTTTTGCTCCTGCTGCGGCAGGTGGATATGGAGGTCACTATGGTGGATATAGTGGGTATGGTGGGCCTGGTGGTGGGAGTGGGCCGTATAGGATGCCACCAAGCTCGATACCTGGTGGTGGTTATCCTGAGAGTGGGCACTATGGTCTTCCACCATCTGGTGGGTATCATGGACAGCATCATCAGGCTGTTGGAACCTCCCCTGTGCCAAGAGTTCCTCATGGAGGAATGCACCCTAATGGTCCGCCAAACTACTAAAAGAAGGTGAAGTTGTTCTCCCTAGTATATTATTTGTTTTGTTAGCTTTGTGTTGCGACTGTGTTGCATTATCATGATCATTGCATTTTTTTGCATATCCCTGCTTGCTAGAATATTCTCTGGTTTGGGTAGTTTTGTTTGCTAGAAGATCTATAGCTGCTAGTTTGTGTGCCCCTGACATGTGCCGTTTCTTTTTATCATTTGCTTTTCACTTTGCTGCCAACACATGGTTTTGGCAACAACATTCATGTGATCAAGGCATTGCATCGCAAGGCCCTTGTCTTCTTTTTTAGTGTTTAGTCTTGTTTTAAAGTTAGCACGAAGCTGGTTTTTTTTTTTTTTTTGTTAATGGTAATGACGAAGTTGAGTTGTGAATGGGTGTTGATTCAGGTTTGTGACAGCTTATTGGGCGAAGATGTGATAATTGTGCTTAGTGGATTGCAGCCTCTTTAATCTCTGGAATGATGAAATGCTTTGACCTCTCTGCACTTGACCTGAAATGTGCTTGGCCTTTGAATGCGTTGTTGCTGAAATGTATGATTAGAATAGGATGTTGTACTAGTTTTTTTGTTTTATCATAGACATACTTGGCAGATGAGTTTTGCTTGTCAGATTAGTGAGTCATAAATTATACTATGTTGCAATTGTTTTTCCTAGAGCATTTCCTGGTTAATTGATTAGTTTATCTCTCTGAAACCTTGAATACAAGTATTTGACTTGTCTGTGAGTTTTGAGAACATCTAAATTAGCTCCAGAGGCTTTACTTTGTGATGTTTTATCAGGTGTATGTGTTTATTACCTTACTTCCTTGACAGAAGAAATTGTTCAAATACTATTAGTGTCAAAACCATAGCTTGAATCGTGCTGAAATTGCGTATAAATGTCAATCGGAAGGTGGCTGAAAGTCTTGTTGTTATATCATGCAAAATTGGGACCCATTTTGTTTACTTATGTTGGTATTGTATGACATAGTCTGCGTTATTACTGTGAAGCAATGCTTGGTGTTGTGTTCCAAGTGAAGTAAGGTTCTGTCGAGTGGTGGATTTGTTTATTTTTCCGACATTATTATCGTGTCGGGAAAATCCAAGTGGCTTGTGATGTCGATATGGTGCTCCGTTACTGTTTTTGTTTTAACCACAAGATGCAGAGTTTGGTTTTGGGATTTGAGAAAGTGAAATTTTTGGTTCAGTCTCTCTGGTGGGTCCTTTTTATTGTCACTTGGGTCACAAACAGAAAAATACTTGTGTCGTTATTTGAGCTCTCTTTAGCTTGTACAATATATAGTAGACTCTTAACAACAACTTGTCTTGCTTTTGTTGAGCGAATCTTCGATGCTCCTGACCCAACCGGAGCGGGCTAAAGAAAGATCCAGACGGCTGGGAGTGATTCAACAAAGAGGAAGACGAAACACGTTATTTGTTTTGTATCTTTTAAACTCTTGTAACGTTGTCGCAATTAATCATAATAATCACGTCCTAATACACACAAATGAGTTCGGTTATCTTCTAGTATATGATAAAAAGTGTCTGGAGAAAAGGGAAATTGTAAATATAAATGTAATCATTAACAATGGCATGTTTCGAACCTTGTTGAACGTGAAGCAAACCATGCCCGTTTTCGTAGATGATACTAATGGCTTTTAATTAATAATTAAACTAATCAAAAGCTAGTGGATCCCATCATCACCGCGAAAAAAGAAGCCTTCTTTGTCTTCGACTCTTGAGACTCCTTCCTTTCTCTCCCTCACTTCTCTCATTCTCTTCCTTAGCTTTCGATTCTCTAGTTTCTCTTCTCTTCTCCAGATCACCCAAAATGTTCAGATCCATGCTTGTTCGATCCGCTTCCCAGGGGCTCCGTAGAGGATTCGCCTCCGAATCCGTTCCCCATCGCAAAGTCGTCATCCTCGGCGCCGCCGGTGGAATCGGGCAGCCTCTGTCTCTCCTCATGAAGCTTAACCCTCTCGTCTCCTCTCTCTCCCTCTATGATATCGCCAACACTCCCGGCGTTGCCGCTGACGTCGGCCACATCAACACCCGATCCGAGGTACCCGATCCCCCGATTCGACGATCGTTCACAATCTCCTAATTGTTTTTTTTTTTGTTTTCAAATCTGTAAATCATTCTCATTCATACCTTCTTCATGTGCGATCATCTCTTATCTTAATCACTGGCAGGTTTGTGGATACATGGGTGATGATAATTTGGGGAAAGCTCTAGAAGGAGCAGACCTCGTCATTATTCCAGCTGGTGTCCCGAGGAAGCCTGGAATGACCCGTGATGATCTTTTCAACATTAATGCCGGCATTGTCAAGAACCTCAGCATCGCCATCGCCAAGTACTGCCCACAAGTAAAATAATCCCCTCAGCTGTTGTGTGTGTTCTCTTATATAGCGTATCTGATTCGATATCACTAAACTGATATGTATGCCAAAGAACTAGTTTTTCCTTGCTAGTGACCTTTACTCTTGATCTCGTATTCAGCCGAATGAGTGATCTTGTAAATTTTCGCTCTTTATTTGAATCAGGCACTTGTGAACATGATCAGCAACCCTGTGAACTCTACTGTTCCGATTGCGGCAGAGATTTTTAAGAAGGCTGGTACCTACGATGAGAAGAAATTGTTTGGTGTTACCACTCTTGACGTTGTTAGGGCCAGGACTTTCTATGCTGGAAAAGCAAATCTCCCTGTTGCAGGTTGCTCTTTTTGTCTTCTTCTTTTCGTTTTGCCTTTCTCCTAGGATTGTTGGCTGAATAATTAGCACTTAGATATCTGCGTCAAACAATATACTGTAATGTAGCTTCTGATGTTTAATTTTGAATACGCAGAGGTTAATGTTCCTGTTGTCGGTGGACATGCTGGTGTTACGATTCTTCCTCTCTTTTCTCAGGTTACCTATCGCCTTCCCTCCCTTCTCCTTGTCTTCTCTCTTTTATACTGTCACTGTTGATTATATATTTTGGTCTGTCTCGCCCTCAAAAGTGTTTTGTTTGATGATATATATACAGGCCAGTCCACAAGCCAACTTGTCTGATGATTTAATCAAGGCCCTAACCAAGCGTACCCAGGATGGAGGAACAGAAGTCGTGGAGGCAAAAGCTGGAAAGGGTTCAGCTACATTGTCAATGGCGTAAGTTCCTTTTGTATTCTCTAAGATTGCCCGCTATCAACTGGTCAACAATTGTTTTTGTGCAGTCTCCTCTATCTTTGTATTGTGTTTTGTTTATTTTCTTATGAAACCTGATTTCTGTGGAAAGCTATGCGGGAGCACTGTTTGCTGATGCATGCTTGAAGGGACTCAACGGTGTTCCAGATGTGGTGGAATGCTCATTTGTGCAGTCTACCATCACCGAGCTTCCTTTCTTCGCCTCAAAGGTAAAGTGCACCAAAAACACTATTAACCCTTCAATCTAAATGACCAGATTATAGTTCAAGATGGCCATTAACAGCTTGTCTCTCTTTATGGTTTGGCAGGTGAGACTGGGGAAGAACGGAGTGGAGGAAGTGCTAGATCTAGGACCACTCTCAGACTTTGAAAAGGAAGGCTTAGAAGCCCTCAAGGCAGAACTCAAATCCTCCATCGACAAGGGAATCAAATTTGCCAACCAATGAGTTTATTTTGCTTCTTTTAATTATTGATTTTGGACTAAACTGGCTACTTTTGCTACTTTCTCCGGCTTTCCTTTTTTCCCGGTAGAGTTGTCTTCTTCATCTGCAAGAACTTGTAAAACTCCACTAATAAATTCCCCATTGAGAAACCATTGGGGGACTCTGTAATAAAATTGAAGTTCTAAAAAACTACTGTTGCTTGTAAGCTATGATTCATCGTCCTCTTTGGAGCTATTATTCTTCTTTTTTCAAAATGTAAGATAGAAATAAATAAAGAAATCTATGTTAACATATATTGTAAGTTGCATATCTTGGGCATTTGTTTAGAAGTAGCATTTTATCTGCTTTGCAGTATTGATTTATTTACAAACAGATGAAAGTGTACTTGTTGGTTGTATCGTTGGATCACGAGCCCTTCTGTCTTTATGATTTTTATTTTCTTACTTTGATGAGTAAATACATGTCAAGAGAAGTGAGAGAGTGAAAGGACAGTATGTTCCTTCTCAATGTCTCACCTTTTCTTTTATAACTTATTTTCGTTTTCCTTTTTTTTAAAAAATGGAACTAAAAATACAGTACTTCGTATATTAGTAGATAATAACTTTTATACGAATCGAAAAATTTATTTACTGTTTTATTAAATTATATTCAGTGTGTTAGTTTTTTTCTTAAACTCTAAATACTGTGTAATTGTGTATAACGTGGTCTCTATCTAGAACGGTTTCATATAAGTAAATATTGGAGGATAAACACAACAGCAACAACAAAATATGAGTAGTAAATAAATAGAGACCCTTCGAAAGTGACAAATAATATCGAACAAAACAAAATAATATTGATAGCGAATGGACAGAAGGGTGTTTAATTTTGTTAAGAAAATAGAAAGAAAAAAAAAAAGTAACGTAAATCAAATTTATGTTTTTGAGAATAAAGGAAACATGGAGACAAATGATTTTTATAGAACTCATCCGAATGGTACTATCGATAACATACGACAAAAAGCACGAATTTGCCAGTCAAGGGTAAAATCGTGATTTCGTTTCATTTATCAAAGGGTAAAGTAGGTGAAGTGTTAATTTCAAGTGGAGCCATTTGTCATGCGTCGCCACGTCAACATTATTTAGTAGCAAAGTCATGTCCTACGTGCCAATCCGACGTCACGTGTGTCTTCTTTTTAAGTGTTTTCTCTCTCAAATCTCAGATGAGTTGTTTTTGCATTATTTGCATGTCACTCCTTATACTCTTTGAACAGAAGCAATTTAGGCTTTATATTTAAAATTGTTACAGCTTGAACCATAATTCTCACAGCAAAGTGAGTCAAATAACGTAACAAGTTTTTGAGTATTACCGAATTACCAACTAATGAACAAAATTTTAAATGAATAAAAACGGAAACATGTTTCCAACTTTGTTAACATTATTTTAGATTTCTTATCTTTAGAAGTTTACATTGTTTGCAATTTTGTGTAACAAATCTCTCGGAAATTGTTATTCACAACTCCAATACCTTTTTCGTGTCTAAATCTTTGACCAAAATTATCAATGTGTAGTAGCATACTAGCATTGATTTATGTACTCTGTTGACCATTCTTGAAACATGATTACTCACGAGTGCATGGTATAGACAACAGACCAAAAGAGACAAATATTCGCAAATCATTGTATATATCAATGTTATTACTTTCAAATCATCGATTATTTTGTGTGATAAATGTTTAATAATAATAAATTGTTATTATTTTGTTGCGGCCTTGCTGGTCGTTTTAGATGAAGTGATTGCCCAAGACATGAGTAGTGTGATTAGAGTTAAGTCGTAATCCTTTATAGTTAGGCTTAGGAAACCCATTTGATATATATGAGTCGGAATTTTCTAATATTAATCCATAAATTATAAAAACCGGCCGGACCAGGAATTCGTCTCAAGGTTAATTGATCCACATTTGATTATTGGTTAGTCATTCTGCTGAGCTGAATATATGTTTACACATTCGATTATAGTTGGTTAATTAGAGGCTTGAATAAACAGTTAACTAAGTTTATATTGATATTATGTATTTCAGATAATATAAATTACGAACTGAGCTTAGACGTCTTAACATCCAATTAGACAGTACCTGAAGTCTTGAACAGAATGAAGATTTATGTAAATTATAACAATCGGAAGATAACACCGAGTGGTCAATTAATTTAATAGTGAAACATGTTACAATAAATCTTAGTCTTCACATCAGTAATAACAGAAACAAAATGACATAAAAAATGGATCCATACATATTATTTGCCTACTTGGACATCTGGTACAGAAAATAATGTTATTGTGCTTAATAATTGAAACTCACATAAATTCCCATAACTGAAATTTGATTATAATCATTCTATTTTGTTGTGTTGCGATTTGTGACTGTAATTCCAAGTGGAAGGTCCTTTTGATGTTATTAATTAATATGCAACCGTGGGATGACATATATTCTCTTTTGCTTTATATTAACTATGGTATTTGTTTTGTTTGATCAATTATTTTATGTGTTCGTATTAGGTTTGTCAATCCACCTATTTAATTATATAATGCTAATATGTCACTTTCTGTTCTGAATTATTATTCCATTCAAGTAGGTGTGTTTCATAGTAATTATTTATGCATATAGACGGAATAGTTTAAAACCATCAAATAATGCTGTATATATAATATTTTTCCCCGATTGATAAATAGTATAATTTTAGAAGAAATAACTCATCATAATATGATTTGATACGTTGCGTCAATTTTTTTAATTTTTTGCTTTGAAAATGAAACTTATTGAACGACTTGAAAACTATGTTAGCTTACTGTACGTGTGTTCACATTTAATATGTTAAGTTGTGTGAACAATAATGATATGGTTTTGTTGTCATTCGTTTTTTAAAATCAATTTGGAGATATTTTGTTATGCATATTAATAATATACTCCAAATGTGAATTAGTTGTGCGAGTTGGGTAGTCAATTGGTTGGGATTCAAGAAGCATTATGGAGTCCCACCAATTATTTTGAACTTGTGAAAATTCTCAAAAGATTAGATTGTCCTTTACTCTCCTTTATTATATTACTTGGTATTATCTTATATTCTTATAAGTTAAATTACATTTTCTATGAATTTGGGATATTATTATGCATGCATGGTACGGTTCAAACAATTATTTCGACAAATGAGTATAGAGGTTTAGAACAAAAGAGGATCTCGTTTTGTTTACTTTTCTAGGTTGAAGTGAAGTAAATAACAGTTTAAAAAAGAACATCAAAAGTGAAAGTTTCATAAAAATGTTCTAAGCGTATAAAACTAATAATGAGAAGCCTTAGTTGTGTGCTATATATTATATTGTATTCTTATGTAATCAAAGTTCGATTTTCCGAATAGAATCTGCTTTAGTTTTTAACTATAGAGATTCTTTTAAAACCAAAAAAGTGGAGAAGTGGAGCATCAACAAGACCTTTATATATATTTCCACAATATGGGTCAACCCTTAAAAAGAAACCGAGATGCACGAAATGCCTGAATTGAACCTTGACCCAGCCAACACCATAGGTTTTACTTTAGGGTATTTATTCATTTATTGAATCTCCAAACCGGATCATAAAGTTGTTCTTTCCAGTTATTTCAATTCTGCATTAACTCTGCGATTATGATATGTGCTCATGATTTATTTCACAAGTTTTTGTTGTGTGAATATGATAGTAATCATTTATCTTCTTCTAAATTATATAGACAAAAATATTTGTATTTACTGGTAAAACAATCAGATGGAGTAGTTTTTTTTTGTCAAAACAAGAGAGGAATTGAATTTGGGAAACGACTAAATTTTTGATTACCCAAAAAAGAAAGAAATGTAAAGAAAAATGGAAAAATATAAAAAAAAAGAAGAGGAAAATTGAATGTGGGAAGAGAAGAGAAGAGATGAGATGAGAGAGAGAGAGATCTTTAATGAGAGCAAAACACTGTCATCTTACCAGTTGCGTCATCATCAACCCACAACACTCTCTCATCTTTCTTCTTCTCTTATTTACTTTTCCTTTTACCATCTCTTTAAATTTTCCCGAGAAAAAATATCGAAAAAGCTTTCTCTGGGTTTTTCTTGATTGGTCAATTTGCACATCTCCCTTTCTCTCTCTCTCCCTTCTTTTGCCTCGCTTGCTTCATCTGTTTGGTCTCCTTCTTGCTTTTTCTAGTAAGTACAGAGATAGATAATTTCAACGAGTTAGAGAGAGATTCAGACATGGGTTAGTCTGCAGTTTCGACAGATCCTCTTCTTCTTCTTTCTTCTTTCTTCTTTCTTCTTTCTTCTTCCTATTAGGCTTTTAGCTTTCTCTGCTCTCTGGGGTTAGGGTTTTGAGGTGAGAGGCAAGTATGCGTGAGTTACATCCATTTTGAGTTACTCTGGATTCCCCACCGTCTACCGACCGCCGTCGCCGCCGCCGCCGCCTCAACGAAGAAGACTCTGAGCTTCCTCAATATGCTCAAGCAATGGCAGACGACGAAGCACACCACTTCCTCCACCCTCCAGCACCGCCGCCTTCTTCAATGAGGCACCGTGCTACGTCGGAGGCGGCGGATACGGCCAACGGCGGCTGCGGCGAGATCGTTGAGGTGCAAGGAGGTCACATTGTGCGGTCGACGGGAAGGAAAGATCGGCACAGCAAGGTCTGCACGGCCAAAGGGCCACGTGACCGGCGCGTGAGGCTCTCGGCTCACACGGCGATTCAGTTCTACGATGTTCAAGACAGGCTTGGCTTCGACCGACCCAGCAAAGCCGTCGATTGGCTTATCAAAAAGGCTAAGACTTCCATTGACGAGCTCGCCGAGCTTCCTCCCTGGAATCCCGCCGATGCAATCCGCGCCGCCGCCGCTAACGCTAAACCCAGGAGAACGGCCGCCAAAACCCAAATTTCTCCGTCGCCGCCACCGCCTCAGCAGCAGCATCTTCAGTTCGGTGGTACACGGGCCGTTGGATTCGACGGAGGAACAGAGCATCCGAGTAACAACGATAACGAGTCGAGTTTTCTCCCGCCGTCAATGGACTCAGATTCGATTGCTGACACTATAAAATCGTTTTTCCCGGTGGTCGGCTCTTCAGCGGAAGCTCCTCCGAACCAGCTTATGCACAACTATCATCACCACCATCATCATCATCCGCCGGATTTGCTTTCTCGAACCAACAGCCAAAACCAAGATCTCCGTCTCTCGCTGCATTCGTTCCCGGATGGTCCACCGTCGCTTCTCCACCACCACCACCACCACCAGCAACAGCACCACCACTCTAATTCCGCCTCCGTCGCCGAGCCTGTTCTGTTTTACGGGCAGAGCAATCCGCTAGGATTTGACACATCGACGGGTGGTTGGGAGCAGCAGTCATCGGAATTCGGAAGGATTCAGAGACTGGTGGCTTGGAACAGCGGCGGAGCAACCGATACAGGAAACGGAGGAGGGTTTCTCTTCGCTCCTCCTCCTCCTCATCCATCGACGACGTCGTTTCAGCCAGTACTCGGCCAAAGCCAGCTTTATTCTCAGAGGGGTCCCCTTCAGTCCAGTTACACGCCCATGATCCGTGCTTGGTTTGATCCTCACCACCATCAATCCATCTCCACCGACGATCTCAACCACCACCACCACCACCATATTCCTATGCCGGTTCACCAATCAGCAATCCCGGGAATCGGATTCGCCTCAGGTGAATTCTCTTCCGGTTTTCGCATACCAGCACGGTTTCAGGGCCAAGAAGAGGAGCAGCATGACGGTCTCACCAACAAACCGTCCTCAGCTTCCTCTATTTCTCGCCATTGATAACAGTCGAAACAATATCCTCTAATTCCAGGTTATCCCAAATTCTGTCCTTTTTTACATTAAAATTAGTACTATTTGCTGCACTTCTTGTTCATTGAACTCAAAAACCATTTTTTGCAGGGCTTCAGATCGAAAGCTTGGCTTAGATTGTTCGGAACAGTGAAGGAGTTCTCGGTTTGTATTCAATGGCCTGAAGAAAAGAAAAAAACGCAAGGAAAGACTGAAAGAGAAGAAGAAGGACAACAAATGTGGCCCACAACTTACAGGTTCTTCTTCTTTTTTCTTCCAACCTTGCCTATTGTAATTTTAATCTTTTTCACCAGTTAGACCATGTTCTGTAGCTCAATTATGGTAGATTTTAAGGTTGCTTCTTGTTGTGTTGTGTTTGTATCATCCTCCTCCTCTTGTTACTGCAATACCCAGATACTTTTGAGAAATTGCAGTTCTCTGTTCTTTGTTGTGTGTAACTCCATGGATGATCTAATAAAGTCTTGAACTTTCTCTTGATTTTCATATGGGTTTTATTGCTCTGTTCAAGCTAGATCATTGTTGTTAAACAACATGGGAGCTTTGAGTTGATTCTTGTATCTCACTCAATCCATTTGGCCCCAATGATAAAAAAAAAAAAAGTTAGTCATTTTCCATGAACAGTAAGATTTGAATTGTTGCTTCTTCTGGAACATCAGGGGGATTTAGCCAGTTCCCTTAAATTACAAGTGAAACTTTCCTCACAAGAGTAAAAATGGGGTTTTTATTTTCTGTGTCTCATGTCATTAATTGTTCTCTCTCACCTACTTTAGTGGTAGGAGGAGATCCACCAAACTTGAATGTGATATTGTCTTGTTTGATGAGTAAAAAGAATGGGGACATGAGATAGGTATAGAGAGCCACCCATGTTTGTCTAAATGTAGGAAGTTGATCATAACTAGCCAATCTTCTCTATCACCTCTAGACAATTATACTGGATTTTGCAAGTTTGGGGGGGTGAAATGCATGGTCTCAGATGTTTATTTTACCTCCATTTAGCAGAAGAATTATTTAATTTTTTTACCTTTTCATGTGATGTAATAAATACATCACCAACCACACCAAATGAGAAAGGTGCTGAGATATCATAAAGTACGTTTTTCCAAAAGATAAAAAAGGCCGAATCTTTATTTTTTAAGGTCTCATCTCTCATGACTCAATATCATATCCAATGTATACCCATTTATTCCCTCTTTTTATTTATATATTTTTTTCCGTTTGTCAACTGATAATATCATCAATAAGTTTGTTCTGTGAAGACAGTTAGATATATAGTACACAATCTATCTGTTATGACCAAGTAAAACGTTTCTCACAAAACCTCAAAATATCTAATGGGTCTGAGAGGGATGTTGAGGAAGATGGAACCAAGATTGTAAAAGAGCTGTCACTTTAAAGAATGGTCCCCTTTCTCTTGTAAGATCTCAATGCCTTTTTTTTTTCTTTCAAAAGATCTACTGAAAAAAAGTTCACTGCTTTTAAGCCCTTTCACTTCTCTCATTCCCCATTAATAATTGCAGCAGATTTGAGAATTTGAAACGAGCAAAGACTGTGAATGTAAAAAATGTGAGACTCAAACCTTAAAGCGCACTGTCTCATCAACATACCAAAACATGTGACGCATGAAGCAATTATAAACACAATACATGTGCAATCACATCAATCCCTTTGATATGAAGTAACAAATCGTCTAATGTAGACAACATATTTATGAATATACACATTGGAACATGTTCTGTGGCCAAATAAAACAGGTTCAAATGGATAACAAATTAAAGAATGGTCTTTTGGTGAAGAAAAGAAAAAAAAAAAGCTCGGAAGAAAAAAAAATCAATCTATGAAACCGGTTCTTCTGAAAACAGCATTCCTTACCTGCCGGAGATCTCTCCCTTTAAGTGTTCTTCCTGCTCCTTCAAGCACCGAGCAAGATAGCAACGAAGACTGAGCCAAAGACCGAGCTACAATCTCGTGTGGAGGAAGCATTTCGCCTTCTTCCTCTTCCTCCTCATCGTCGTCTATGACATCAGTCAGCTTGAATTCCTTCTTATGTCGATTCATCATCGTCGAAGATACTAATGGCACTTGAACCGGAGCTGATTGAGGATACTTCCCTCCACCTATAAAAGACGCTGCAAACGGAAGCCTCTCTTGAGGCGGTTTAGGAGCGGTGGGGATTGTTCGAGCCGAAGATGAAGAAGCAGCTGATGCACCACCGCCTGAAGAAGACGAGGAAGAAGCTGTGGAGGAGACTGAAGTGGAGAGAACAGCCGCAGGCTTGTGGTGAAAGACGTGGTTGAGGTAACTGTTTCCAGAAGGTTCGGGAAGAGCCGCGAGGATACCAGAAGCTTCCACGTTTTTCAAGCCGCTTTTGCTCCTCTGAATCTGGCGAGCAGGCGGATGCTGCGCCGGAGAAGACGACGGAGAGTGTCGAGGCGCGTGAGATATGTCGATTGCGAAGATGTCGTCTTCATTCAGCTCACCATCTGCTGAAGCTGAGGCAGGTGCTGGAGAAGACGATGACGGGATATCGATCCGTGTAATTCTGTTCATTTTTTGTTAACTTCTTGAGATCTGCGAATCAGAGAGATTTAAGGTCGATTGATTAAGAATTAGTCTCAATCCACTAAAGATTAGGTTTTTTTAGCAGAACACGAAATCAAAGTGTGGAGCTGGAAACTAGATCGATCCAAGGTTGAAAATTTCGATTTTTGTTTGGTCGTTTCCAATTAGATGAACTCATTACGTGGTAGTTTTACAATAATTTTTTTTTCCAGAAATCTCGAAACATAAGAAATTGCAGCAAACACGAAGGTCGATCCCATTAACAGAAGATGAATTTAAGCAATCATCGTTCAAGAAGGAGATCCAGAAATCGAATGGAGGATTAAAGTTACCTCAACTCTGGGAAGAAGAACAAATACAGCAGCAAATTAGATGCACGACCAGCTAGCGATCTGAATGTTTTAGCGAGAGAGAGAGAGAGAGAGAGAGAGAGAGAGAGAAGACCTGAATGAGATTTCTAGAAATTGACATCTGTGTATACAATATGTTGGCAGTTTCATAAATTCTGAAGCCCAATAGAGTAAGCCCAATAGAGTAAGCCCAAATAGACTAGTTTATTAAAAACATAACGGTGAAATTTTTTCCGTTACCGTTAATGAACCTGTAAAAGAGTTTGCATACAACCACCAATTATATAGAAAACAAAACCACTGAGAAATCAAACAAGACAATTCTTATATGTAAACATAAACCGTTGTTTTGGTTAATTTCTGAATCAAAATCATCCGGAACCGAGCTTTTTGGATTTTGCAGCTTCCTTGGTGTTTGGCAAACCCGGTTTAGCAGAGGTCTTCTTTGTGATCACATTGGATGACAATTTCTCCGGTTTTATAGTTGGTTTGATCGGTTTAGTAACTTGGCATTGAGCCCTAATCTCCCAAGGCCGAGCTGCTATCCACCGTTCTTTCCAACTCCATCCCCAGTTTTCTTTGTCAAGGTTAAACGAAGCTTGACCTAGATACTGTGTAGCATTAGCTCTCCACTGCAAAAAAAAAAAAAAAAACCAGAAAGTTACTTGAGCTACAAGGTATCCAAAGCACAAACCGGTTAATTAACGGAGCTACGTCTCAATTTTCATTGACCTGATGAGAGAAAGCATAAGCCATTGCTCGTTCACGCTTCACTGTAGCTTCTTCTCTCTGTTGTATCCTCGCAAGAATCTCCTCCATGGTTTCAGACCCTCCACACCATTCAACTTCTAGCTCCTGAAGCTTGATCTCCAGCTTCAACCGATTCTCCAATCTTTTGTGCTGGAGTCTACCTTGTGTCACCATATACAAACGCCGTTCTCTGATCTGGCTCTGTATATCGCACCAAGAATGCATCACATTGAGTGCAATCGAAGTTTGGTTCATCACTTTATGGCCTTGGATCAGTGAGTTAAATCTCTTTGCGCTCTTTAAGCTGCATAGTCTTTTTCTCGCCTGCAGATTCGCAAGAAACACTAAAATTGGAGGCGGCAAATCAGTTTCAAAAATTGTGGAAGATGACGAACCTTGTATGCTCGAAAAGCCTTTTGAATGCGCATAACAGCGATTTCTACGGTAAGCGTAGTGGAAGCTGAGCTTGGTTCGATCGGTTTGACACGGTTTGATATTTCAGAGTGTACCTATAAAAATAAACATATTTTTAAAGTCACTAGTAGAGAGAGAGAGAGAGAGTAGAATGAAACAGAGGTTTTACTAACGTTGCCTCGATTTGATTTGTTGTTCTGTTTTGATCCTTTTAAACAGATGAGAGAACGGAGCAACCATCCAGATCCCATAACAGCAGATAATCTGTATGAAGCCGAGAGCTTCAGTACAAGAAAAGGTTTTATTAGAGAAGATAATGTAGGTTAAAGATTTAATCAGATATTATGAAAGTGAGATGGGATTTTAATGTGTGTTCTTTCTTTTAAGGCACAAGAAGGTTAATGTTGAGTGGTTTTTAAGTAAATGGAGAGAGAGAGAGAGAGAGTTGAAGCTTCGCTCTCTCTGTGGTGAATAAACCCATCTTGGTGATTGACATTTCAACCAATGGTGAAGCTAGTGTTTGATCTTTTCTTCAAATACAAGGTGAGGTTCTTTCTGATAAGTTTAATTAGTTTAGGCCAAGATTGATAGGAGATTGACGAAAAATGATGGTTGAAAATTGTTAGAGGATTCCCCGTTATAGCATTGATTAGTTTGGGATGAAATTGTTAAAGTTGATAAAAAGAAAGATTGAAATATTTCTAAGTTGGTCCCGGCGGGGCTCGAACCCGCGACCTTCGGCTCATAAGACCAACGCTCTAACCAACTGAGCTACGGGACCTGCTTGGAAATTCTGTTCAAGAATTACATTTATTCCGTACTATTTTACTTGTTGATCTTATTCATCTTCTTCCTTGTTCTCTGTTTATGTGCCATTGTTGGCACCGAACTAACAAAGAAGAAGACAGGTTTTGGCACTGAAGCTTCATCTCAGAATCAGTGACTTCTATAAATGTTTGACAATGAAGCTTTATTGGTCTCTGGAAAATTAATACAGAATTTACACTAGCTTTTTTTAAAAATAAATCATTTTAAAGAAAAAAGGATTAGTTTCTTGGATTTCTTGGCAGAGTGTGTCCCTTCAAATATTAATCTTTTGGAACAAACTCTTTAAATGAGACTCCTACGTTGTCTATATATACGGTACAGTTTAACTTGTTCTGACTCCAGTCTTCTTCCTTCACAATTATTAATCCAGAGAGATAAACCATTATATTGATCGATCAAGAAACAAAGAAATGTTTGGAGGGGATTCATCAGAAGACACCGAGAGCGACTACGAACCTGATTACGAGGATGAACCTGATTACGAGGACTCCAGTGAAAGCAGCGACGGCAATGGAGATGACGATGATGGAGGAGACTCGAGAGATGATGATTCGGTGATGATTTCGATACCAGAGTCCACAAAGTTGAGAGAAAGAAACTCTGGGATTAGCATACGAGAGCCAAAAGATTCTCTGATTCTTGTTAGTCCTTCGAATAAGCGGAAAAGAGACACTGTTCGTATTCCGGCTAAAATATACAAAGATGCGATCGTTGCTTCATCATCATCAGCGGCTAACAATGTTTCAGCTGCAGTAGCACTAGAACCTGCAGGTATCTCTAGGCGGTCTCATGCGAACGACTATGTCGAAACCATTACTACGACTTCTTCAGGGCCTTGGAATACTCCAGTTGGAGTCCCAACTAGACAAGCTCAAGCTCAATCCCAATCCCAACCCGAAATGGACGATCTTGTAGCTGTGGCCACTATAAGAAGATCGAACCTTCAAGGTCCCATCTTTGGGTCATCATCATCAAGTTCAAGTATTCAATCTCAAGCTGAAGAGATCATGGCAGGTTTGACGAGAATGGCGCCTCATGCAACCGCTATACAACGACCCTATGGTATGAGAGAGCAGCCTCCATTGATGCAGATCCCTCCCAATATTCCATTTGGCATTCCAATGAGGAGCCCTTTTCCAAATGCGAGAATGGCGCCTCCTGCAAATGCTATGCAACGACCCGATGGTACGAGAGAGCAGCCTCCATTGTTGCAGATCCCTCCCAATATTTCATTTGGTATTCCAATGAGGAGCCCTTTTAGCCGAGCTCAAATAGTGGAGATGACAAGATGGTGTTTCTCTTTGTTGCCCATGCGCGGTCTCAACTTTGTACCTGGGATAGACTCCACCTTGGTGCCATCGTCTCAACGAAACATCACAAGACCATCGAGAGTCAATCCTCGCCGTCCAAACTCTGTTTCCAGGCCAATACCATCGAGAGTCAATCCTCGCCGTCCAAACTCTGTTTCCAGGCCAATACCATCGACTTCAATCTCCGATGTTTTGGGGTCATCAAGTGTTCAAGCTCAAGCCAAGGCTGTGAGACCGGCTTCTGGACTTTTGCCTGCTGCAATGCTCAATTACCAACAACAACAACTTCTCCCTTCTTCTTTAATGGTATAACATCTAGCTTCCAAGATCGTTTTTTTCTAACTGCCATTGCATTTATGTATCACAAAAATTAAAAGGGTTTCTTGTTTTGGGTTTATCTGCAGGGTCCACCACAACATTTGAGACAGCAGCCTCCGTTGTTGCAGGATGTGAGAGGTTTGAAGCTTAACCCGCCGGCTAATAATGAAGATGCTGATGAAAAGAAAGATGAAGAAGAAGATGAAGGTTTGGATCTTAACCTGCGGCTCGGGATGAATGATGAACCAACGCATGAGTAAGATTCGATCACAGTTGATACTACAATAGAAACAGAGATTATTAGACTATTATAGCCAAAGTGACAGATTCTTACTTTCTAAGATTTCAAAAACTAGTGAGGACTGTTTGTTGTCTATTGTGAATAACGACGACTAGCGAATGAAGAAGAGTGTACTTACACTGAAAAGTTTACCATTTTAGAATTTTTCGACCCGATGATAATCGGATCCGGATCCGACCCTTCAGCAGATCTGCGCAAGTTTTCATCCATTTGCGTGTCTCTCTTTCAATGGCTCAAAATTTAAATCTCTCTCTCTCTCTCTCGTTTGTGCGTTTCTTCTTCCCAATTCGTCTGTACGTGCTTTCTTACCGGTTACCTGAAAATCTTCGATTCTCGAACGAAGAGCTTCTTCTCTGATCTAAGAAACCCTGGTAATGGCGGCGTATAGAGCTGACGACGATTACGATTTCCTCTACAAGGTGGTATTGATCGGAGATTCCGGTGTCGGTAAATCTAACCTCCTCTCTCGATTCACGCGCAACGAATTCAGCCTCGAGTCTAAATCCACCATCGGTGTCGAATTCGCCACCCGAAGCATTCGTGTCGATGAAAAAATCGTCAAGGCTCAGATTTGGGACACCGCCGGTCAGGAGAGGTATATATATACATATATTATAATTTCCCAGAGAATTAATTAATCTACGACCCTTCCCTTCCTCCAATTCGAATTTTTTTTTGATGATTTTGTTTACATTTGGTGGCGAGAATTTGTATTTTTCCTGACGTTCATGAATCTGAAGAAATCAAATGATTGATTTTGTAGAATTTCAAGTGTAGAATCTCAAGAACTAAATTATTGATTTTTGTGATGGAAGATACCGAGCAATCACAAGCGCATACTATCGAGGAGCCGTAGGAGCTTTGCTTGTCTACGATGTTACACGGCACGTCACGTTCGAGAACATTGAGAGATGGCTCAAGGAGCTTAGAGACCACACAGACGCCAACATCGTCATCATGCTTGTTGGGAACAAGGCAGATCTGCGTCACCTTAGAGCTATTTCAACGGAAGACGCCAAAGCCTTTGCAGAGAGAGAGAACACTTTCTTCATGGAGACTTCTGCACTCGAAGCACTCAACGTTGAGAATGCTTTCACCGAAGTGCTCTCTCAAATATACCGGGTCGCAAGCAAGAAAGCGCTTGATATCGGAGACGATCCAGCTACTCTCCCTAAAGGAAAGACCATCAATGTCGGGTCCAAGGACGATGTCTCTGAGGTCAAGAAGGTCGGATGCTGCTCAAGTTGATCCCGATCCTCTCCAGTAACATTTTCTTTCTTGGTTTCTTAGGGAAACTATTTAGTTTGATTTTTCAATGGAAGATGATATACATGTTTTCCTTTTGCTGCTTCTCTTTGGTGTAAGTTTCTCAGATCCTTATAATGGTTTAGATATTTTTTTTACACAATTGTATTCGACCATCTCTATTGGACAAAGAAAGGTCATGCAGTTGAAGAGGGCAAAAGAAACTTCATAAGGGCAACCAAATGTACAAAGAACCAAATAAGCCTGTACAGTTTTCTTAGTCACTAAGCCAATCTCAGCTTTGGACTATCACACAAATTATGTAACATAAGTACAAATGTACAGAGCTTGGGGCTGAAACTTACCCTGACTCTGTTTCTCTTATAAAACCTATTATAGATAAAAAGCACATCGAAAAAATAAAACCCTTTTCCGCGGTAACATCTCTTAGGTTGAATCTGCAACAACCTCTTCTCCTCTACTTAAACGTATCTTCTTCTTCTCTGTTGCCAGTGCCTCTGATTTACAGATTGGACAAACGTTCTTGATAACCAACCACTTCTTCAAGCATTCTGCATGGTACTCGTGCTTGCAATCCAGCGTTGCGATCTTATCTTTGTTCTTGTAGTTTTCCTGTAAAAAAAACGAGATTTTTTACTACTGCTAAGACGAGTGTGTGTGAATCTTTGCGTAAGCTTGGAGGATGCAGTCTCAAGATTTTACTAGCTTTACCTGGCATATAGTGCAAGAATCGGTTTCTCGATCGGTTGATGGAGCTTCTTCTGTGTTGATTCTGGTCGATAAAGAGGTTCTTCTTTTCAGAAGGTCTTTAACTTCTTCTTCTGACAAGCCAGTCTTCACAGTTCCAATCTCGTCACTCAAAGCAAGAAGCTCCTGCGCCACCCGGGTTTTGAATGTTTTAAGATGAAGAAAAAAAAAATTTGAAACCTCATCTATGTGGTTAAGAGCAACTGTGGATTCACCTCATATGACATGTCCTCTATGTCCAACCGCATGTCTTGATGATGATCGAAATAATTTACATCATCGTAGAAGTCTTCTCCCCCCAATAACGCAGCTTCCTACACATATATTAACAGACAAAAACAAAAAATCAAATATTGGAGAGCAGACACTCTCCTGAACAAACTGACATTAAAGAGTGAAAAATGTGCTCAGAGGATATTACGTTCGCGGATATTCCTCTAAAGTGAGGCGGTCCATGGTGTCTAAGGGTCGCTGCAGGTGCTAAATCATATTGGGGATGTTGCTGGTTTATTCTAAACCCCACATGACCGTATGAAGCATCATGCATAGTCTCGGGAACAGCGTATGAGGCTGGAGCCATGTGATGGTATACGTTGGGAGGAGGAGGTACTGGATGATGGCTTACATAGTTGTGCCCAGGGTAGACATTACCAGAGTCTATGGAGCCAGTAACACCGTTACCTAAGAGAGATCATTCAAGAAGAAGAATAAGATTTTCACAAAGTCTCAATGCTGAGAGTTAAGGATAGTACCATGCATATAAGGTCCAGAGGGTGGTTGGGACCAATGCGAAGACGATCCATCAGATCTGTTGCTGCCATTACAATGCTGGTCATACCAGATTGTTGCAGGAGGTGGAAAAGGATGAGCTGCATAGTTTCCTTGAATGAAACTGTTGTGACCATGAGAGACTGTAGCTGCTCCTGCCCTGTTCCTCACACTTCTCTGGTCTAGTGGTTGTGGATAATTACCAAACTGTGGGAACGAGGAAGGTGCTGTCTCCGGGTAAGAACAAGGAGCTGCTGCAGCAGTGTTTAGATACAGAGCATTTCTTGGTATTACTTCAGCACTCTTTCTTTTGTAACCGTGACCCATCATAAAATGAGCAATCCTCTCCTGTTCAGCGAACGAAACTCCGTGAGGTAAAAGCTGGCTCGGTGGAGCTTGAAAAGCCGGATAAGGGAGATAGTAATTCGGCGCGCCCGACATGTCAGGACCAAGATTTGAAGCATCTTGGTGATGGTACTGTGGATGCCCGTAAAACATTGAGTTGTTGTTATAGGGTTCTTGCAGAGAATGTGCTTCGAAATTAGGAACAGCGTTCACAGGTGGGATATCTGGATACGGAAAACAAGGTTCAGGATAGAGGACAAAGCTTTGAGGATTCTGCTCCATGTCCAAACCAGTCATCCTATTTCTTTGACTCATATCACTAGTTGCAGAAACTCCCTGTTACAATAGTGTTGGATTTTAGATAGATTAGCACAGAAAGATGGCAAAAGCTCGAATGCTCTTACATCGCAAGCTGATTCTAGCTAGTGTTTTTCAATGAGCGTATCAAACTTTTTCTGTAACTAGCAATGGAATCAAAACCTGCAAAAAGGACATATTCTGCCCCTTTGTGCCGAGATTTCGAGAAGGCAAACACACGCAAAGTCTCAAAACGCCCCTTAACATTTTTCGTCATAATCACAAGTTAACCTCAGAAAGCACATTGAACATTCAAGCTTCACCAATACATTGTAAAGCACGAAATCTTAGCAAAACCCAATTCAGAAAGCAAGACATGTCTTACCAAAATTAGATCAAACCCCTCATTCACAAAATATAATAGTATGAAAATTTAAAGCAATGTACACAATTCTTGTTAAAGTAAACAATCCTGATCTTGCTAACATTAAAATAGCTTCCAAATTCAGCAACAACAAACTACTTGTAATTCAGATTAACAGCCTAGACGATCAGAACAGATGAACCACAGATTCCGACTAAACCCAGAACAATGCAATTCTCAGCAGCTCGTATGAAAAACAATTTCAAAGATGATCAGCAAAACTAAACCAACCAAATATCAAGGTTTTTCCGGGGCCCAAACGACCATAGACTCAGAATAAAAAGCTCGAGAATCCGATTATCGTGATGGTTTAAAGAGATAAGTACCTGAGAATCGAGGATTACGAGATCCCGAGAGAGAAGAGGTAGAGGAGGAAGACGTCGGTTTTCTGGTTTCTAATTTCTTTCCTCACGGTGACGGAAGGTTTTTTATTTGTTGCTCTTCTCCGCAAGTTTCTTTTTTTTTCCTTATGCTTATCTTTTCTTTTTCCTTTTCAAAAAATAATTAATTACTTTTTTTTCATTGGTTATCTTGGGCTTTCTTGACAGCAATGCTAATTAAGAATAATTGATATCCTAATTATGAGGACGACGTCGTAAAAAGGATTGGAATTTTTATTTATTGCTTTGATTAATTAACACAATCTTTTGATTTCCCATCTAATTACTACCTTTAATACGTAACAGAATCGCTTTGGTCTTGTAACAAAGCAGGTGCCATTGAGTTTAGGACAAAGAAAAGAAGCATCTTTGTTGGCAACCATTAATGAAGTCATGTGCTTGCTTCTACTCTTGTAATAAGTAACAAACAATTTTGTAAATTCTTACACAACCGTGTTTAATTTTCATTAACTTCTTTTACGGTGGTTAAAAGTTAGGCAAAAACTAATGAAATAAGTCAATGGCTATGAGTATTACTGCCTAACAACTGAAACAGAAAAAGGTTATGTAGAAGACAATCACAATTATTTAATATACTCCATTAACTACTTTTACAAATTTTCTTTTAAAATGTAAGTGTTTCAAACCGATACAACTATACCCAAACATTTTTAAAACACCAGCAGATATTGGGTCTGACTGGTATGTCAGATGAATAACAGAATAGCGGAATAATTGAAAAATTATTAGCAGAATGAATTGAACTGAATAATATTTTAGCTGAATAATTGTGAAACGCTGAAAAGCTATTTTTAGTAGAATAATCACGTTTTGTTTTTTTTTTAGTTATATTTTCAACACGTTAGTGGAATCACGTTTCAAAAACAACAAAAAAACGTGAAAACGTGATGAATAACATGAATAGTAAAAAATAACAGAATCAAGTTTCCAAAACGTGAAAACGTGAAAAAACTGCATACTATTCAAACTCATTATTTATTAATGTGTCATATTCATCTGTCATAGTTTTTGTTGTTGTTGTGATGGAACACAATTGAATCCGAGGAGGCAAGTAACCTTAATATGATGCGAATATATTTATAGGGAGGTGCCTCCCATGTGCTTGTTTTGGTTGAACCACCATGTCACCTAATTATGCCCAATTAATAATTTCAATTTCTGTTAATGTTAAAGAAGGAACACTATAAAAAAATAAAAATGCAGCCATGTCTTCCTACCTTTTATAAGCTAAAAATCACGATTTAATAATACATGTTTCTCTGATCATTACCAAAATCTCTAATCAAAGCCCAATTAATAATTTCAATTAACCAATTAATAATTTCAATTTCTGTTAATGTTAAAGAAGGAACACTATAAAAAAATAAAAATGCAGCCATGTCTTCCTATCTTTTATAAGCTAAAAATCACGATTTAATAATACATATTTCTCTGATCATTACCAAAATTTATAATCAAAGCGAGAAGCCTAAGAACATCTACAATAGAGAAATTTGATAAAACTTTAAAGAAAAAAAGAAAAGGAAAAAAAAAAGAAAAATGATGTGGTAGAAACTGAAATGGAGAATCGTTGTGGTGAAAGGACCGCCTCTCCTGTGATGTGTGGCATAATCTGATTTGCCAAATTTTTTTTTTTTATTATTATTTTTTTTTTAAAAACAATTTTTTTTATATAAAAAAAATGTTAAGAATCTCCTTTCAGCATCTCTCCAATGTTGATGCTGTAACGTTGTGAAAATTGTAATTAGACGGTTGGGTTTGTATAACGTTTGTTAAACCAACCATTACCAAACGGAGTCGTTTATGCAAATTAAACGACACCGTTTTGAATAGGTCTTAAAACCTTAGTCGTTGAGCCGCTTCATCGTGTTTTTATTTTTCCCAAACGACCGCTGAACGAAGAAGATGAGTTCTGATCTGAAGAGGAAGCAGAAGAAGATAAACCCTAAACCCGTTCAGTTAAATCCTAATTGGTCACTCCTCCAACAAGTTAGTCTCTTTCTTTCTCTTAAGCTCCAGACTTTGCTCAACCATTGGTTTTTTTTTTTTTATGGCTATCGTCATTGTCCTTGCAGAAGCTGAAATCTGATTCTCATAGCTCGGGCAGTCGAAAATCGTCGAACAATGGCAACCCAGAAAACCCGAGCTCCGTATTAGGTAGCATTTGAACCTTAAAATTCAAACTTGATGTTTGGGTTTCGGAGTTTATAGACAATGGTTTGGGTTTCTCAGTAGTTTTAACTTAACTCAGCAAATTTGTAGGGAAGCGGAAGGAGAGGCCCGATTCAGAGGAGGATGTTCCTAAGATTAATCCCTTAACTCCGGTTAATGACGATTCCAGGTGGGTCTTGTTTGCTGTTTGGCTCTGTAGACTTTCTCTCACTAAATGCTTTTAGTTGCTAGATGATGACGAACTAGCTGAGCCTGAGAGATACTCAATGTAATTGAGAACATTTTATACCATTAATATCATAAAATTTACATGTTCCTGCTCTTAGAAATTAGGGGTTTGTTGAACTATAGGTTTCTTTGTTTACTCGGATTATGTACATACATTTTGGTTATAAGCTAAAGTCTTGCTCATCTTGTAATTATTGTGAATGTTGGTCGTCGTGGAATTGACTTAGGCTGATTAAAACGGTGTTGAGAAATTGCTGTAAGCAAAAAAAAAGAAATGATCTTGCTAATATGTATCTTTCTTTGAGCAATCTGTATATCGAATCTTACCAACGTGTGGGTAGTTTGACAGATGAAGTGGCTATGGACTGTGAAATGGTTGGTGTCAGTCAAGGAACCAAAAGCGCCCTTGGACGAGTTACCTTGGTATACATTGCTTTCCCAAGTATTTTATTTTTTTGTTTGTTATGATAAATAATACAAACATTCCGATTTAGTTCAGCTCTGAGCCATTGAATAGCGAGTTTGTGTCATTTCACAATGGCTTTATTCTCTTAATCCATATGCTTGAGGAGTATGTATGTCCGTCTCTTCTTTTGCATGAATGTCACTGATAGTTTCACTATGTTATATTGACAGGTAAATAAATGGGGAAATGTTATATACGATGTGTTTGTCCGTCCAGTAGAACGTGTTGTTGACTTTCGAACACATATTAGTGGGATTCGACCTCGAGATTTAAGAAAAGGTTAGTGTCTTATTTCTTGAATCTGTCATCATTCTTGACCTTTGTTCCCTCCGAAAATTGAGGCTTGCAATTAATTGGAACACCTGCCAAAAGGTTTGGAGATTTGATCCATTATTTCATTTTAACCTTCAGCCAAAGATTTCCGAGTTGCTCAGACAAAAGTAGCGGAGTTGATAAAGGGAAAGATTCTCGTGGGACACGCCTTGCACAACGATCTTAAGGTCTGCAGGTTTCACAAATCTGGAATCTGATTACATTGCAGATACAGACTTTTAACAAAATAGACTTTTACAACAGGTTTTGCTACTAACTCACCCGAAAAAGGACATAAGGGACACAGCAGAGTATCAGCCCTTTCTCAAGTACTCACACTTCAACAACCCCTCTTTTTTTCTTTTGTCTGACTGCTTCTTGTCGCTCTTTCGTCCAATTCTAAATGAGCCCACCTGTGATCTTTCAAACAGGGACAAAACCAGAAAGTCTCTGAAACATCTTGCCGCTGAGTTTCTAGGGGCCGACATTCAGAATGGAGAGCACTGTCCTGTAAGTGTGTGCATTTTGAAGAACAAACAAACATCTTTGATTCCCTTTATCCATGTTTCGGATCTGCAATACTAAACTTTTTTTTTTTTCATGGCAGATTGACGATGCACGAGCTGCGATGATGCTTTATCAGAAGAACAGAAGAGAGTGGGAGAGGAATGTGAAAGACCAAATACGGATGAGGCTGAAACAAAAGAAGCGTAAGCCTAAGAAGAAGGCTTCCACCCATCACACCCAAGTTGTTTGAATCAATCGAGCGAGAGAGCAAAAAACTGATTGAACCGTAACCAAAGAATCGCTTAAAAGTTTTGTTCGTCTTTTCTTTTTCTTCCATTTTTGTTGCTTCTTAGTTCTTAGCATCAGTTCCCCAAATGTGCTATCTTGTTGTATCACAATGTTATACCACAAAAGCCTATGCATTAGATTACTCTTTTCAAAAGCCTAAGGTTTTCCGGTTCGGTTTTGTCCAATCCTGATTAGGTTTGGGAAACTTTTGATCATCGTAGAAATCAAAACCTCTACGTCACATCACATGTAGTGCACTTGGCTGCTAGCTGAATTTAACTTGGATCATATGAAGGAACAAAAAGATGAGTTTAATTCAGTATATGCATAATATGTTGATCGAAGTATTACAGTTTGGTTCGCTGTATGCATAATTACGAAATGGGTTTTTCACTGTTCTTATAAGCTTCGTTCCTCTGATTTTAGCTCAATTATCAGAATTCACGCATTGAGCTGACAAGGTTAACCAAGTTTCTGGTCGAATCGATTCGGTTTGTTCCAAACCGGTTGATCAAAAGCTAGAGGTTGCATGTACAGTCAAGTAAACAAACCCGCTCTGCGGACGCAAATGCTGCCACGTCTTTATTTTCCGTTTCTGTGTGAAAAATAAAACCTAAAAGGCTAAAAATAGAAGACGCAGATTTTTGCATCAACGAGGAAAAAAGACTGAGTGAAATTGATTTCATAGTCGACGGAGAAATGCGAGTGATGAGATCATTGCGCCGTAATCCTGGTGCCGGGTTGGTTTTCCGGCCGGAGAGGCTGAGCTCTCTTCGGAGCATCTTTACCGGTTGCCGTGCTGTGATGCTGCCTCGCTTTGGCGGTCCGGAGGTTTTGGAGCTCCGGGAGAATGTTCCGGTGCCGAATCTTAATCCGAATGAGGTTCTCGTCCGGGCGAAAGCTGTCTCCGTCAACCCTCTTGATTCCAGAGTGAGTGTAGTCTGCTTGATCCGCTCTGATTTCATTTGTTCAGTGGCATTGGATTTAAATCGGAGATTGCGTTAATTAGGAATTAGGATTCGCGTGATCGGTTAGCTTGGATCTCGTACGTATGTTCTAGGAGTAAGTTATCATCGTTTAGAAATTCATCTTTGTAGCAAAATCTCGTCTTTGGTACTCGCAATAAGAGCAGTGAGATTGATTTGTATGATATGTTTATATGAGGTAAAAAATGTGAATGATTTCAGATACGAGCAGGATATGGGCGTTCTGTATTCGAACCACATCTTCCTATTATAATTGGACGCGATGTCAGTGGCGAAGTTGCAGCAATTGGGAATTCAGTGAAGTCGTTTAAAGTAGGGCAAGAAGTTTTTGGTGCATTGCATCCCACGGCGTTAAGAGGTACTTACACTGATTACGCAATTCTTTCGGATGAAGAGCTCACTGAAAAGCCATCCTCAGTTTCTCATGTGGTAAGTAGGAAGAGTTCGATATGCCCTTTAACCTCTCTCTCTTTGGTTTATTTGATTTTATTTGGTTAAGTGTTTCTTAGCTATTCTCTTTGTCTGGCTCTTGTAGGAGGCAAGTGCCATTCCTTTTGCAGCCTTGACTGCTTGGCGTGCTTTGAAGAGTAATGCTCGGATAATCGAAGGGTATGGTTTTTTGAGAGATACTATAAATTGTCTGCTACTATGGGCTCAACAGCGTCTTCTTAAAACCTTTTTTTTCTTTGCAGACAAAGACTATTAGTTTTTGGAGGAGGGGGAGCAGTAGGGTTTGCTGCAATCCAGCTTGCTGTAGCCTCTGGGTGTCATGTTACGGCATCTTGCGTCGGGGAGACCAAAGATAGAATACTAGCAGCTGGTGCCGAGCAAGCTGTTGACTACACAACCGAGGTAGTGACACAATCTGTTTATTTATCTGCTGATCCAAAGTAGAGCCATGAACATGGACTTGTTTCATGTACAGGACATTGAGGTGGCGGTAAAAGGAAAGTTTGACGCCGTGTTGGATACTATTGGCCGGCCTGAAACCGAGAGAATAGGCATAAACTTCTTGAGGAAGGGTGGAAACTATATGACTCTCCAGGTATATGACATTTCTTGTGTTTCTACTTTACAAGCTACAGTTGACCGTAGTTGTTTAGATCTTGGGTTTTGCTTAATCTTCTTCTCTTTCATGAAGGGTGAGGCTGCTTCATTGACTGATAGATATGGTTTTGTGATTGGGCTTCCGCTTGCAACTTCACTCTTGGCGAAGAAAAAGATACAATATCAGTATTCTCATGGAATAGGTATATGATAGATCTCTCTCTCTCTCTGCAGTACACTCTCTTCAGCTTTGCAGGAACCATTCTGATAATAAGACCTGTCTCATTGAGCTTTTTAGCGGGAAAGTAAAGATTAATTTGATAAAATCTGACTTTGATCAACTGAAATATAAAAACAGACTATTGGTGGACGTACATGAGGGCTGATCCTGAAGGTCTGGCCGAGATTCAGCGGTTGGTTGGAGCCGGAAAGCTAAAGATACCAGTGGAAAAAACATTTCCGATAACCGAAGTTGTAGCAGCTCATGAAGCCAAGGAGAAGAAGCAGATTCCGGGTAAGGTGGTTCTAGAGCTATGAGCTACTATATATAGAGAGAGTAACAATAATAATACCTGCAGAGCTCCCTAGCAGATGTTCTTTTTAGAAATTACACGCAGGAGAAACAAATGTTTTTGCGTCTGGGGTTTTCTGTAAATGAGATCTATCAGGCTTAGATTAAGATCAAAAACTTGAAGTTTCTGTATAGACATTCCAAAGGTTTGTTTTTATTTGGACGTTCGTCTTTGTTGCAACTTGCAGTAAACCAACTAGGCCGAGTAATGAAAATGGTTTAGAAGCTTTTTTTTTTTCTCGTTGTCTCATCTATTATAAGAATCTCAATACAACATATATGAATTTGATTACTCGCACCATAAATAAAAAATCACATACTGTATAATATGTGGGATTTTGATGTTGTAGATTATCACACACAATAATTTGTAGTCGGAGACTTAATCCCCCAAATCGAAGGTGTTAATATATAAAATCATAATATAACTTCGATCGGTTAAAAATCATAATATAACTTCGATCGTAATTGCTAACTGTGCTGTGCGACGCATGGCTAAAGTTGATCTCACATGATCAAACAAATCCAACCTCTTGGTAGTAGCATCCGTCTCTTGTTTTTAGTTACTTGATTAAATATAAAAATATGTTTAAAGACCATAATAAATTAATTAAAAGGTCTCAAAGTGACATTAAAAGCATAACATGGCAGAGTTAAACAGCTTATTAAATGTATGTTTTGTCTGGTTCTCATCCTTTAATGGTCGTCTAGTCAAACTCCTCTCTCCTCTGCCAGATCAGCAAACAACTTCATTTTTTTCCTTACGCGCCACTCTGCGCGTGTTATTCAACCTAGTAAACTTATCAGTAGGACCGGAACATTCTATTTGCTATTTTGCTTCCAAGTCTTGGAAACTTTTAAAGGCTCTGGTAAATGTTATTGCTAAGTCAGTAAAAGTCTTCGAAATCGAAACCTTTCTTCAGTATCTTCTAAATATCTAGTAATAAGATCAAATATCCCTACATACTAGTAGTATTATTTTTGGGGACCAATGAGCACATGTTTTTATATATCATCACAGTTATTGTCAGTTATATCATGTAGGTCGCTTCCAACTCTGTAATCAATTGGGCATTTATTATTTTATACATAAGATTTATATTCGTATATAACTATATTGTTTCTTTTGAAAACGGGATTGTTGTTACACCAGTCATACTAAGACATAATTGAATATTATTAATCTAGTTTATTTGGGAGTAGTATAATTCAGTTTCTACATATCATGCATGAAAAGAACTGTCTTTGTAGTTTGTACCAAACAAATATAAGATTGCGGAAGAAAGTATGCATTTAGTATTTACTATATATGGTTAAGAGAAGCAATTCTTTTATCAGAAAAAAATAATAATAAGTAAAAGTAGAAGACGTTATTAAAAGCATGTTAATGCAATGTTATGGTTTGTAGAGTGGTCCTTTGGTCTTTTAATGGTCTGGTCAAACTCCTTTCTTCTCTGTGATGACTGCCACATCACCCACACATCTTCCTCCAGTTTCTGTTTATTGTGACCGTTATACTTCGCGGCTCATTATGCAGCTCACGCGCGTGTTTTCTCACTCCATTTTATCCGATTTTAATGCTCATGCATCTTTATATGTAACTGGATCAATTGAATGCAAATTTAAAGTATCATATTATTTGTACATGGAAATGCGTACTTTATAACATCATGAAGTTTTAGTTTTTTGGTTCTTACAAATAATTTGATTAGAAGTCTTTTTATTTATTTATCAAAGTTGTGTTTATCAGGGGAAGCTCGAATTCAAGTATGATAGTCTTTCAAGTAATAACACGTATTTATCTTAGATGAGCTAAAAAGTCTCCATCTGATCAGTGATTTCGTATCTATTGATAAAATGCAATTTAACTTTACGAGTAATAAATACATAGAAACATATTTGTATGAGTTTTCTCTCTGATGAAATGATTATCTTCTTGCTTTATAAACTGAATTGTTTATGAGCCTCTAATTATTTGATAACATCACAATACTCCAACTCGGAACAACATAAATGTTAAAGAGGCGAGTGGGTCCGACTGCTTAAGTGCTAGAAAAAGCGACACGACGTGCCCTTAATTTCATGCATCCAAAAGAAAGAAAGTTGAGCGAGAGAGAACTTCACGAGAAGAAAACTCACAAATCATACCAGTATGATATATTAGATTAAATTTTTTAAAAAGAAAGATATTAGCTTAAATATAAAATGTATTATAGCTAAAATACGAAAATCAACGGCCATATTCATTACCTCATCTCTCGGTAGTCCGATCACGTGCAGACTTTTGGGTTCTATGATGCTTTAATTTTTTTATTAATATTATCTCTGTTGCTATTATTTGTCTTCCACCGTATGTAGCCCAAACCATGTGACTAGGATTTCCGGTCTACTGTTTTTATCATTATGAAAAAGAAAAAAGAAAGGCGATGGTCCCTTAATTGGGTTTTAGAAAAAATTGAATAAGAGCTTCTTTTTTTTTTAACTTATTTCACTCTCTCCACCTTTCATTATTGTTTGGTTATTTTCCCCTTCTGTAATCCCAAATGCTTGGTCCTGAGATGAGGAAATCGCTAAATCTCAATCGTTACTAAAATTGCTATAATTTTGAGCCAGAAAGTTTCTGAATGATCCGATAGACATGAACACTTGATATTCCTAATGCATTAACAATAATGTCACAGCATCGAAAAGGTTTCCTAGAACAAACATACATGTTTTTTTTTTTTTTTGGGCAAACATACATGCTTTGATATATTAAAAAATGAAGGACATATGTATCTTCTTGCCAAGATCCATTTTAATATCCAGAACTTGGGAATAGATCCGAACATCTCTAACCACCCGTACCAATCAATGTACTGTCTACAAATCAATATGCAAATTAAAAACGATGAGAATTTTTTTTTCTTTTTCTGCAACTGTATGTATTCATGAGTGGATTGAACTATAATCACTTTGATAAAATCCATAACACTAGATGACAAAAAGCTGTTTTTTTCATATATATTTACACATTACAATTTGCAGCCAAATTAGTTGTGGCTATATTCTACTGTTTATTGAATGTTATATTTATAAATTATACGTAATTATGTTTGTAGTATTCGCAACTTTTCCAACGTCCAATGGTGATAAATCAACATCCAATATCCCTTCCATGTATACATACGTATGATATATCAATCAAAATAGACAACGAAAACACTTGGTCCATGGGGTCCAATAAACTAGTTACAGAAAAAAAAATATCCTAAGCTTTTGAATTTCACAAAAAAGGTGATATCTTTTCAAAATAAAAGTGTGATATTATTTTAAATTTTCACCAAAATCCAAAAGCTCAAAAAAGAGAAGAAGGCTATACTAAAACAATACATGCAAATACACAAGAGACATGCGTGTCTGAGTGTTTGTGTTTTTGGGAAAGGCAATACCTTTAGTGTGCACATGTGTGTATCCACAGTCCACAGACGTACGACGAACCCTTTAACTCATTTCACTCTCATGGGCCACACTCTCTCACACCCTTTCACTCCTCACAAATTACTAACTTACCCTTTCACTGCCATTTAATCTATAAACACAACTTGATTTTTGATTAGTCAAAGCCGATTAGTGAGATTAAGGAAGAACGAATCTTTCTAAAATCAGATCGAGGGGTAGTTTTGTCATTGCCAACGGGACCCCTAAGTCTCTCGATTCCGTTACACACTCGAAAACAGATACTACTATACTATCTATCTCCAATGGCGATAGCTACTTCTTCACTCACACAGTAAAAAAAATAAAAAATAAAAAAGAACCAGAGAAAACACAAAGATAACAATGGCGGAAACTGAGAGACCCCACCGTTCTTCAAGTATTAACAGCAGCAACACAACGAATGCTTCTTCTACCGATCTATTCATTTGTTTCACCTCTCGTTTCTCTTCTTCTTCTTCCATGCGTCTCTCTTCCCTCAGCCCCGCTCGCTCCGCCTGTCTCACCACTTCTCTCAGCCGTCGTCTCCGTACGAGCGGCAGCTTGAAGAACGCTTCCGCCGGAGTTCTTAACTCGCCCATGTTTGGTGCTAACGGGCGGAAGAGATCTGGATCTGGTTACGAGAATAGTAACATCGAGCCGTCGTCTCCGAAGGTGACGTGTATCGGTCAGGTTCGGGTGAAGACTAGGAAGCATGTGAAGAAGAAGATGAGAGCGAGATCTAGGAGGAAAGGTGAGACGAGTTTCAGGAGATCCTTAAGCGACCAAAACGACGGAGGAGGATGCCGTTTCGACGCGACTGAGAACCGGTGGGTGCATCTTCCGGTGGCTATCTGCGAGTCGCTGAGATCGTTCGGCTCTGAGCTCAACTGCTTCTTCCCCTGTAGATCCTCCTGTACGGACAATAGCCATCACAACAGAGATCGAGTTGAGAATAACGACGGCGGGTGCGGCGGCGGAAACTCCTGTGGTGCGGTTTTCACGAGGTGGTTTGTGGCGGTGGAGGAGACCGGAGGGAAGAGGAGGGAGATTGAGCTTGTTGTTGGCGGAGAAGACGACGCGGAGGAGGATAGGAGGAGGAGTCGCCGGAGACACGTTTTCGAGGGACTCGATTTGAGCGAGATAGAGATGAAGCCGGAGAAGAAAGAGAGAGAAGAAGTTGGGAGGATCAGCATCTGTTCTCCGCCGAAGAACGCTTTACTGTTGATGCGGTGTAGATCTGATCCGGTTAAGGTGGCGGCGCTAGCTAACCGGGTTCGAGAAAGGCAGTTATCACTCAACGACGGCGCACAAGGAGGAGACAAGGAGGAAGATGAAGAGAGAAGAAGAAGGTTTGAGCTGGATTTGGAAGATAAGAAACGGATCGAGTTATGTGAGAAATGGATTTCCGGCGAGACTACAGTGGAGAGAGAAGTCGTAGTTCCACCTACAGAAGCAGAAGTTCCTCTAGCTTCAAATCCAGCGAAAGAGGAAGAAACAGTCCAAGTTTTAGAAGATTCGGCCGTGGAAGCAGAAGAAGAAGAAGAAGAAGCTTCGGAAATCCAGGAGGAGGCAGATTTGTTTGAGGAACAAATTGAAGCCACGATCATTAAAAACATCGAAGACGATATCAGAAACGCCATAGAAGAAGAGCATATGGAGGAGATGGAAGAATTAGCGGCGGTGGCTAAGGCGGAGGAAGATGAAGAAAGCAACTCCGTAACCCCAAACGTAGAAAGGTCCGAGCAAGGAAACCGAGAACCCGACCCGAGTCCGGAAGTGGTGATGAGAGGATGTCAACAGGAGGAGAGAGAGAAGACGACGGCGACGCCGTATAAGGTGTTACCGGATTGTCTATTGCTAATGATGTGTGAACCGAAGCTATCAATGGAAGTCTCCAAGGAGACTTGGGTCTGTAGTACAGATTTCGTCAGATGTTTACCAGGAAGACCTCCGGCGAAGAAGATACCAGAAGCTGCCGGAGATAATCATCATCATCATCAACCCAAGAAACGAATCGTCACCGCCGTTGATTCCAACGCATCCTCTCGCCGGCGTTCTATCGATAAACCGCCGGTCCACCAAGCGCTATTACAGCCGCCACGGTCATCGTGTTCATACCCAGCAGCTCCGCCGATAATAACGGCGGCTGCGACGGTTGGGGAGCAGAAGGTAGCCGGAGGTAACAAGGCACAAGAGCCACCAGTGCTGCCACGTTGCAAATCGGAGCCAAGAAAGTCAGCTTCGAAGCTTGCGCCGGAAGCATGTTTCTGGAAAAATCGGAAGCTTGAGCCGCACCCTCCAGCTACGGTCGGAGTCGGCGCCGCCGGAGTAGGGTTCTAGAAGAAAGGAGGAGTGGGGAATAAAAGAACTATTTGGGTGTAATAGTAATTTCAAAAATACTATTTGTCCTTGTTTGTAAATTTGTTTTTGTTAGTCATAATTCATTTCTTTCGCTAATGCCAATGCTTTCTCATGATAATCTTGTATCCTTCTTTTGTCCGTTAGTTTAATGTCTCTCTCTCTGGTAGATAAAGTCCCATCGAAACAAACAACCAAATCACTTCCCAACAAACACACATATAGTTGCAATAAATTCAAATAGACTATAATATAATTTCTATATATTTTGCTCTTGTGAATATGATATTAGTAGTATTATTATAACATGTTTCATCGTACAAATACAAAGACAGGAATTAATCACTTGAACTTTGATCCTCATTGCTTTGATTTACTTGAGTGTTGTTACCTGATGAGTCTCCTCCAGGCTCTGATGTGGCCTTTGTTTCATCATCAGAATCTTCATTGAAAGCTAGTTGGCCAGAGTAAAGGAGAAGTCCGACCGCGTTGATACCAAAAACAAATGTTGCGAGATAGCATATACCGTTGATGATAGTCCTGTAATGAAAAAAAAAACGAACAGTTTGGTCTAAGTAATTGCGAGAATTGCTTGAGGGTGAATACACAGGAGTATGTGGTCAAGCTTATAGATATACCTTACGGTCACTGTGATTTGCCTAACCTGCAAGAAATAGAAAGACACAGTCAATGAATGCATAGTGACTGCATATAGAAATCCAGAAACCATGGATTAGGCAGACTCTCCTAGTACGAAAGCAATGATCAAAAAGGGCATGTGAAAGAAGGAACACACAGAGAAATCATTAGAGAAGATATTAGAATAGGTCCTTCTCATAATGAATATAGCAATAGTTGCACACTGAATTCAGAATGGGAGAGAGAGCTTTATTCATTAACTCTGTCACTCAATTATGGGCATTTACTGATGCTTGGGACACAAGATAATGTTTACTTGCTACAAACCCCATCAAGCAAAAGCAAAGATAGGCAGAAACAGGAAGCAATGAATGATCAAAAGAGAGAAGAAACGAACCGAGAAGTTATCAGAGATAGTCTGGCGATTGAGTGCTGATTCGATGGTAAGAGTGAATTTGTAAAGAATGAGAGCAATGACTGCTGCTGAAATCGCACCCAGAAACGCTTGAGCCGCCGATGGAGTGGACTTACCACCACCTTCAATCGGAGTCGAACCCATTGCTTTCAGAGTATCCATTGCCTCTTCTTTCAACGATTTCTTTGCTCCCGTTGATCTAAACGTCTACAATTTCACATCCAAATCACACATTTGACATTTCTCCTTTCCTTATCCCGTAATTCAAGTGGAAAACTGATAAAAAAAATCCATTGGCTAATTCGGATTCTAGAAATGGTTCCTTGGTAGCTATCTTAACGAGACGAGAATTGAATATTTACCAGCTGTTTCGAGCGCTTAGCTCGCCGACGAATCGATCGAAACAGGAAGATAGTGATGGCGCCGGTAAGCATTACGCTGGTGGCCAACTGGAGAGGGGAGGGGTCATCGGAAGTGGCGAAAATGGAGTTGGTGGACGAAAACGGGGAAGAAGACGGCGGAGGAAGCTCAATGGGACCAGCTTCTTCTTCCCCCTCCACGTCCGCTACATCGGCGATTTCTTTTACGGCAGATACCCGGATTCTAACGGGTCGGATCCGGGTAAAAGCGGAGAGCGAAGAAGGGATTGGTGAGATAGAATCCGGTCGACGGTAGAGGGGGATTAGACGCGTCGTCCGGCGACGAGAGGAGGAGGAGGAAGTGGAGAAGGAGAAGAGACATTGGTGGCTCTGCAACACTAACATTTTTTTCTTAGCCGTCAAATATTTTATCTCACCGTTAACATCCTCAAATATCCTTCGTCGAAGCCTCTCTTTCGTTTAGAGTGTTCTGCTAATTTGTGAATACCATACATGTTCTTTTTTTGCTTAGTGTGAGAGTTCACTTGATTAGTTGATTGTGTTTATCCATTGATCATTTCTAACGCATTCTTCTACAGAATATAATATATTACTCCAAATTCGCTTTCGCCATCAAATCATCAGACACATTATTATGTTTTGTTTTCTTATTTTTGGTAAAATAATGGATCAAACGTCTATGAACAAAAAAGGAACTAAAGAATATGGAAATGGGTATTATTTTATTTATAGAAATCATTTGTTGTTTCAGCATTCTTGCCGAACATTACTTGCGACAGTTCGAGCCCAGAACTTGATTTGAGCTTTCATATCTCTACTCGAATCCTTTGGAACCCAAACCGGGACTGGCTGTCCAACCACCGCTGCAGACCGACTTTTCAAGGCGGCGCGTGGGACCCTCCTCTGTTCTTCATCTTCAATTTCGTGTTTCTTCACCGATTCACTAATGTCCAATTCCTTCAACATCAGAATCTCTTTCGTCTCGATGCTGCTTAACGTCTTACGCAGCGTTTTGCGGTTTGGGCTTCTTTGTGACTTGACTACCATTTCTTGAATAGCGTCTTCTGATCTCGAGTTTCTCGGCGGTCTATGCCTTGGAATGCTTGACATCTGCACAAAGTTTCTGATCAAGTTCAGAATCTCTACAACAGGAAATGTTTAACCAAATCATCTAAAAATAGGAAAGTGTAATGATAAAGAAGAGATCACCTTTGGGGTGTTCTGTTTCGTCGGAGTAAACCCAGAAGAAGAGCTTGCTATGGCTTCACGGATCAAGAATCCCATCCTTGAATCGTCGCTCTCTTGATCTTGAAACTCATTTCCATCAACTTCTCTTCCTATGTAACTCGGTAATGTCTGAGTTCTCTGCAAACTCCCTCCCATCGGGCAACTACTATTAGTTCTGTTCTTTCTTGAACCTTCTTTAGTTCGCTTTTCTCGTACCACAGGTTCCTTCTTCTGCAAGTAAGTTCTTCGTTCTTGAACCCTAATCTTCTCAGAGAACTGCCTTCTCATCTTGTTAATCTTCTCAGGCTCGCCTCCACCTTCTTTTTTCTCTGTACACGGCGGTGGAACTGGAACCGAGTCTCCCTCTGTGGGAGCTTCTAGAAGCTTCTTCTCCGAATCCGAATCTCCAATTTTTGGGAGCTCGGGTTTGGGATAAGTGGAAGAGGTAGAAGAAGAAGAAGATGAAGGAGGGGAAAAAGGGTAAGGATCTGAATGACAGTACCTCAAAGTTCTTGATCTTCTGTCAAGTAAGTTATCAAAGAACCAGAAATCTTCGAGAAGATCATCAATGGCTTCGACTTGTTCCAATTCTTGATGATTATTCGAAATAGGATCCATTTTTTTGTTTTAATTCAGACAAAAGATAACAAAAAGAGATAAGAGCTTGTGTCTTTCTTTCTGCTTCTTCTTTTGTTCGGTTTGTATTTGAAGAATAGATTCTGGAGACTTATTAGGAGGTGCCCATGTGGGCAACCATTCAGCACTTATTATTTTTAATATTGTTTTTAATGTTTTATGTGGAGTCAATTTTTTTGTTTTATTACATGGAAAAAAACGACACAGAAATCTGCGTGATAACAAAAAAGGAAATAAATGGAGACTTATTCCGGATATATCAGATCCTTTCATTTTCCAATTATTCTGATTTTGGAGTCAATATATAAATTCCAAAAAATAATATTCATCCCATTATTTTCAATCTTATTGATAAAAGTCGATTTGTTTGTTTTTCTTCTCATTCAGGACGTTCGAGAAACTAAACTGCAATTATTTGACAAATCGATAATCAAAAAGTAGTTTTGGAAAAGGAAAAAAAACAAATAATATAGTAGTGTTTAAGTGGATAAATTAAACAAAATTATAAGTATAATAATAAATTGAAAGGATTTCTGGCAACAACTAAGAAAAATAAGGCTTCAACAAAGGTATGATTGCTAAAGAAACGGCATAATAAGCCCTGTCATGACAGTCAACATGCCATGTGATTCATAAACTAATGGTATGTTACAAATTGAAGTCTATATAATAATATTACAGTTTTATTTTATATATATTCTTTGTTCTCCATCGCCTCCTACGCGACAGCTAAGAATTATAGTAACCTAATAAATACAAAGGTTTTGATAATACAAGTAAGCGATAAGTCTCGAGCTCTGAACCTAAATTAAAGTTTACTGCAGGCGGCAATAATTAACACTAATCAGCCGTAATCTTTGTTGCGTGACATGTGGCTAAGGCAGGCTAATCCGTAAAGGATAAAGAGTGAAATTAGCTGCGTACCTGAAGATTTGTAGACGAATCTGAAATCTGAGAAAAAGAATCTGCTTCTGATTACTCCTGATTAGCATTCTTTTTTCTCAGAACATAATACTCCTAATCATGAGTAATTAGCAACCAAAATAGAAATAGAGCCAAGAAACTGCTGATTTCTTTTTCTAATTTGATAATATCTGAGATAAATCTACTAGTCTGTAAGACTGTAACAACAAATAAATGGCAGAGACACCAGTTGATTTGAGTAAACAAAAGATGAAAGATACTCAAAAAGGCTTCTTCATCTCAGTTGCAATCAACTCTATGAGAGAACCAAGGCAGAAACTATCATATTTACAGTGCGGAGCGCCTTCATCTTCAGTACTTGCTGGAACCAATATTCCATCTTTGAAAACGAACAATGATGATGGCTCAAGCCAAGTCTTAGGGCTTGGATGTGTATTTGCTTCAGCTAAGCTCCCTTGCTCCTCAGCAGAATGACTGCAACATTCAGCCGAGGCAAGAAAATTACCAGGTAAGCTTTTGCAAGAACAAGTTTCCTTTTCTGAGCATTCATCACGTTCTTCAACCCCTGCTTCCTGCGTATTACCATTGTTTTTCGCAGAGATGAATTTTCTAACAGCACCGATAAGCTCCACTGATAATGAAGAAACCGCATCATGTAGACCCTCTGTTGTGATGCAACTCTTGCCAAGTCCCAATTCGCGAGTAACTAGTTTATGCATTGAATCTCGGAGGATGGAGACACACTGGGAGCAGCAACGGTACAAACACACCGAACTAGGGTCATCCAAAGGGGTGATTCTTGCGGCTGTTTCAACTTGTTTAACAGATTCAGGCATGCTGTTTGCATTGTTTTGTGAATTAGCTTTCCCTTGCAAAGCAGTGGCCGTTGCTGTAGTTTCTACCTCGCATGAGCCATGGTGAGTTTCACTCGGTTCATGGTCAGCTGCAGGAGAGTTAAGATCAAGGAGAACAGCCTGCCCAAAGGAAACTACTCCTGAATCATCCATCATCATTGCAGAATTCGAAGTATCATCACCATTCTCTTTGATCAAAGTTAAGCCCTCCGTACTATGGGCTGTAAGAGGATTAGTATCATCAAGAAAGGGTTCATGATTTGTTCCAGTATGACCATTTGCGATCTCTACAACTGGCTGATGATTGTCGGCAAGATTAGAAGATGCTATAGGGTCTGGACAATTCATGTTTTGGGTATTTACTTTCGGGTCTTCTTCGGACCCTTTTGCTCGATCAGATGTTCCTTGCTCAGTTGGCTCATTCCTCACTGATGGATTCGTCAACTCTGTTTGAGCATTCAATTCAAAACTGTAAACAATGAAATTGTGTTAGATATGCAGCAAGCTTTAGAACAAACATACATAAAACAAAATATTTGAAGGGGTACCTTCGCATTGCATATACCCAACTATTAACTAGATCCTCCAGATAAGCAACTTGAGACAAAATTCGGATGTATAGACATCTGTCCTTTCCAGCATCGATTTTCACATTGATCCGCCCAACTAAGAGCTCGAGAACTTTCCGTACCTCAAAGGAGACTTCCCTCAGCGATATATAAGTTCCTCTATACGCTGATAATCCAACAGCAGTTAGGCCTGTGACAAGACCAGATGAATCTTTGCCTTTAACATTGTTGGAACCGGAAGCATTCATAGTCTGCTCAGATGAATTACAGGGACGAATGATACACGAATTAAACGGCCATCCTCTCCACGGGCCTGAAACATCTGCACTTGGCCCTTCCTTAAGCTTTGATGTCACCCAACAAAGCTCAGCAAATTGAGGATACCGTAGAATTTGATAACCAAATGTAGAAATAGCTATCTGCAGGCTTGATTTCGCTTTAACATGTATGCTGGTAGCTAATGGTGGCACTTTTAAAGAACCATCATCAGGAGGTTTTGATTTAACACCTACTTCTTCCCCTGCGCCATGATCCGTACTATTCTGATAAGCTCCATCTCTGCAACCCTGTTCAGGATCCTCACTTTTGTATTTCTTCTGCAAGTCATTGCGAGTATGGGTTCCTTGATGCACCAAATGGAGAAACACTTGGATTGCGCGCCTTGACAACTCAGTAGCAGACAGATCAATGGCCATGTCCTGGTCAGAATTTTCAACAACTTGAACAGTGAATTGTGGAACAGCCTCGGACATAGTTGGCTGATACTCATTTGATAGGTCGGTCTTAAAAAACTGTTGAATCTTAGGAGGCAGGAGTTTGTAGGGAATGCCAGAAGTAGCCTATCACCAAATAATAAACAATTTTAGTCTCAAGTGTTGACAGTCTTCTCAGAGACTGCTAACAGGGAATACAAAGATTTGGAATAGCAGAGTACACAAAACAAAGGCTTAATATTTTTGTGAAGGGTAATGTAAGAGTTAGTACACAAAACTGTCCAGAGCCCATTAACAACTACCGAAACAAGCATAATATATTGGAGAAAAAAACATTAAGGAAGTTACGCATACCAAAATCATCATCTTTGTAGAAACTCGTAATGACTCTACTTGCTCAAAAAATGTGTTCCAGGCATGAGAAACTCGAGTAGAATTCTGCAACTCCATGTTAGAAGAATTCTCATTTGCAGAATCATCATCACACTCGACCTCCTCACTCAGTGGAGTTTCTGTTTCTACAGCCCACAAGTCAATCCTTGGCATGAATACCACACATGATTTCCTGCTAGAACATTTAACTACAAACCGGGCAGATAAACCAGTTAGAAAGTTATCTGGAACCAAGCAAATAAAAAAGTTCCAGATGACAAAAGACTACAAGAAAAAAATGTATGTAGCTGCCTAGATGTCATCATCGGGGAATATGTAAGAGTATGAAAAGTTTAATAACGAAAGACGTACTTAATAAGTGAGTTATGCCTAGCACCAGATCCCCATTTCCTTCTTGTGAAATTGTTGCCGTGTCTATCTTCTGCATCTCTGCATTTCCAATAAAACAATGCAAGATACATGAAGCAAGATGTCGTTGACCAGATTTAGGTCCTCCAGCAATAAGCAATTGGAACCCTGACTTGCTCACTGATTCCAGAGGAGTATTCCCCAAAGCAGGGTGTCGGCAGACTCTGTGTGCCATAAATTGTGAAGAACCCAAACTACAGTCGTCAGCACCAGGGGTGCTTGAAACAGATCTAGCCAAGTCACATCCTCCATCCAGTATCCCAGCATAAGAAAGCCCCTGAACTATATCCTTCACCACATCTACCTCCTGGAAAAGGCTCTCAACATGAGACCACCAGTAACCCTCAGTTATATTCCTGTCGCTCAAAGCAGAACGGATCACATTTTGGAAATCAACCGCAGCTTTGGAAAGAAGAGGTGGTAGCACGATGCGCTCTTCGAGATGAAAAGCAACAAGTAAAGAACACAGTGGTGGTAATAAAGAAGGCGCCAAGTAAACAGGAAGAGGAGAAGAAAATATATCGCTAGCTGCTTTTCCTGCTCCTCTACGAGAGCATGGGGGTGGAGAGCGGGATAAAGCTTCCAACCAATCTCCTTCTTCAACTGAGAAGGATGGAAGAGCAACACGATTACTACTAGACATTCCCAACTCTGCAGCGGCCAAAGATGCTTGCAAAGGAAAACTCCTATTCAAGGCAATCATGGCAGCTTGTGTGCAGAGAGCTTGTATATCCGCACCAGCAAAACCAGCAGTTTCTTTCGCAATCCACTTGAGCAAGTAACCAGACACCGGCTTAGGCCACTTTCTAGTATGGAGTGAGATGATTGCAGCCCTATCGTCGAGCGATGGTAGTGGAAAATAGATCTCCCTGTCAAACCTCCCAGGCCTCCTTAATGCTGGGTCAATAGCATCAGGGTAGTTTGTTGCACCTATGACCACCACCGAGCCACGCGACTTCAAGCCGTCTAGTAAAGCGAGCAAAGTGGATACAACAGAGCTGTGCGTTTGATCTTGCTGCCTTGACCGTTTGGGAGCGAGACCGTCTATTTCATCAAAAAATATGATAGATGGTTGGCATTTTTCAGCGACCTGAAATAAAAGCCTCAACTGGCGCTCAGCATCACCAACGTATTTTCCTAGACAGTCTGCCCCTTTCCTGGCAAAGTAGGCAATCCGTCTATTACCACGAGCAAGGGAACCAATCAGCGCTCGAACCACAAGCGTTTTTCCAGTTCCAGGATGTCCATGCAACAGGATACCTCTTGGAGGTGTGAGTCCAAGGTTATCAAAGAATTCTGGATATAGCAAGGGTAAAAGAACAACCTCTTTCATACATTGAGTTACACCCTCAAGCCCAGCAACAGAGTCCCATCCCTCAAATGCCTTTCCACTTTCAGAATCAGGGCCTCCAATATACTCGGGAGCAACTCGTTCTAGATCCCGATGTAGTCTCTTGCTTTCGCGTTTTAAAAATTCTTCATCTTCACCACATTTTTCAAACCACTTTTCTTCCGCTTCCACATCCTTACGCCAGGCATCATTTGAGTGCTTCCTCATCTCCAACCGCATCCTCTTGGCTTTCATCTTCTTCTTTCTGATGTGACATTGACGACCATGGGGTTGGAAATGATGTCTATGGTCTGTGCAAGCAATCAGAAATTTACGGTGATCAAAGATGCAACCATTAGCTCGTGCACAAGGCTGCAAAATACCGAACACCACAAAGAAGTTATCAGAGCATGATACAGTAACAGTTACAGCTGCAAGTTTATTAGCCTATATCTCAGAAGCGAGGAAGAAAAAACCAGATAGTGAGTAGTAATATACCAAGTGATAGGTTCTTGGACATCGATCAACACGACAACCAATGGTTGCCCCAGGTCTTGCACAGCGAGTGCATTTTAATGACTTCCCTCTGCAAAGTGCCGCCCTTATATTCTTTAAGCATCCTACACCAGCAAAGTAAACCTGCAGTACAAGAGTACTGAACATTAACGTCTACAGAAAACAGGATTTAGGAAAAGAAAATTAATGAGAAGGCAGTAAGAGCGCATAGTTAAAATGTAAGAACCCTCTGTATGCTTAGATCAAGGAATAAAGGAAACAAAAGCATCAAGAAAATTGACAAGCCTTTTTGTATATTCTGCTCATTAACTGTTGCCTTAATTTTTCATATTAGAACGGCATTTGAAATATACAGAATGTCAGAGATATAACAATATTTACCAACAATGACAACCAAACAAGATATTACAGAGCAACTAAAGATTTTACGAGAGAGAAAAACGCAGAATTGAAAAGAGAAATAAAACACTATTGTGTGTCAATGAACCGAAGAAACATATAACAATGAAGTGATAAACACATGTAAATGCACCTACGCAATCAAAAGGCGTGTAGTGTCATATAATCAGAACCACACATTACCTCAGGACTCCATACGGCACAGTGCTGATGAACCCACGTTCCAGAAATTCCATAACGATCGTTTATAGGGCCCAATAGACGGCCAAGCCATCCAGGATCATCGCCAAAACCATCCAATATGTCATAGTTTGGCTCCTCAGAAGAGGAAGACCCGCTACGTGCCTCTATGTCACTGTCACCATTATCTTGTATCAATTTCTTCGGGCGTTTGCCATCAGTACCAACTCCACATAAACCACAGCGTCTGGCTTGTTTAAAGAGAGGCTTGCCAAGTCTATCCGATGAAGTGCAAATTGAGTCAACCACCTTTTTGGAAGTTTCATTCTGAATAGGCAACTCGTCAAGCATTTCCACGCTTTCACCCCCTCTATCGTGAACCTCACTATGTTCTTTGGTCTTATCGGTAGATATTGTTCTAGAAACGCCTTGCTCCCCGATATCCTCATTCTGCTTTAAACTCTCATTAACCTCGATGCTAGTTTTCTGTAGAGGTTCAGGATGTAAAGTATCTCCCATTTTTGTAGCAAAATCACTATCATCCACTAGCATCCCAGTGCCATTTCCACTTTCCGAAACCATTACCTCCTTATTCTCAATTTCTTCAACTTCTATCTCAATCTCATTTTCCATTCCTTCCATTTGATCCCGGCTCTCGTTTTCCACTGCTTCCATTCTAACATTAGTATCAGCTGTCATTCCATCCACATTAGCTTCAATCTGACTTCCTGTCTTCTCTGCACTACTTTGTGTCTCACTTCCGCCCTCTTCATCACTATCCTCAATCTCATTTTCAGTACTGTCTGTTCCATCCTCACTCTCACTCTCCGTTCCATCAACTTCAGCATCGTTTTCACTATCTAAAACAACTGATATTTTGGTAGTCTTCTTCTTCTTCTTCTTCTTCTCATCCTCCTCCTCTCCAGCTTCACTGTCAGCCTGCGTTGATTCCTCCGACTCGCTAGCACTCTCATCTTCAGCGTTACTGGTATCTGACTCATTTTCCCCATTTTCCCCATCTTCCGAACTTTCACATTCGTTAGCTTCCACTTCCTTTTTTGCTTTCGTCGGCTTCCCACCATTAGGAGCTCCTCTTCCCTCTTCCCTTTCTCTCGCCACTGATTTATCTCTCAGCTCATTGGCATCACTTCCGAAAACGAGCTTTCTTTTCCTCTTTACCGCACTTCTCTCTGTCCCATTCGCTTGCAAACCAACGTTCCTCCTCCTTGACCTCAACCTCGACTTCCAACCATCCGGGTTATCCGAATCACCATTCTCCTCCACCACCACTCTCCCTAGCTTGGAACTCCTACCCCCGTGATTATTCAAACGCCGTTTTTTCCTTGGAGGAGGAGGAGAAGCGTCCAGGATGGTCGGTATCCGTCTGACCCTAGAGCTCCGCCTAAGTTCAGAGTCAACACCAGCCAACGCAGACGCGCCATCTCTGCCCTTCGACTCTCCATGGTTTTTGTTGTATTCCTCCTCGCATATCGCGGCGAGCTTCTTACTCTTCTTCCCAGAAGGAGAACCTGATTGGTTCTGATACTTCTTTACCTCACGCGAGGATGTCATGACAAATCAATAGGCATTCACTGTTCTTCTCGAGAACGATCAAATGAGAATAAGAAAAATCAGCGCTCACAGAACCTCGCGCCTTCAGATTTAAGCTCGTGAGGCAGTGATGCTTCGGCCACTGCGACGGAGATGCTTGAGAAAACGTAACAGAGCGACTACCCTTAGCTCCATGATCAGCCCAAATCTGCAGAATCTGAATTAACCCAAAAATTCATTTTCCACTAATTTAACATGTGAATGTCAAAATTAGGATTGTCGTGCGTGATACAATCGAAATCTTCTTCCTCCGCAAACTTTGAATTTTTCCGATGATTACGCCTCCGCTACTAGCCTCGGAGACTTAGGGCTCCCCGGTTAAGTCAAATAAATTACTACGAAAGAGAAAAAAGAAAATCACAAATCCCATGAAATGTATTTCCTTCCGTGTATTTCATACCCACGCTTCTATAAAGCAAGTGAATCTCACTCGCGCGATACAAAATACAAGAGTAAACACAACCGTTGATCTGTTAAGGACCAATTAGATAGCTATGTCTCAATTCGATTGGGCCTACTCCTGGGCCTCCTTTTCATGTTGCTATTTCTCATATTCTCCTACCAAAAAGTTACGTTACCCGCCAAGCATTTACAAATTAAATCTCATAAAACGAGAAGCAAAGGGAGAGCTCCTCTTATGATCTGCAACAAGTCCATTACAACACAAAGGCCTATGAATCTGCACAAACTTCTCAGTACATCACATTGTCTTCTTCCCAGTGTCTTAGAGAGAGAATTATGATCATTCTAACACTCGAAAGCTCTGTAAACTTGACTTATGTATCTATGGCTTGATCCTCTTCTTGATAGATTCTCCTGAGGATTGCTTCTTCTAGCTTTTGATCTTGAGAATTGCACCATCCTGAGAAGTCTCAAAACAGATTAAGATATTAGGAGAAAAAGCCAAAAATCCAAACCAGAAATCAAATATGATACTGACCGAACAACATAACCTATCGAGAATAATGCAACATCACCCAGTCAAGTAAACTATGATGAGGACGAGATCCTTAATTAAATGTACTCAATCACACACACACACACACACAGGTAATCTACACTCACAAGTCCCAACAGTTTTGAATCAAGCAATGTGATCTAACATAGATCTTCAGCTAACCTCTTTGATCTCATATTTTGATTGCGCAACCCTGAGATGCCCTGATGCTTTTAGTTTCGGAATTTTAACACCTGCGGTTGCGGTAGAGACTTATTTGTAACGTTCTTTATCTTCTTAAAGTCAGAGTCGAATAACAGTGAGGTTAACGCTCTTATCGGAAGTAATGGAGCTTAAGAGTCACCAGTAATCTCCACAGGAACAAAGACCATCTTCAAAACTGTGAAATCGAACAGCATCTCTCACAACAAATGCTACCTTCATGATCTTAGACAACCCCTTGATGAACTCATGACAGTCTACGCATACCCTCAAGTTCTTGAACACTCTTATTGTCTTTCCTTTCTGGTTTAAACCGCCTGATGCCAACGCCAGACCAATCGCCAGCTTCTCGCTGTGAGCTCTAAGGTTCTCCTCCTTCGACTCATCGTCTATATCATGCAGTTCTTGTTCTAGGCCGTAAACATATCCCAGCTCTTCTCTCATTCTCCTTTCAGCTTCTCTCAAAGTTTCTTGGATCCTGAGTGTCAAGGGATGTGAATCATCTCCGCTACGGAAGAAATGTACCTCTCTCTCAATCTCTACCCAGCTCATACCAGCTTCTTTCTTCAACCCTTTTATCTTCCCAAGCTCTCGTGCCTTCCCGTGTTCGTGCCAATAACCCGCTTGTCCATAAAGGTTGGACACCATCACGTAATTTGCAGGGTTTTCTCCGTCCATCCTCAAAAGAATCTTACCAACTTCTTCACCTAGTTTGATGTCCCCGTGTACTCGACAGCCGCTAAGAAGTGTTTGCCATATTCCGACATTTGCTTTGACCGGCATTGCGTCAATGAGATGTTTAGCTTCCTTCAAACGACCCGCTCGTCCTAACAGATCAACAATACATGCATAGTGTTCTACACGAGGTTTGACTCCTCGTGTCTCTAATAACTTGGAAAACAGTTCTTCACCTTCTTTGATCAGACCAGAATGGCTACAAGCTGAGAGTACCGCTAAGTAGCACACATCATCAGGCTCAATGTTATCTCTCAACATTTTGTTAAAAACACCAACTGCTTTTCTGCCAAGCCCATGTTTCCCATAGCCAGTGATCATTACCGTCCATGAGATGACATCTCTCGACTGCATTTCATCGAAGCAATTCTCAGCCTCATCAACTAATCCACACTTGAGATACATGTCCACCACTGAATTTGAAACAGATGTTTCTAACCCAGACGGGAGTTTAACAGCGAGTGCTTGCATCTGCTTCCCTTGCCGCAAGAGAGCAAAATCAGCAAAGACTCCAATGATGCTAGAGAGAACAAAACTGTCGATCTGAGAGTTTAGCTCCCGTAGTCGTCTAAACAAGCCCATCGCCTCCACGAAGTCTCCTTCTTGAGCATATCCAAGAATCAATGAACTCCATGAGATCATTGTCTTCTCCTTGATTTGATCGAAAGCTTTCCGAGCACCAAAGAGATTCCCACACTTGACATACAAATCAACGAGAGAACCGGTGATGGTTGCGGAGCTTGAACAAGGGAACCCACTCCTGACTAGAAACCCATGTATCTGTTTCCCACCTTGAATCATACCAATGCCACTGCAAGCCTTTAACAAGCTCGTCAACGTGAACTCGTCAGGCCTTTCATTTACCTCTTCGTCTTGCATCATCCCAAACGTAGCCAAAGCTCTGCTACCATACCCTGCATGTACATATCCAGCGATCATCGCGTTCCAGCTTATAAGACTCTTATCCACCATCCAACGAAACACTTTCTCAGCTTCGTTGATTCTCCCACATTTTGAATACAGGTCAACCAAAGAATTCCCCACCTCGACCATCATTTCAAAACCAATCTTCAAACAAAACCCGTGGATCTGCAATCCCTTGTCGAGTGCGTTAAGCAAACCACAAGCTTTTAGATTCGTCGAGAAAGTGAACTCATTTGGGTAAACACCCTGACGACCCATTTCAGTGAGAAGAGATAAGGATCTCTCAAGGTCACCGTTAAGTACATGTCCGCTCATGAGAGCCGTCCATGAAACAACATTTCTCTCAGGCATACCGTCGAACACCTTGTGAGCAATCAAGGGCTCTCTGCATTTGCAGTACATGTCGATAAGGTAATTGCTAACATACAGATCCAACCCTGATCCAGAGTTGAGAAGAAAACAATGAACTTGACGCCCTTGATCAGAAAGCCCGTTCTTTGTGCAGACACGCAAGATTCTAACAAGGTTTTGTCGCTGATTCAGAATCATCGGTGAAATCTGGTCGAAATAAAACACGAATCTAAAATCTGTGTGTTTAGTAATTACAAACTCAATCCCATAAGCAGCAAAATGTAATGAATAAAAGTTTTTATGATCACTTAGAGAGCCACTGAAGAGTGAAGAATGAAGAGCTACAGTGGAAGATGCTGACGACATAAAACGACGTCGTATCTTCATGGACCAATACTCTTTTAAGACTATTTTGAAACTTCTCTTGTTTTCCTACCAAATATTCCCGCCAAGGATTTTTAGTGTTTATTTTTAGAGTCTCAAAAGACAACACTAGTGGATCAGAGATTCTACATAAAGTTGTGATCTTAGCAAATCTATTATATGATACATATCAGCTCTTAAACCTGTGAATCTGCAAAAACCATCTCAACACATCCCATTGTCTGCCTTAGACTTGTACTCAAAAGAGCTTATTATTGGGTTTGTCGTTTTTCCTTGATAGCTCACTTGATCCGGTTCTCGAACAGAAATTCGACGTTTCTCAAATTGGACTTGCTCCTTCGAGCTGTGATCTTGAACACTGCACCATCCGCGAGCATCCGTTGCACCACCCTCGTGATGTTCTTTGTGTCGTCAATGCCCAGATGGTGACTTCCCATGAGCCTTATTCCGCATTGTCTCATCATTGACACCATTCCTCTGGCCTGTCATGTTATCCCATTATTGATTGAGTTTATAATAAATAATAAACATGCACAAGGGGATGATACACAGTGATATATCCAACTTACCTCACGTCCGTAGAAATTCAAGTAGACGTCTTTGAGATTAATCCACTCCATAAAGTATTGCGGAAGATTGATATCTGACACTAGGCACTGCTCGGGTATCTTTGTCTTTATGTCCCAATTCCCACTGATAACATTAACTTAAGTCAGTATCCCAAAGACAGTTGGAGCTCTAAAGTACATGAGGAAAGTTTTCTCTCTGCATATAGAGAGAAACTCGACGCTTTCACATTCCAAGCTCATCTCTTATAATTAGTTCTCACCAGGTTACAAAAGCTGCATCGTTCAGAGCCCCATCTGTTTCTTTACCCCACAAGCTATGCTCAGCTAACCAGCCTTCAAACTCCTCAACAACTTGCTTGAATGGAATAGCTGTGTCATGCCACACGCTGCAACTCGACTTTGACAAAGTTAGTGGGACGGTTTTAAAATCCAAAGAGAACAAAAAACAGGTATTTGGAGGTCTAAGCCAACTCTTAGCGTTATCATATCTTATGGTAGCCGAATATAACTTCACTATTCACTATATCATTCGGTAGCATATGCACATAAACGATCAGTTTAATGCAACAACAACAACAAGCATAATGGTCGTCTCACCATATCTACATTCAAAGTAAGAAACATACCGATCAACACCAACTTCCCCATACTTGCCTTCGATGTACTTGTTAATTGCTTTCTCGCTCATTTTGGTGGGTCTTACAAACCTTATCAAGTATAAAGAAACAGATACTCAACCACATTGTAAGAATCTAGCCATGAGCAATAAAATTCATAAAGAATATAAATTTCATAGCCATCCTTCTTATAGTTCTTACACCAATGAGCGTTAAAACAAGAAAGGTTGCTTATTTAAAGATAAAAAGCTGGTAAAACCTGTGGAACAAGTCTACGACTTGCATGGTTTTGGCGTCAAGGATCAAAACAGGAAACTCAAGAATCTCAACTTTTCCCTCTAAGTCAAGAACCAAGAAAAAGTTGAATTCTTGTGATTTCTTTCTCTCAAGATCAGCAGCGGTCACTTGGAGTTCCTTGGAGCAATCATGGTTGAAAGCTTCCAAATGGGCAGGATCATCCATCTGACATCACCAAACATTTTAAGTATTAAAAAAAACGAATAAAGAATAATGATAACGATTGAGGCACAAACGATAACGAAAACGAGTTCCAATCCCGTTCAGACATTCTATCGAACAGATCGGGGACATTGTATAGTCGATATAATTTACCATCAAACACGCTTGTTACGGAACAGCTACACGGAGCAGGAACCAATCAATGGTTAAACAACACATAGGCACTAACTCGGCTGTAGCAAAAAAAACACAATCTAACAAGAAAGATGAGTCGCAAAGTGTTTACCTTTGTGCACTTCCCGTGAGTGTGATACAAGCACATGGGTCTCCACTTCTGGATTTCAATTGTTTCCATCAACGAAGAAGAAGAAATATCAGACGGAGAAGGAGAAGAAGATACAGAACGCGAAGAGTTGCAGAGGATTCGGTTTGTATGGGATGAAAGGAATGTGGCGGGGTAAGAGAAACGGCTAGCACGAAGAGTAGTCGTTTTGGACATGGAAATCCTAAATGCAGAGAGAGCGGAAGCCATTCTCGCCGATTAGCATCAAGTTTGAAAATGCCTCCTTTCGAGTGAATCAGGGTGACGATGACTGGCGGGTACCGGTGGGCATTTGGGTTTTCGGTTTATTTTCGGTTGGTTTTTCGGTTTTTCGATTTATCGATTTTATAAAAATTTAAACCATATAAAAACCATATATATTTCAGTTTGATGTGGTTTGGTTTTCTTCAATTTTCAGCTTTTCGATTTTGAAATACTAAAATCATATAAAACTTGGTTCGGTTTGATATGATTTGATTTTAGATTTTTTAGAATTATATAATTAATTCTTTTGATTCAAATTAATATAAATAATAATAATAAATATGAGTAAAATAAAATAAAAAAAATAAAAAAATAGAATCTAAAACATAAGAAATTCATTAGTAAAAACTAAATTTATAAAAACCAAAAACTAAATAAAAAGAAACCAGATTCTTATCAGCCACTCTTATCCGTCTTCTCATCCTGTTTATAAATCTCTGATATACAAAAAATTATATATAAATTCTGAAAATAATTTATATTTATATAAAATCTAAATATAATTATAAACTTATAATATAATTAAAGACTACAAAGTAATCAAATTTGAATATCAATCATCAAATAAGAACAGATTTAAAAGCAGGAACCTTTCAAAATCAATAAATAGAAATAAAATTGAAATTAAATACTTAGAAAAGTTCGAACTAGAAAACTTGAATGTGATAAAAGAGGAGTTAACCACAAACATTTTGTTTTGACTGAAAATTAGGGTTTACACTTTTTATTATTTGTATGTAGATACTTTGTATAAATATTATATTTAAATTTTATGTGTTAAATTAGTAAATTATAAAGATAATAATCCTAATAAAAAATATGGACCCAAACTAAATTAAAAAATAAGAAAATATAAATTATTTAAAAGTTAGTTTTAAAACCGAAAAAAATTTCGGTTTGACGATTTTTAACCAAACCAAATCTAAACTAAAACTATAAAAAATAATAACCAAATATACTTTTAGATTTAACCATAACCAAACCATATCAATCTATCACTTTAGTATGATTTGATTTTTTCGGTTACGATTTTTTTACCCATCCGATCTAAGTGAGATGTTTTTTACAGATTGCTCAATCCAATTTAACCGAACCAACAACAAATTTGCAAGCCAACATACACCAACCAAACCAAAAGAGAAGAGAAATAATCCGAATAAAAGTGTAACTGCTTTTGTTAGATGCAAGTTATCGGTAATATTTAATTTTCAGTTAACAGATATAATAATTCCGTCTTCCAAAAGATGATCCAAGTATAGTATTTTTTAATTATTTACTAAATTAGCTAATTGGATCATTTTTCATCGACTAAATCGTTTATTTAAATTTGAACCAATACACAGTAGCAAAACCGGCACTGGGCTAAAGCCCATAAAAGGTTTTAAACGTCAAATTATATATAGCTAATTTAGGAGAATCATAGTTAATTAAATTCTTTTGGTGTAATGATTTTAGTTGTTGTGATGCTTTCTATAGGATTCGGGTTGGATGTTTAAATGGGCTTTAAGCGCCATATGATAACAGGCTGACACTTCACAGTAGCAACTAGCAAGCTAAAAAACATATTAGTAAAAAATTATCGTGAATTTTCTGCATAATGTTAGAAATAAAACGATATGATCAGTTAATAGAAATCATGATCAGCGGCAAATGATACTAGTTTCATCTCATTTAGGAAATAGATTATGCAAGTCTATAAGATAATTCGGCTTACATCACATGAATCAAACTAAATGAGATGAATAACTTGAAGGCTCGAAATGGGAGCTTTATTCTGCTGACAGAATCGTCAATCAGGAATAAAAAAAACTACAAATTTCTGACCCATTAAAATTGTTCAAATAGTTTGGACTACTTCTGCATATTACGAAATCGTTTTAGATGAGACCTCAGTTTTCCTGAAATCCTGGCCAGTGATATTTCATCCAGACTGCTGCCATCATGATTGATTTTTTGGTTGATTTTTGTGTTTTTTTAACAGGTAAACATCTAGTTTAATCTAATATAATACAATTATTTATACAATCAGATCTGTCTTTTGATTGACAAAAAAATAAATATACGGATCACTGTAAGAAATCATTAAATTATTTATTTTCATTGATAGCTTAAAATAAACAGAATAAAGAGATTTAAAAATACTATGAAAATACATCTAACTAAATTTCAAGAAGCTTTTCAATACATCAACATTTTTCAGGAACAAAATAATGCATTAATTTATCTATCTTTCTATTTTAATTCCTGAACTTTTGGATTGTATCTATTAAATACATTCTGATTTAATGTAATGATCATTTTTTATAATAAATTATTAATATCTAAAATAATAAGTTATACAATTGTTTAAAAAATTCTAAAGAAATTATTTTAAAAAATCAATACAATCAGAAAAAAATCCAAAAATTTTAAAATTGAATATATCACTTCAAATCTTATATCAAAAATTCATCATATTTTTATTTTTGAATCTTGGGTTTCGAAATCGAAGTCCTATAACACATTTAGCAACTTGGGTTTCAAAATCAAAATCTTATAACACATTTAGCAATATATGAAAACTCTAATAAAACTATTCGCGAATCGGCAAAATAATTTGCAGCGAGTTCTCTATCTCCTTCCACGAACAGATTTTGCAAGTTCGACGGCATTCTCTCTCTGAAGAAAGAAAAAAAAAGATACTACTTAAAAATTCAGATGAATCAGTACTACTACTGAAAAACTCTAGAAAAATAAAAAAGTTAGCTCTATCTTTTATTTTTATTTTAAAATTAATAAAAATCATAAAAAATCTAAAAATTTTAAAATTGAAATATATCACTTCAAATCTTATATCAAAAACTTATCATTTTTTTTAATCTATTAAAAACCCTAAAAAATTTATTAAAAATCCAAGATAAAATCAAAAAATTATTAAATTCTGTAAAATTAAGAAAAATTATTTTAAAAATTAGATTAAAAATCTATTATATTTTAATAAATTTATTTTTTTTGTTGAATTTGATATATCACTTCAAATCTTATACCAAAAATTTATCATATTTTATATTGAAACGAAAATATTGCATCATAATTCTGTTAGCATCATAATGCAATATTGCACCAATCGACTCAAACGTTGAACTTCAAACTTGTCAATATTACGATACTGTCTCGTTGTTAGAATCTATGGGCCAATGATAGAATTTTACAAAACCTTAGCAAACCAAAAAATAAATTGTTTGCATAGCACGGGACATAATATGTATACATATTTGATATTTCATCTCACCGTATCCAAGAAACCCTAAACTAATCGATAGTTTGCGTTTGTGGATCCTCCTTTCTCTCTCCGTCAGATTCGATATGGAAGAAGGCCGGTGTCAATTACTCCGGTTGCTTATCTGATACGTTTGATTTCCGTTCGACCTGCGATTGAATTTCCTTTCTTATCTGATTAAACAAGTGCGATTTGTTTTCTTTTAGGTTTGAACAAGAATTATCGGTGGGAGACGGGGGTGTGGTGGGACCTCTCAACACCTGTCCGGTTCCCGACGGTTATGACGTTCGTCATGTCCGACCGTGCATCGTATCGGCGGTGAGGAAGCACTTTGGTCCTAATCCAGTAACCATCTTTGCCATTGGCAACCTAGAAATCATCTCTCCTCATATCTTGAAAGAGATCTCATCCGCTGGAATCCTTCTTAGCCACGCCCCACCCCACTCGGTAATGCGCCAGTACTCTTTGATGTTTTGTGCGACTGGATAGAGCATACTCCAACAAATCGAAGTCAAAACCAAAACATCACTACAGCTACAAGATCTGAAATAAGATTCGACTAGCCTCAGAAAATGAACTAAAAACTTGGCCAAAACGAGATGTTGAATAAAGAGCGGTACTAGCCTATTTACACCCAAAAGTGGAAACAATTGGTAGAAACATATGGCTTCAAAACCAAATGTTTGGTTTAATCTTCATCAACTAAATCTGTGAAGTCTTCAATCACTTCCGTCCTGTTAGTTTGCTTGTTCATCGAGCGCATCTCCTCGATTTCATACTTCAACATTGGATCACAAACCACTTTGTTATTCTGCAGTCTACCTCGGCAGCCTGAGGATTCGAATTGTGCAATAGGAATCACAAATCAGCATGGAAGAACAAGTGAATGGTGTTTTATAAGACGTTTTGAGCAAGAACTATCTTACCAGCAATAGGACATTTCGCATTCTGATTGTTGGCTATGTAATGCATGATTGCGGCTTTGTCGTAGACATGCCTGCATTCAACACTACAACCAGAGAAGACCACAAAGATTCACATTAGTTTATCATTCATGTAATATTATCCAGCACAAAAAGTGATAAGTTCTACTGCTACACGAAAGATGAAATAATATTCACGCTTTATGATCACTTATAGAAAACGGTATCTAGTAAATGTGGCTTTAAGGATCATCCTATATTATAGACATCATGCGTGGGAGAGGACAAGCAAATCATCCGAACAAAACAAGACAAGGAAGACAAAAAACAATCAAGCCATCCGTTGTACCTGCGAACTGGCTCTGCTAGTTCAGTGAGAGGCTTCCCGCTCACGGGGCATGTCATGTTTAGGAGAGGGCACTGAGTACTGGTCATGACAATGTCCTCTTCGTCTTCACCAGGCATTGGTTCACCTGCATGATGAACGTTCTGCAGCAAAACAGTGACAAGAACTCTTAAGGAAATGGAACAATATACCTATTCGATTCAAAGTTAAGAACTTGAACTGAACAACGCAATCATTCTGAAAATAAGAGAGAAAACTGAGGACCTAAATAGATCCATTATATATAACGTGACTAATGGCATACCCAAACTGCTTCCCTGAACTGGCGCATCAAATGATCATTTTGTGGCACTGAAGAAGTTGTAGCCTTGAGCTTTCTGAACTCGTCGTCAAGCAACATTTTAAAGTCAGTTAACTGCAATCATTAGAGCGAGTCAGAAAGCAGTCTGTCTAAAACTCAAAGTAAGCAAGCGAATAAGCATTTAGATTAACGACATGAAGGAGTAGCGTGTTTTACCTGTTCCCCAGGCTGGTACCCATTTGCAACAGATTGAATCGCTGACGAGCGATGAGCACACTCACCACATAAATCCAACAGCTCAGCCACAGAGTTTTCAATGTCTTTAACCTGTTGAACCCAAAAACCAAAACAGAGATCAAGAAAAAGTTTGCCTCAAGCTGACAATACAATAAAAGATGAAAGTTCAAGCAGTTCACGAAAGTTATGGAGAAGTCACTAATGATTATTGGCCAATATAGGAGAAACTGCCATCAATTAAAGGACTTGAAGCAAAGAAGCTAATCGGCTACAACTGCGTTACGGCTCAAAACACTTGTTCCCAACAGAATATTTACAGATTTGATCGGAGAAACCGAAAATCTTAGTCCAGAATAAGAAGCCACCTTCTCAGTTTGGTTCTCTTTCTCCAACTGAACAGCAATGTTCTTCATCATAGTCACAGCTTTGCGGATGTCCTGCAAAAAACAGTCTACAATGAGAATGTAGGAGGAAAAGCCGATTTATAGGAAGATAACAGGGAGCATTCAACTATTTTTTTTCCTGATTGCAACACGAAAGCAAAATCAAAAAAAGCATATATCTAGTATTCACTTCTGACTAGTCAGACCCCATCATCAGCCGATGCTCCTAGCTCCCAATTTTCCAGAAATCGATATCCCAAACAAGATCATAGTGCGGAGTATAATAATATTTACAATTAAAAAAAGAAGGAGGAGAAACAAGAGATGGAGCTTTGAACGAAAATACTCACAGCAATCGTGGAAGTGTTATCGGACACAAGAACCAACGATGCGTTTCGAATCCTTCCGGCAACTCCGTCTGAAGAGGACGCCGACGCCATATTAATCCCTCGTTCGCTCCAATTCTGTCGTCCGGAGTTTTGTTTTGGAGGGAGAATGAGAAGAGACGGAGAGTGAAGCGGCCCTATGAAGGGAAAAGCTAAATTTGCTGAGTAAACTGCGTGCCGTCTTCTGGTAGGATAAATGACAAGCACTCTCTAGAAGAATAGACTTGGTAGACCAAAACGGCGTCGTCTCGTCGCAGCTCAATTCAGTCACGTGTGCAGGGTTTGCTTACAAACTGCGTTCCGTCTTCTGCTACTAAAACCGACTCGTAGTTAAAACTTTTCAAACGTGGACAAGATATGTGCACAACTGAAGACGGCAAGCAGTCTAAGGTTACGGATCCTGCTAAACGACGTCGTCGCCCTCCAATCCTCCGGCTCAGGGACTCTGACTCGCCGTGGCCGAAGGTCTTTGCTTCCGCATTCAACTACAACAAACAAAATCCATTGCTTCCATCTTCTTCGTCCAATCATTTGCTTTCGTTTGAAAACATGACTGATCAAGACGGAGACTGGAATTTTTATCTCAGAATCCTCAGCAATTGCGCGCGAGATTCCACGGATCCTTCTTCCGATCCATCTGTACTACAATCAGTAAGCATCTTGTGTGTGCATATATACGATTATAGAAATGGCTCGAGAATTATGTGTTTATCCATGAACAAAGGATTCATTGCTTGTGTTTTGTTTGAATGTGTGTGGATTAGGTGAAGAAGCTACATGGGTTCTGTAAATTGGAGAATTCAGATGATCTGGTGGCTAGAATTTATCCGCAAATCAATAAGGTCTTTCAGCGTTCTGTTGCTTCACTGTCTCAGTCCGAGTCAGTGACGTCCAAAGGCCTTCTCTTGCTCGTATGTTACTCTCCCTGAGCATATTTGTTTAGCCTTGAATCGGCCATTACAAACCCAGTTGAATGCTTTTCTTCTTTTTCCTTTTAGTTATGGTTTTTTGGTCTTGCGTTTTTAGGCCATTCTTCAGTTTTTTCTTGATTTTGGAGACATGGTTCTGCACGATGCTGACCCAAGTTTGAGGACATTCTTCCGCTCGTGTCTTAGCCGGTATGGACTAGGGTCATATTGTGGCTCTCTGCTTATATGCATGTTTGCTACAGTAATTTAATGTAGATAACTCTTGGGTATTTATACATTTCTTGTCATTAATTTTCCTTGTAGTGAGTTCTCAGATTCTGCTGTTGCAGAGGCAACTTGTGAGTTTCTTATGGAGAACAAGAGAAAACTCTTAGCGTCATTTCCAAATTTACTATCTCAGGTATAAAATGCTCAATGTAATATTAATCCAATTCCGTTTACATTTCCACTGCATGAGCAATGAAGCCAGAATATATATATAGCATCTTCTCCATCTAATTCAAGCAATTGTATTTGCAGTTTTTCCCGTTGTTGCTTAAGCTCATTGCCTGGAATTGGGAGAAGTAAGCTGAAACTTTTTTGCTATATAAACGATTTTTTTTCTTTTTCTTAAATCATCCAATCAATCAACTCGAGGAAATTTTTATTTCAGGTTGGAGAAGTCCTTCCTGAAGATATTTCCTGGACTGATATCACCTGGGTCATTTCTTCCTCTGTTTCCATCCATTCTAGACTTGCCACGTGAGCCCGCTTGTCTGAAAACTGCTACTCGAATTCTTCTATTTGTGTGTACTAATTTGGATTCGAGGCCATTTATGTGTCTCACAATCTGCTGGTTTGGTAATTTCATGGTGTTGAGTTTATAAGTATTCTGCGTACTAAATGCGTCTTGTTGTTAATTTTGTTGCTAGTGTTGGTTGTGGCATTAGAAAAAGTGGAAAGGAGCTCGGGGTCGGGGTCAAGGGTTGGGGGTAGCATTGCTTCAATCCAGAAGAGTGCAGCTCCGGAGGTTATATATTTCATTAAAACATATATTTGGTAGTCTCAGAGAGTCAATGAATGACAAGGATTTCTCTGAATCCAGATGCTTCTTGCCCTTATGGATGAAGCCTATACTGGTTCAACCATCGGGGATGGTGGGGATGACTCAGAATCTGAAGACAACAATACAATAGATGTAGCTGATCCTCTGTTTCTGGAGCTTCTCAAGGATGAAAATGATGGTCTAGCTGTATGCCTCCTGCCTCGGTTTTTGCTTTTTTCAGAAAACAGTTCCATATAAATGTTATAGAATAGTAAATATTATATGAGCAAACGGTAGTTTTTTTATTACCTGATATTTTAGACGAACTGAAAGTTTTTAGTCAACTTTGTGTTGCAGGAAAGACACCGCCCTTCTCCTGCATTAAACGCAGCGCTGCAGGCTGCTGCCAGTGGTCCTCGGTCAGAGAGGATGAAGCAGACACTCAAGATTGCTCCCCGACTTCTTGATGTCTACTTTAGTGTTACGTTGCGAGATGCAAATGACTGTAAGATTATTTACTGCCTTCCGAGTGTTCTTTGGCTACTAAAGGAGGATTAGTTCTATTGTAGTTAGGAATTTGACCGCTATTGAGTCTGTGCATGCTTGTTTTTCATTCGTTTTTTAATGCTTTATCCTTTTGCAGCTTTGATCTGTGCATTGATCCCTCTACTCATGACAAGAAATTCTACAATGTTTCCTGATAAGAATTTTTCTCATGAGGTATTAAGCATCCTCCGTGTTGTGTAGTATATGCTAAATCCTTTTTGGGAAAAAAAATTCGCGTAGCATTTAGATATACAATAACTGTTAATTCCTCTTCTCTGGATCGTCCATTGATGTTCAACTGTTCTTCAGAAATACCAAGGCTATTTTGACCTTTTAGTGTATGAACCTCTATTGCTGCTATATTAAACCTCGTTTTACGAAGTTATGGTATGTGTATACAGATCCGTGCGAGGCTACTGGAATTCGTGCTAGCTGCATTTCAGAGGTCTCCGAATTTCATTGCCCTGTTGAAGGTAATGTTTTACTTCTAATAACATTAGAATTTTGGAATAAGGATGAGTTCACACTGCATTGGTGGATATGCCAGTCAAAATCACACTATCTCCATCGTTTACATGGTCTTATGATTACCGCATATTTTTCTAAAGTGATTCGCTGAATTATTTCATAACGTCTTACATAATGCAGAAGCCTATAATTGACCGGCTTGGAGAAGCTTATGATGACCCTGCTAAGGTCAGTTTCTAACATTTCCACAGATGCTTTGTAAGATTATCTTCTCTAAACATTTTCTTCCGTAGAGAGAGTTAGCTTTACAGCTATGTTGGGCAATTGGAGAGTACGGTGGTGGTGGGGAATCACACAAGGATGCTGCTCGCGAGCTCTTTGAAAGTTTAGAGTTGCTTCTGTATGAGAATCTCTCATCAAGGTATAATAAACTTTTAGTATCCTGCTTTTTCAGCCAGATAAAAAGAAATTAAAAATGGTATGTGAACAATTTTTTGCCATTTGCTTCCAACAACCAAAAAAGCCGCCTAGGTCTGAGGCAAGAATCTGGGAATGCTTCAAGAAGAAAAACACAGTCAAGGCTTTTGTGTTTTGTAGTGACGGCTATTGCAAAACTCGCAACTTATCACCGGGAATTGTTGCCAAGAGCCCGCGTTGCCTTGGGAAAGGTACAAAGAGACATTGTAATCCATTAAAGCATTTAAATGATCAATAGTCTTAAAAAAAAAAAAAGAATCTGAGTTCCAAAATTATGAACATGTGTATAGGTTGTTCGGTCTCGGATATCTGATGCAAGGGTTTGGAGACGAGCACATGATTACTTAGGACTAATGAACGAACCAGGAATCTGCTGGTCTGTGTTAGGACCTTCACGGATTTCAGAAAAACGTTTTCCGGGCACTGTTAACTGGAGCGAGGGTGGGCGAAAAATGGTTGCACACATTCCGTTTCACATTCTTAGTGAAGGAGGAGGTTAAAGAGTTTCTTCTCATCTCCTCTCTTGACACACTTGATTAATCAAACTAGATTGATGATAATGTAGTTGCTTGGAAGAGAACTAAAGTTGTTTCATTTTCTTGCAGGTCCTCCGTTTCATGACTTTGCTTTCTCTGATGTCATCCCCAAAAACTGATCAAACAAGTCTCGTAAAATTGTTGTTTGCTGTGAATAGTGAAACCCAAAAAGTGTTTGTTTTGTGTATAGTGTATACACACACACAGCTGCAAATCTTTTTTTGCCAGCAGTTGTAACCATTATTCAAAAGTTGGACGTTTCTTGCTTGTTGGACTAATCCGACCCGTTTAGATCCGGGTTTAAATTGAATCCGGTTTTTATTTGGACTGTTTTTTATTTCTTCATTTTTAAATATATCCGACCTAATTATGACGAATTTGCTATCACCGAGTTTGATCCTTTTTCTAGCAAATCCGAACGGGAAAAAGCCAAAAATACTTGAGGTGGGTCCCAAGCTTTGCCGTAGACACGAGAAACGACGCCGTAGGGTTGAGGCCGGAGGGCGGCGGAGATGATTCTCTCCTCCACCACTGATAAATACGTCACTCGGCTTCTCTTGCTACCTTTTTAAAATCTCTGTGATCTCTCTCGTTTCTCGAGTTTTCTCTCCTCCATCTCTGTTCTCATGCTGCTGAAACAACCATCCACAATTATTGATTCTTATTAGCATCATTATGACTTTTTTTATTAACATCTTTTTTTTTCTCCCCCACAAAATCAGTGGTTGACAATGATCTCTCGTTTCTCCAAGTTATGTATGTGTTCTTAAATAAAAGAAACGTATTCTCTACAAAAATGAAACCCATGTGATATTTTTCCTAATCAACAAAACGTGTCGACATAAAAGCTAATAATATAGATTACCAAATGTAACTTTTAATCTGAGTTCAAGACTCTTGTTGAAAAGAATATATATAAAATAAACTAGAAATACAAGTAGATTTATATTTGTGGGAAAGCAAAGCATAGAGGTGAAAAATAGCAGGAGAAAGGAGAAAAAAAAAATGAAAGGTGCATGCAAGGAAAGGATGGGAATATGATTTGATGTAAAGCCTGTGACTCCATCCTTTTTTCTGTTTTTTAATATGTGCGACGTTTCCTTGTGACAGATATGACGCGTCTTTATCCTGTCCGTCCGTTTTCACACTTCAGACGCTGATGGATGGATGTGATTGCTTCTTATGATTTGATGCATCCATGCTCCTCTTTTCTTTCTTACTAGTATGTGTTTTCTTTCTTGTAATAAAGTTTTGTCTTGAGTATATTAATGCGTATAGAATTTTTCGTAAAAAGAATCTTATTCATGGTGAAGCTCAGACTGCTCATCACACAAAGATCCAAGTAGTATCCAATAATCTATTGGCTATTAAAGTTAATTTAATTTAATTTAGTTTATTTTTTATTTTATAAAAATAGAGTTGGCTGACGTATAATCTCCTGAGATTTCCAGTCACGCACGCATTGCATGCTCAAAAGACAATGTCCCAATTATAACATCCTAGATCCTAATACTACAATTTAGCGATATATTAATATCTACACGCGCATATACACACGCATATCTATTGTACACACATATATATATATATATATAATATATATTCGTTTTGTGTGGTGTATTGTACACATCAACATCAAGTCTCTCTGTCACTAGCTACTGTCAAATATCACATCAGTTGCTTGTAGAACAGGAGAAACACAGATCATTAAAAAAGGACCCTTTTTATTTCCCCTTCTTTTTCTCTTCTCTTGTCTTTATACATTGGAAAATCTAGGGTTTTGTTGGCTTTTGAGTTTCTTCTCTGTGCTGGCTTAACAATGGATATCGATGTGTTTAGTGGTTGGGAGAGATCGAGATTTGAAGATGAAACCCTAATGCCACCTGGGTTTAGGTTTCATCCAACTGATGAAGAGCTCATCACTTACTATCTCCTCAAGAAGGTTCTCGACTCCAATTTCTCCTGTGCAGCCATCTCCCAAGTTGATCTCAACAAGTCTGAGCCTTGGGAGCTTCCTGGTAAGCTCACTTATAAAACCCATCTCTAGATTTATGTCATAAATCCTCGTTATAGGTCTAAGTTGCAGACTTTACTCTGTTTTTACATATCTTTAGACTTATGAGTTATGAGCTATTGCTTGAACCTAAGAAGTTTAGACTTCTCCTGTCGGAAAAAAAAAATTGTATGCTTGACGAATACATTGTTATAATTCTACGATATCTGATTAGTGTTAAGAAATCAGACTTCTAGTGAGCTTTATATAAAGAAAACTACAATGATCAGCAGTCTCTGTTTCTCTGTTTTTAAGTAAAAAGAGTCTTACTTGATACATTTTTCCTCTTTGTAAAACCTTTTTGAGCAGAGAAAGCGAAAATGGGGGAGAAAGAGTGGTACTTCTTCACGCTAAGAGATCGGAAATACCCAACGGGACTGAGAACGAACAGAGCAACAGAAGCTGGTTACTGGAAAGCCACTGGTAAAGACAGAGAGATCAAAAGCTCAAAGACAAACTCGCTTCTCGGGATGAAGAAAACTCTCGTCTTTTACAAAGGAAGAGCTCCTAAAGGAGAAAAAAGCTGCTGGGTCATGCATGAGTATCGCCTCGACGGAAAATTCTCTTACCATTACATCACTTCCTCCGCTAAGGTAACTTTGAAACCCCTCCTTGATAAGTTAAATCGCTTTTCTCTGTGAATAATCTATATGTATACTAATCAAAATGTTACTTTTGCTGTTTCCTTTACGCAGGATGAATGGGTTCTCTGTAAAGTTTGCCTGAAAAGTAGCGTAGTCAGTAGAGAGACGAAGTTGATCTCTTCTAACTCTTCCGTCGCCGGAGAATTCTCCTCCGGTATCAATTGCTCCTCGTCCGCCGGATCTGTGATTGCTCCGATCATCGACGCCTTTGCGACGGAGCACGTGTCCTGTTTCTCCAATAACTCCGCTGTTGCTCAAGCCGATTCGGGCTTTTCTACGTATCTTACCGCCCCGCCACCGTCACTGCCACCTCAGCCACGTCGACTCGCTGATGACGTGGCGTTTGGTCAGTTCATGGATCCACAGGGAGCTCCTGGACATTTTAACATCGACGCATCGTTCTTCCCGAATCTGCCTTCACTGCCTCCAACGGTTCTTCCACCTCCTCCTCAGTCTCTCGCTCTGTACGGCGGCTCCGCCATGAGTTGCTGGCCGTTTGCTATGTGAACGTTATGCGGTCACAAAACCTATCTCTATCTTTTTAGTAATTTTAATCAACAAAAAAAAAAAACATTTGGCTTGGTTAGTTAATGGCTTGTATAAGCCTCGAATCATTTGCCAGTCGCATTTGGTTTACGTATGTGTTTGTAATGTCTTTTATGCATGTTTTTAAATTAACTTCTATGTGAAATTAATTGGTTTTCCACGTTGTTGGCTTTCTATTTTATTATCTCATATTTTAATGAATGTATGCCAAGTTCACTTTCTACATGACTTTCGAGTCATAGTGTTCAACGTGACTAACAAAAAGGTGCGAGGTTGCATTCCATATGCATGACATGAACAAAATTGGTGTTTAACTCTTGTTAAGCGTTTTATTAAACTTTGAAATTTCTATGGGCCTTATCTTATAATCCGCTTGGGCCTTAGTACTAGTTCTTTTGCCGACTGCCACGTGCTGATGCGTCGGGTTTTAAAAGGCGTCGTCATCAATCGGTATGTTTTTGGTCTCTCCTTCTGCTCTCAACGAAGCAAGTTTTAGTTTTTGTGAAAGAAAAAAAAAAATCGGCATGGAAGACGTTAACCAGTTGTTCGATTCTGCTTTCGAGTTCGCACACCATCCAGGTAACTTAGCTACGCATTTATGTACTCTGAATTCTCTTTACCACTTCCATTTTCACATATTTGTGTGACGTGATTGAAATCCGACTACCGATTTCGATTTCAGGAGCTCAAAGCGAGTCCTCGGTTCAGGAATTCCTCGATCGCTTCCCTCTTCCCGTTATTTTCAAGTTATTTTCTTCCTTCAGCTTTCACTTCTCATTGCGTCTCGTTTGATTGTGATTGGGGTTTATGGTTTTCGTTATACTTATTTTTGCGTTCTGTGAGACGGCCATAGCTTTTTGTGTAACACGTCTTTTTTTTTAACTGGAAATCGCAATACTCGCGTGCAGTGCTTTGCAAACCGATCCGGATATCCCAGGCTTTGAAAACACACTGGTGACTTGCTTGGAAAGAGTTTTTAAGACTAAGTATGGAGCCTCACTCATTCCTCAGTATATGGTAGGATTCTCCGATTTCTATTTATAGAACAATTTCTATATTCGGTAGTCTGATTTTACTTTTTTGGTGTTTGTTAAGCCTGTTCTCCAAGCTGGCCTCAAGGCAGATTCTGCAGTAGTGAAATCTCTGGCTTGCAAAACTGTAAGTGTCTAAAAAAGTCTGGGTTTATACTTTTTTCATAGTTTCTAGTGATTGCTAATGGTAAGGTCTTGTTTCGGTTGTTTCTTTAAGGTCACTTGTCTCTTGGAGAATCGCGATGCAACCGATGTTTCCCCTGTTCAGCTAGTTGTTAGCAATGGCATATACCCTCTTCTGCTCGACTATATCATAAAAAGGTACAGAATCCATGCCTGATAGTTCTTACTGTTGTCTTCATTCCTAGGGGATGATTACTCTTTTCTAGCCATCTAGATACCAACCGGAAAGAACAAGTTGACGGTTTTTGGAGGATAGTGATTACTTTCTAGTTTGTAGAGGCTTTGGATTTGTCTTGACTCTTGCGGGATTATAATTTGGCTTTAGTATCTCCAAATAGTTGCTTTGCCTCGAAATTCACCATTGATATGTTTTTGTGTGTGTCTGTAGCGATGATGAAGTGGCACATACTGCAAGTGAGACTATTAAGAGCCTAGCACGCTTTCCAGATGCTATGGTCTGTGGTTAAACAGTTTTTTTTTTCGTTCAGTGGCTAGTTTTTTACACACCTCTATTCCTGCTGCATAAATCTAAAATCTTAAACCTCTTTTTCCACAGCCGGTAATATTCCCTACTGATACCAACGATGCTACGCACCTTGGTAACCTTGCTGCAAGGAGTTCATCGCTGGTAATGTGCCGCTTTATAGATTATTTTTACCTTGAAGTTTCATTTCCTTCTGTCCCTTTACAATTTTCCAACTGTTGTTCAGGCACGAGTCCGGATTCTGGCTTTGATAGTGAAGCTTTTTTCGATTTCTCCGCATGTGGCTTCAGCAATTAAGAACTCAGGGCTTCTTGATTTGCTGGAGGCCGAAATGAAGGGTACAAAAGACACTCTTGTGATCTTAAATGTTCTAGAACTCTACTATGAGGTTGGCTTCTGATTTCCAGAATAATTATGTCTCTTTCTATTGTTGCCTACATTTCAAAAGAAAAGTTATAATTATTGTGAATGTTTGTGCATGTGGAACGCTGAAGTTAATGGAAGTGGAGCACAGTTCAGAGTTCGTGCCACAGACCTCACTTATTCAGCTGTTGTGTTCTATCATCAGGTATAATCACTGTTAAACCTTGCCCATTTTTACAACAAAAAGAATATGGATACCTATCAAGCTTGCTTCAGCTCATCCTATTTTTTCTCGGGGTCTTATAATTTGTACAGTGGTACATCCGTGGATCTCTTTCTGAAGTTAAGAGCAATGATGATAAGTGGCAGGCTCCTCTCGAGGGACAGTATCTACAATAACGTGGAAGACGCTAGTAAGATTTTAATATATTTTTGCCACTGTTGGTCAGAAATATGTGATTGCTTGGTTTTTTTTTTTATATACTTTCACAACAGGGAGTTTTTTGCGACTACGTGACTAGAAATTTTATGCGGTTGTTCACTTTCTCCTATGATCAGATCATACAAGCCATTTTTTTCTGTTTGCTGTGCCTATGATACAATTTAACTACGAATTGCTTAGTTTGTGGGAATAAACTGAGAAAGAGATTGTAACTTTACGGAAATAGACATACTGTATATTTTAGGCTGTACTGTAGCTGGCAAAGATTTACTTTCAACTTTGTCCTGAATCCAGGTGTGATGGCGTTAATTTCTGCTATTGATGGGAGTCTTGAGTCACCGGATATGAATGATACAGATGCACAGGAAGCTGCGCTTGATGCACTTGGTCAGATTGGATCAAGTAAGTAGCTCAGTTCTTTGAAAGCGTTTGTTCCAGCATACATTAAGATACTTTTTTTTCCCTTACAAGAGTCCCCTGACTTTCTATTTTTTCAATAACTTTTAGCAACGAAGGGAGCGAATCTAGTCCTTTCAACTTCACCTCCAGCTGCAAGACACGTTGTAGCTTCTGCGTTTGACCGTAATGCACATGGAAAACAGTTGGTTAGTGTGTTTGTTCTTCTCACCAGTTGAAATTCTGCTGACTGTATACATCTTTGAATATGCAATTATCGATGGTTGAATTTTTGTTTCATTAGTAGAGAGATTAATGAAATCATATGACTGTTTTGTAACAGGCTGCACTTCACGCACTGGCATACATTGCAGGTGAAACACGGCCTAAGAGCAGCAGAGTAGTTGATGGAAAAGCTGAAGAAAGCCTCAGATGTTTAATATATGATGTTGCAGCACAGAGCACCAAACTAACCCCATCCGTGAGTTGATTTCCTGTTTTGCCAAACATGTTTGAGGCATATCATGAGCTAATTTGAGCACGTTGCTTCAAATTGCAGGGCTTGTTCCTTTCAGTTCTGCAACAAAGCTCAGAAATTCGTCTCGCGGTAAAAACTTTAACCTCAGCATCTAATCTTTCATTTCTTCTCCTGCTTTGTTTCCCTAGTTGGAAAATTTGACAATGCACGCTACGTTACATTCAAATTTAAAACCTCTTTTTTTTTTGCTTCTACGCAAATCTCAGATACGTGTCTTCTAACTCCGTCTCACAGACGGTCACGTGTTACCAAGAGGAAACTCTATATGCTTTGCGCTTATTCTATGTTGTTTACAATGTCCATCCTCAGGGCTATAGAACATTAGCAGCGTTGGCGGCTCGGTCATGGGGACTGATGGAAATCTTGTCCAAAGAAGAGATAATAAACATTGTGACGGATGCAACCACTGAAACTGCAAAAATAGGTAAACCTAAGTAAAACTTCTCTCACATCAGTTCATTGGACTGGCTTCTTCCTCAACATCTTTGATCTCTGAGTCTAAATCTCACATTTTTGTGACTCAGCAATGGAAGCAAGGTACAACTGCTGCAAATCAATTCACGAAGCGTTCTTGTGTAGTAACTTCGTTGATGACCCTCGTCGTCTAAAAACTGGTGAAAAGGTTTGGATCTTTTTTCCAGCTTTTCTATGATACACAGTACTTTTGCTTGCTCTGTTGACATGTTTATTTGTTGATGCAGTTGCAAGAAGCTGTTCGAAGTGGACCGTTTATGTCGAAGAAGTACAGAGACGCACGACCAGAAGTAATGATGGCCGAAGGATTCTAGATGACTTAACACTACTAGAAAAAAAGTGAAAAACTTGTTCGTTGACCATAGTTATTCCATCTTTCTCTGTTTGTTCGATAACTAAACTTTAGCCCTTTCTTCTAAACAGTAGTTCAAAACGGGTTGAGACAATGTGTTTTTTACACATTTTTTGTGTTGAATGTTAAATGAAGAAGAAAGAATTGTGGGTTGGGCCGTTTCTCATCGTTTTTGATGGCCCATGAGGATCCAAAAACACAATGGGTAAATTGGTTGTTAAATCAAACAAGCAAGGGTAAAATGGTAATTAATGTTGAAGACATCATATCTTCTATATGGATAACACAGGTCCGAAATGGAGGAGCCATTACTCTACTTACAGAGCACAGAGGAGAATCGTGTAGATAATCCATGGCGACGATAGTGCAGTGTCTTTCTACCTGTGCGACCCTCGATTCCAAGTTCAAAGCCCTTTCGCTTAAGGGAATTTCTTCTTCTTTATCTTCGTCTTCGTCATCAGCAACATCCTCGTCTTCTTCCTTCTCCACTCGTCGTGGTTCGTCGGCTACTCTACGCTCCTCCCTCAGCTTCTCTCAGAGCGTTTCACTATGTGTCGCCTTCTCCTCCGGTAAACACTGCGTTTAGAATCGTGTATAATTCCTTAGCAATGGGATGATAATGTTATCGAATTTTGCTTTGATTCGCGCTCTTATGTTTCCAGTTGTGGCCAATTTTAGGGTTTAAGATCGAAGTTTTAATTTTGTGGAGATATATATATATATATCGACAGGAAATTTGTGGGTACAGAAGCCAACGAGGCAATTGATTGTGTGTGAGGCTGCTCCGACGAAGAAAGCTGATTCAGCTGCAAAGAGAGCTCGCCAAGCCGAGAAGAGGCGCGTTTACAACAAATCCAAGAAATCTGAAGCCCGTACACGAATGAAGAAGGTAATGCCATAGTTTTTGTGTGACAATATGTTGGAATCAAATCCAAATGTGTGCTTTCTGAAATTTCTAAGATTCGAGATTGCTGATAAGCTTGTAGCGCTGAGATATAAACGGATTAGGGAATGTTTGAAAACCTGAGAACAAAACTGTACTTCGGAATCTAAGTCATCGAATCATTTTGGGATATGGATAATGTGAGCTTTTAGGTGGATGAGTCGTCATTGTTTGCAACCAATGTATCGAAAGAATTAACTCATTCATGTTGTCTTTTAGAACTAGGGAAAGTTATTAAAAAAAATTAGAGTCTTGACATTTTAGAACATCTCATTATCCTCAACATCTGCAAGAAATTGTTGTTGACATATGAACGAGATTAAAATTTAATGTACTAACAGGTCTTGGAAGCACTCGAAGGGCTCAAGAAAAAAGCAGATGCGCAACCCGACGAGATTGTATCCGTGGAGAAACTGATAGGAGAGGCTTATTCTGCAATCGACAAGGCGGTGAAGGTGAGAGCACTTCACAAGAACACTGGTGCGCGTAGGAAGTCTCGGTTGGCTCGGAGGAAAAAGTCCGTTGAGATCCACCACGGCTGGTACGTCCCTGACTCAGCCACACCAGCAGCAGAAGAAGCTGTGACCATGGCTGCGTAAGAACATGTGATCATGGAAATTTGTTTTCTTTGTTATGACATCATATGGAAGTTATTGTGAAAATTTGTTCTCAAGGATCAAATCTTTTTCTTCATGTATAATTCCGTCGCTTTCAGACTCTTCTTTTGTACTGTTGGGTCTAAGCTTTTTGTCTTCTTCTTTTGGCTTCGCCTTGGTCTGGTTCAATAACGTCACATCGTTGGGCGAACAACTACCACTTTTATGTTCCATCTCTTACACTAGCTCCCAAACTTTCTCTGTCCTCCTTGTCTTGCAGAGATGCTTCAAAAGCGAGTTATAGGTGACAACATTCGGAGAGCAACCTTTCACACCCATCTCCTTGAACACTTGACGAGCCTCTGGGATTCTCTCCTTGAAACACAATGCATCATTGACGTTATTGCAGATTTTGACATCCGGGTTTCTTCCGGTTTCCCACATTGCTCTGTATAGTTCCATGGCCTTTCCCAGTTTCCCCTTCTTCGTCACTGCATTGATCATTGTCCCGTAGCTGACAACATCTGGCCTGCATTTAGAACCATTGATGTCTTTCCAAATTCTCTTGGCTCATTTTTTTCTGATATGTTTCTCACTTGTTTAGCTTCGAGAGGACATTACGAGCGGTATTGATGTATATATAGGGTGTCGAGTCTTTTGTAAACTGGTGAAGTATAAACCAGTGTGTATAGAGTCGGTTAAGTATTGGTTTGAGGCTCTGGTTTAGGCCTAGTCAATCTTCATATAAACCCTCAATTGTACATTTTGATTAATTAATTAAATGATATTTTATACTAGTAATAAGGGGCAGCCGTTTATGTGATACGAGAGCTAAAACTCGACGAAGAGACTGAGAATCCACATCATTTAATTCTAATTCTTATCTTTATTGATTGGTGTGAAGAAAAAAAACTTACTATTTCTCCCTCCAAATAAGATAGAAGAAACTTAGCATTTATTAAGCAAATGTTAAAAAAAAAAAAAAAAAACTTAGCATTTATTAATGTTTGATCTTCAAGGAAAAAAAAGTATACAGAGAGGCAAATCCAACCATCAAAGAGATATCTAATATCCTAAACATTCAAATCTATAAGCATTAATAAATTTAATTTTCGACCACAAATAAAATCATACAATGAACTAGATCTATGTTTTTAATTTAGTGGTATGTATTCATAAAATTAAAAAAAATCAAAAATGAAACCATTCTAAGATGAAAACGAGATTCACCTCTCTCATTAGACACATTGCTACAAAAAAATCCAACAGTTTATTACTGCAATCCGGGTACTTATTCATTTGCCAATAAAAAGACAAATCTCGATCTATAAATAAATGTATTATACCAGATTAACTTATATTACTTGGTAAATAATGGAATGATTAGCTCTAAAATTTTCAACGAATGAATTTAAATTTCCAGGATTATTAGTCACTTATAACAAGAAATATGTTTATCACGAAGTAATGATGTTGCTCATTTCGTGATCTTCATACAAATACAAGAAGTAGAGAGGATTAGAAATGGACAATTTATGTGCAACAAAAATTAAGTTTTAGGTGATGCTAAATCAAGCGCTCTTGTAAGGGTAAAAGCGTATGAGAAAAGAAGCTTAAGCAACTTGGAATTTCTAATGATAAGACTTGCCAAATGATAAAAATCCCAATGATATCAGTTCATTAAGATCATTATAAATTATGAAATAAAAACATTCTAAGATCATTACAATCTATAAAATTAAAACACTTTAAGATCATATGTTTGGCTTAGATATGGATCATATAGAGCATACTCCGTCTGATCACATAATGCTCATATCCGGTAATAAGTCGTGGTTTAGTCACTCTCTACTCCGCTTTGGGTACACTGCCTTACATGCATTTCCAAATAGTGAGCCACCAGCCCAACCCCCGAGACTCTGATGAACTATTCCACTGGGAAACCTTCCTGCTTAAAGGACCACAATCTGTGGTGGACCAGATACTTGAGGAAACGGTTGAACCTGCCTGCTTTTGCAGAGCATGCAATATTCCTATCCAAAGCTGTGATACTTTCATCGAGCATCTCACGAGTAGAGAACACGCATGTGCAAGTGCACGTTCACCGGAGGTAAGCATCATGCATGATGTCTCACTGCGTTTTGTATCATTACAATTTTTTTTTGTTAACGACGTGTAACCATAAAAATATATATCTCCGTTTCAAAATTGTGACCAGCATCACTTGCTCGAGAAGCACTGGGACGGATGTTCTGTAAACGAGTTCAATGAACCTCTCATGTTTTGCGGACTTTGCGAGTATCAGAGCTACGACTGTCATAATATAAGCATTAATAAATTTGATTTTCGACCACAAATAAAATCATACAATGAACTAGATTTATGTTTTTAATTTAGTGGTATGTATTCATAAAATTAAAAAAAAATCAAAAATGAAACCATTCTAAGATGAAAACGAGATTCACTTCTCTCACTAGACACATTGCTACAAAAAAATCCAACAGTTTATTACTGCAATCTGGGTACTTATTCATTTGCCAATAAAGAGACAGATCTCGATCTATAAATAATTGTATTATACCAGATTAAATTATATTACTTGGTAAATAATGGAATGATTAGCCCTAAAAATTTCAACGAATGAATTTAAATTTCCAGGATTATTAGTCACTTATAGCAAGAAATATGTTTATCATGAAGTAATGATGTTGCTCATTTCGTGATCTATATACAAATACAAGAAGTAGAGAGGATTAGAAATGGACAATTCCTGTGCAACAAAAATTAAGTTTTAGGTGATGCTAAATCAAGTGCTCGGTTAAAGGCGTATGAGAAAAGAAGCTTAAGCAACTTGGAATTTCTGATGATAAGACTTGCCAAATGATAAAAATCCCAATGATATCAGTTCATTAAGATCATTATAATTTATGAAATAAAAACATTCTAAGATCATTACAATCTATAAAATTAAAACACTTTAAGATCATATATTTGGCTTAGATATGAATCATATAGAGCATACTCCGTCTGATCACATAATGCTCATATCCGGTAATAAGTCGTAGTTTAGTCACTCTCTACTCCGCTTTGGATACACTGCCTTGCACGCATTCCCAAATAGTGAGCCACCAGCCCAACTCTAGGACTCTGATGAACTATCCACTGGGAAACCTTCCTGCTTAAAGGACCACAATCTGTGGTGGACCAGATACTTGAGGAAACGGTTGAACCTGCCTGCTTTTGCAGAGCATGCAATATTCCTATCCAAAGCTGTGATACTTTCATCGAGCATCTCACGAGTAGAGAACACGCATGTGCAAGTGCATGTTCACCGGAGGTAAGCATCATGCATGATGTCTCACTGCTTTTTGTATCATTACAATTTTTTTTTGTTAACGACGTGTAACCATAAAAATATATATCTCCGTTTCAAAATTGTGACCAGCATCACTTGCTCGAGAAGCACTGGGACGGATGTTCTGTAAACGAGTTCAATGAACCTCTCATGTTTTGCGGACTTTGCGAGTATCAGAGCTACGACTGTCATAATATAAGCATTAATAAATTTGATTTTCGACCACAAATAAAATCATACAATGAACTAGATCTATGTTTTTAATTTAGTGGTATGTATTCATAAAATTAAAAAAAAAAATCAAAAATGAAACCATTCTAAGATGAAAACGAGATTCACCTCTCTCACTAGACACATTGCTACAAAAAAATCCAACAGTTTATTACTGCAATCCGGGTACTTATTCATTTGCCAATAAAGAGACAAATCTCGATCTATAAATAATTGTATTATACCAGATTAAATTATATTACTTGGTAAATAATGGAATGATTAGCCCTAAAAATTTCAACGAATGAATTTAAATTTCCAGGATTATTAGTCACTTATAGCAAGAAATATGTTTATCATGAAGTAATGATGTTGCTCATTTCGTGATCTATATACAAATACAAGAAGTAGAGAGGATTAGAAATGGACAATTCCTGTGCAACAAAAATTAAGTTTTAGGTGATGCTAAATCAAGTGCTCGGTTAAAGGCGTATGAGAAAAGAAGCTTAAGCAACTTGGAATTTCTGATGATAAGACTTGTCAAATGATAAAAATCACAATGATATCAGTTCATTAAGATCATTATAATTTATGAAATAAAAACATTCTAAGATCATTACAATCTATAAAATTAAAACACTTTAAGATCATATATTTGGCTTAGATATGAATCATATAGAGCATACTCCGTCTGATCACATAATGCTCATATCCGGTAATAAGTCGTGGTTTAGTCACTCTCTACTCCGCTTTGGATACACTGCCTTGCACGCATTCCCAAATAGTGAGCCACCAGCCCAACTCTAGGACTCTGATGAACTATTCCACTGGGAAACCTTCCTGCTTAAAGGACCACAATCTGTGGTGGACCAGATACTTGAGGAAACGGTTGAACCTGCCTGCTTTTGCAGAGCATGCAAAATTCCTATCCAAAGCTGTGATACTTTCATCGTGCATCTCACGAGTAGAGAACACGCACGTGCAAGTGCATGTTCACCGGAGGTAAGCATCATGCATGATGTCTCACCGCTTTTTGTATCATTACAATTTTTTTTTGTTAACAACGTGTAACCATAAAAATATATATCTCCGTTTCAAAATTGTGACCAGCATCACTTGCTCGAGAAGCACTGGGACGGATGTTCTGTAAACGAGTTCAATGAACCTCTCATGTTTTGCGGACTTTGCGAGTATCAGAGCTACGACTGTCATAATAAGCATTAATAAATTTGATTTTCGACCACAAATAAAATCATACAATGAACTAGATCTATGTTTTTAATTTAGTGGTATGTATTCATAAAATTAAAAAAAAAAATCAAAAATGAAACCATTCTAAGATGAAAACGAGATTCACCTCTCTCACTAGACACATTGCTACAAAAAAATCCAACAGTTTATTACTGCAATCCGGATACTTATTCATTTGCCAATAAAGAGACAGATCTCGATCTATAAATAATTGTATTATACCAGATTAAATTATATTACTTGGTAAATAATAGAATGATTAGCCCTAAAAATTTCAACGAATGAATTTAAATTTCCAGGATTATTAGTCACTTATAGCAAGAAATATGTTTATCATGAAGTAATGATGTTGCTCATTTCGTGATCTATATACAAATACAAGAAGTAGAGAGGATTAGAAATGGACAATTCCTGTGCAACAAAAATTAAGTTTTAGGTGATGCTAAATCAAGTGCTCGGTTAAAGGCGTATGAGAAAAGAAGCTTAAGCAACTTGGAATTTCTGATGATAAGACTTGCCAAATGATAAAAATCCCAATGATATCAGTTCATTAAGATCATTATAATTTATGAAATAAAAACATTCTAAGATCATTACAATCTATAAAATTAAAACACTTTAAGATCATATATTTGGCTTAGATATGAATCATATAGAGCATACTCCGTCTGATCACATAATGCTCATATCCGGTAATAAGTCGTAGTTTAGTCACTCTCTACTCCGCTTTGGATACACTGCCTTGCACGCATTCCCAAATAGTGAGCCACCAGCCCAACTCTAGGACTCTGATGAACTATTCCACTGGGAAACCTTCCTGCTTAAAGGACCACAATCTGTGGTGGACCAGATACTTGAGGAAACGGTTGAACCTGCCTGCTTTTGCAGAGCATGCAATATTCCTATCCAAAGCTGTGATACTTTCATCGAGCATCTCACGAGTAGAGAACACGCATGTGCAAGTGCATGTTCACCGG